GGCAAACCTCCATTCAGGATATGGAAGAGAGTCAGTGACGGATTCTCTGGAGTCCAGTTTAGGTGTGGAAATGCAGAACAATTTTAAGGAATTATTTACTATATCTCATGTGGGCACTTCAGAAGGGGGGCGGCACAGGCAGGAATCGGTTCTGGCTCACACATATGATAGACTCCCCGGACTGTCCCTTCTTCCTGCTTTCCAAAGCTGCTTTTCAAACCTCATGGGTTAGACATGGCTGTTCTTCCTGTGCTGGCTGTGAGAGGGAGGGGGTTGGGTCGCCAACTGCCCCTCCTGAGGTCAGAGCACTGTCTCCAAACTTGTGGAAAGGGCTCCCAGTATCCCAGGGACCTTCGGGCAAGGCCTCGGGATTGCACTCTTGCTTAGTCAGCGCTCCGGAGACGCCACCTTGCGAGCTAAGCAGCGGCAGTAGTGGCAGGGAGAGGAGGTGTGACTGCTTCGCCAGGTCACCTTATCTGGTGACCTGAATGCAGATGTGTCTTTTTCAGCTCTGAATTTGGCAAGTCTTGCTTCCTCCCTTTCTCCCTTTCTAATAATCCTGCTTCTCCTTTCCTCCCGTGATTCTCACAGAGCAGGCGCACAATGGCAGCTCAATCCATTTCTGCATGGCAATCGTCCCGGGAAAATGTCTCACTGGCAAGGATGCAGGTTGGAGCCATTCCGAGTCCGCTAAGGCCGAAGTGACTCAAGCATGACTGGGACTCGGCAGAGAGATGGGCCCGAGGGTGATGCAGTGGGAGGACATCATCAGAGACCCCGTTACAAGTGTTTCCTTCCCTTTTCCTTTTCAGTGAGGCCAAGTTCTTTCCTTTCTCTTTCCTCTTAAGGGATGTGATTTAATGTTGTGACCTGTCCTGGAGTCACTTCTGGTGATAGGCAGAGTAAAAATATGAAGAAAGAAGAAAGCAAGCCAGGGGAAGGAGCGGAACAGAATGGAATATGGAAAGGAATGGAACGGACTGGAACAAGCTATGCTTTCTCATGCAACATGGCTTTCTGTGGAACTTGCACACAGAGCCGTGCCCTTTGTTTGTGTAGCACCAGGATCCAGCCATGGACCTCTGGGATCAAGCACTAGAGAACATGAAGTGGTATAAACTGGCCTATGGCTGCGCACAGCACTGATGTTCTTTGACACCTCTATTTTTTATTTCCAATGTGTGTCCATTCCCTACAGGGAGTAGCTTGGCTTTCTCGTGTGAATCAATTGTGCGTTTTGCAACGTACCCCAAGAATCCAGTTCTCTGCCTGGGACACCCGAATCTCACACTGCTCTTTGTCTGAATGCATGAAGCATGGGGGAATTGATTGCACCCAGAAGCTATCATTCATTCATCCATTCATTAAATTTCTGTCCCACTTTTTTTTAAGAACTCAAAGCAGCTTCCTTCATTCTCCTTCTCCTGCTCTCAGTCTTCTCCCCACGAGAACAACACTGTGGGGCAAGTTGACCTGAGAGTCTGTGACTGGCCCAAAGTCCCCCAGTGGCCTCCATGACTGAGCAGGGACTAGAACCCGGATTGCCCGAGTCCCAGTCCTGTGCCCTTAACAACTACCCCACGTTGGCTCTTCCAGCCTGAGAACGAGGCAGAACCCACAGGGGTGTTGTTGTGGGATTAAGACTGAGATCAGGAGAAGGAGAATGATGGAAGCCATTCTGAGTTCTTTTAAAAAAGAAAAAGGTGGGATATAAATCTTATACATACATAATTTTATATTTTATTTTAGCTAACCTCAGCACTTCTAGCATCACCAGCTGCCTGCACTATCAGAAGTGAAAAATTCCTGTGGGAGGAATGACCTCATTCTGGCTTCCCATGGACTTTCATGGACAGTTAGGATACCCAGGAATCGCCAGGCTACCCAGGAGATGCTGGTGCAAGGAAAGACAAGTCACACTTGCACACTCCTTGGCTACACAAGAACCCCAAACCCAGGCATGAGAACACCCCTGAAGTGTATTCACTGCTGGAGTTCTTTTCAAAAGGGCTTGCTCTTCTATCAGATGGCATCCAAACAGTTGACACAAAAATGTGGGAGAAACATCTAGCTCAGTGCTAGCAGTGAAGCTCTCTTGGTTCGTTCCAAAAGTTCAGTTTTTAATGTTAACCCACATTGTTTGTGTGTTAGGTTTTAGAATCTGGACTGGATAAAGGAAGTCTTAGTCACTGGTGAATCAAGGGGTAATAGGCCTGAAGAATGTCCTGCAGAGTCCGAGAAGCAGGGGAAGCGGTTAGGACAAGTTTGCTCTGTAGCTTCCCCCATTACTACACACACAGAAGCCCGGATGACATCACAGCACTGCGAGCACTATGTCCTTCCGTTTCCTCTGTATATGTATTTCATCAACGCTTTTTATTTGCTGGCAAAATTGTTTGCAAAGGCTTTCATTTAAAAAATCAAACACTTTCTCTTTTCATCCTAAGTCTTTTTTTTTTTTTCAGAACAATAAACTACTTAAAAGGAACAATTGACAACAAGAGGTCACTGCATGGAAACCAACAAAACAACCAGATATCATCCAGAGCGGCTCAGCAGATGTTTAAGAACCAAATACATTTTATTTGCTATGCTATGGATGATGGAGACGGGTATCTTCTAGTGAGACAAGTTAATAAAACCAGGGGTCGAACCTGAACTTGACCAATGTGTGAACAGTGGTGACATGTAAGTGATGCGCTTCCAGGGGTGCTCAGCTTGGTCAGAGGCGACTCATCCTTCTGGAGCAATCACACTGCCTGTGACAGATGTGAACTGCACTTCGAGCCACACAAAGGGCGCAGAAGACTTGGAGAGCTTGATTTGGGGACCCAGGAGCATCTTCAGGACTCTGGCTGCCTCCTGGAGAGCTAATGTAGCTCTGGTGGACGAAGGCTGGCTGTTGGCCATGGATGTAACTGGGGACACAGCCTTGCCCTCTGACCCTGACTGTGGGGCCTTGGACACCTGGGATGACTGCCAAATTCTGACTAATGGTAGGGCCACCCTGATCTCCAGGAAAAGCTTTGTCCCTTGATCCTGCTAATGGTACAATCTAGCCTACAGCCAAGACCAAAAGACGGGAACATTTCTGGTGGCCGTCCACACCCTAACCACAGTCTCCACCACCTATTTTCTTATGCTGGAGCAGATGTGTCTAAACAGACAAGAACACTAATATTGTTCCATATTGAACATTTTAGTCATTCAATTCCTTTAAAAACATAAAAGCAACTTAGTGCATGCAGGAGTTTCGTTCCAAGATTTCTTTTTAGAGTTGGGACTTATGCCTGAAATGTGTAGACTGAAGTTCTCTCATCATTGGCTAGTTCCATTGGTTTTATCCTTGTTTTCATCATCATTTATTGGATGCAGTGCGTTGTGTATGGTTTTTGTTATGGTTGCATTGTTTTTTGCAAGCCGTCCAGAGACTTTTGGTATTGCGACAGCATATTAAAAAAGTTAAATTAAATTAAAAAATGAAAACCAGCACAGAGCAGTTTGCATGAGTGCAGGATCCTTAACTAACTGTGGGGGGAGGGCTTGTTAACCAGCTGTATGTGAGTGGGAATTAGCCGAATGATCCTCCTGCCTGCCATGTAAGCCAGGCTGGGACGACGGCCTGTTGCTGCGGTTGACCAGCCATCAGTCACTGTTCTGGGATTAGCTGGTTACGTGACAAGCTACTGCTGCTGAGCCTTGCTGTGCTAGCCTGCCACAAGCGTGGCTTATGTCCCCTGCTGTGATCACATGAACCAGGCTGCAGCATGCGGGGCAGCACAGCCAGCCTTTTATCCTCAGCACAACCCTGCGAGGTAGGTTCAGGTGAGAGGAATGTGACCGGCTGGCAGTGACCTCGTGAGCTTTTGGGCTGAGGTGGTGATGGGGAGAGCTGATCCCAAGCCTCCTTCGTCAGGGACCAGGCAGCGATCCGTGGTGTAAGACTTAGTACTGGAGAGGCACGAAGCAGGATACGAGGGGGACCTTACTTGCATCTGTGGGATGATGGGGCACAAGCTCACCCCACCGAAATGGGAGAAGAAGGAGAGAAGCATCACTGAAACCAAAGTGGCTTGTCAAGCCGACCCATCAAACTCATTTCCTTGAACACATGCCTTACACGTAAATCCAATGCCTCGGGGCAACTCCACCGCACTGACTCAGATAATTTTGACGTGGAGTGTGTAGTTGACATCTCCTTATTCATTTATTACACTGATACCCCACCTCTGTTTCCCTCTTGCAAGGAATTCGGAGTCATTCTTTGATGTTCTTTGTAGGGAATCCACTCATGCGCTCTGGGGTGTGGCTGCATCCTGTGGCAGTTCTGGGGTCCAGCAAATGGTTTGCACACGAAAGCCTTTGGGTTCAGGCTCAGGGATCCCCAGGAAGGACTGCAAAACTCACGGCTGCCCCAGAGCCTGAAGAATTGCCTGGCAGTCCCAATAGCTGCTAGGAAACGAGAGGAGCCTTCTCCAACCTGCTGCCCTCTGGAGGTGTTATGAGTTGCGGTCCAGTACTTGGACGGTGAAGGCTTGCCATCAGGTCCCTCTCTAGGGGTTTGTTCGGAAGTTAGTCCCCATGGAGTTCGCAGGGCTGCTTCATTTACAGGGCGAGTCTGCCTAGGACGGCGCCGCAGCTGTAGTGTTAAAATCTGGAAAGGATAGCATTGCCTCACTCTCCCACCTCAGGGGTGCCGGGACCAAGGCCCTCTGCACGTGCTCGGAGGACATGCCTTGTCATTGTGTCTTGTTCTGAGGCAGTATTTCCAGGAAGCAGGCAGAGCGCACATTTTAGGCAAGAGTCACGAAATCCTGCACACAGAGAAGAAGCGAGCCGTCATCGCTTTCCCCGTCTTCTCCCCCCACCCTGCTTCCTGCCTCCGTCACGTCGGATGCGTCACCCGGAGAAGTTCTGCAAAGCCGGAGTTCCTCCCCCGTCGAATTCGGGGTGGGGCCAAAGGAAAGACTCCTGGCCCCGGGCGAAGGATAAACGGAGCGCGCAAAGGGCCGGCGGGGGCTTCGGATTCCGTCCGGGCTGAAAGGAGGGGGAGCGGAGCGCCTGTGCACTGAATCCTACCCGAGCCTGGTTGCAGCCCACGACCTGCGGACATGCGCTGCGTCTGGATCGGCTTCCTTCTGTCCTTGGCGGTGGCTCACGGTAAAAAGCAGCAAGCACCGAATCCTGTCCCCGATCTTTTGTGTCAAAGCAGTTTGTGTGCATTGCTTCCCGGGTGCCATTCTCCCAGGCCAGCAATGGCCACGGCGGAAGGATAACGGGAGCTGTTGTCCAGCGCATCTGCAAGGATGGGGAAAGCTGCGCTCGGGTGCTCTCGCGGAGCTTCAAGGGTTCTGGGTGCTCGCCTGCGCATTCCCAGTGGGAACCCGGCTCTTGCCTTCACAGCGCCGGAGGGTCAGTGGTCAGAATAGGTACGGGGGCAGGATCCGCATGCACGTATTGTCCATTTACGCGGCGGGAGGTATGCATGTAGGGGGAGGGCCGGGTCGATCTTAACCTCCCGGATTTTGTTTGCAGTATTGATACAAGGGGGGGAAGAGTCTGGGTTGGGGGATATCCAGACAGAGGGAAATACCTGGCAAGAAAGGCTGGTCGAACTCGGGAATTATTTCCTGGTGGGATGCCAATTTTTCCCATCGATTGTCACTCATTCGTTGCAGCGAGGGGTGAAAAGTGATCCCACCCCCCAGTTATGGGAAGGAGAGGGGTTCCTCGGACTGCAGGCTTTCGTGCTTGCGTTAACGTCGGAAAGCGCGCATGTGCTCTTTGCTTTGCCATTTTTGCCCGGCTTTCTGCTTGCAGCCCCTCCGGCTGCTCACACGTTCCCAAAGGCCCCCCGAGAGGCCAAAAGCAAGACGGCTTCCCTTTTTGAAAAGCCCACAAGCGGTCCGGATCGGGTCCTCCGTGGGGACTTCCTAGGGTTGTTTCTCCAACTGGTGCCTGGAAATTAAGTCAAAAGGAGTTTGTTGCTGCTGTTAGCTTCTTTTTTCTTGGTAAAAAAAGTATTTTAACTATAAACCCGTGGCCCCCTTTGCGTGTTCATTCAACACACAAAGTTATTCCGCTTGGATCACTGAGAGCCAAAGATGTGAACACACACCGTTGACAAAACAGTGAGTTCTAGGAGAAAGCCCGTATGTGTGTGTCCATTATGAAGAGATTGGTGGCATGTCATTCCAGCTTCCAGGACAAAGGATACAACTAATCCATAGTTTGATATATCTGAGAATGAGCCATAATGAGACCCAGTGAGGTGTAGTGGTTAGAGCACTGGACTTGGACTTGAGAGATTTGGGTTCTAGTCCCCACTTAGTCATGAATCTCACTAAGTGACTCTGGGCCAGTCACTGGCCCCTTCTGACTCTACCATTCTATGACTCTGTGAATCTATAGACTCTCAGCCAAACCTACTTTACAGGGTTGTTGTGAGGATAAAATGGAGAGGAGGAAGTCTTGTAAGCTGCCCTGGAATCCTTTAAGAAGAAAAAACAGCAAGATATAGATATTAACTAATTATTAATTAATATGAACTAGTATTGACTAAAAACAGCAAGATGTCGATGATGATAATGACAAGGAACCAAGGACTCTGAGCTTATCAACAGAGGCCTTTCTCATGGTCCCCCACCGGGGCAATTAGGCTGACAAGTATGACTGATGGAGCAGGTGTCTTTGGTGGTGGTCCCACGGTTTGGGAGAAGCATCTGTCAGAAGCCCGTCCTTCTTTGCTAGCCTGCAAGGAAAGGCTGAAAACCCACTTAATTTTATTGATTTCCTTGGACCATATCACTGGGCTTCCTCCTTTTGTTTAATCACTGGCATTTATTGTTTTTTGTTTGTTTGTTTATACTGTGTTGTTGTCCTGTTTCTTTTAGTCTACACTCTGCCTTGGGTGGGTTTCATCCGTCTTTTAAAGTGACCTTATAATAATTTCAAATGAGAGAGAGAGAGAGAGAGAGAGAGAGAGAGATCAATATCTGAATGAATTTTCAAGCAGTGGGAGGTAGAGGGTTCTGATTACTCAAATGGGGAGGGGAAGGCAGGACCCCCAGATTAGAGAATCCATTGAATGGGGGGGGGTCATCAAAAGGGGGAAGTACACTCATGTGCATGGGAAAGTTAGCACCTAGCTTCACCCATAATTCCTTTTAAGGCTACGGGGCTGAGTGGACCAACCGAGGCTTCCTCAATTCTTCTTAAATGGGTCTGGCTGAACAGGTAGTGAGTAAAACGCAGGAAATGAATGGCTTGCCCATCTTGCCTAAGTGAAAACAGCTGTTCAGCAGCATTTTGTCTGAGTCCCCAGAGGATTTTCACTTTCAAAAAGAGTGTTTCTATTCTGCTTGATGAAATCATAGAATAACCCTCTAGCTTAACTTTTATGGATTTAAGATATTTTTGTACGGGTGAGAGCCCACCCATAGGGATATACAAACCGAACAAGGGACAATTGAAAGATGTGTCAGCCAGCAGACATTGAGAAGCTCCACAACAGCCGCAAACGCATGTTGAGCTCAGTTAAAGGTGGCACTGAAGAGGAAGGTTGGACTAAACACCCGCACAGACGAGGCCAGGTGCAAGCTGATAAAACAGGAATTGCACAGTGTTGGGGCCTTCACAGATATGGGGCCACAGCCCTTAAAGTGCAATCCAATGGGGTTGCAGGTCTTTCTTCTGTTTAAACACAGATCCACTCACTCCTTAATCTCAATCAACACATTGGGAATGTCCCTACGTGGCAAGAATACAAACAATAGCAAGCAAGATGCCAGCTGGCATAACACAGTCATCCATTGCAGTGATACTGCGATCCTTTTCTAACCAGTATATTCCAGCAACACCTTTCTCTGTAGCAACAGAAGGAAATCAACCAAACCATCTGACTAGAAGCAGCAGAATTTGAGAACTACAGCTGTGGGGTGCAGTTAAACGTTTCCCCCTCTAAATTTCATTATTTCTTGCATTATTTGTTCTTTTAAAAAGTGTTTAGGGATTTGATACTGTGCACCCCCAAAAGGATGTGAGTAAGTGGGAGTTTAGATATATTATTTATATATTTGACATGCCTCAAGTCAGCCAGGAGAAACAATAGCCTTTTCATACAAGCTACCCAACCTGCAATAAGATAAGAACCGACTATGTTGGAATCCATCTCCACGTGTAGGACATGGAATAATCAAGTTACGACGACCCAGATTCAGGCTGGACATCAGGAAAAGCTTCCTCCCTGTCAGAGCAACACAACAGTGGGACCAGCTGCCTAGAGAGGTGGGGGGCTCTCCCACACTGGAGACATTCAGAAAGAAACTGGACAGCCCTCTGAGTGGGATGGTGTGACTTGGTGTCCTGCACCAGCAGGGGGTGGACTGGATGACCTTCATGGCCCCTTCCAACTCTACTATGATTCTGTGATTCCCAGTCTCTTTTTGGGGGCAGCAAAGGTGGGATGGAGTGGAAGAGATTCCAGAGCAGTGGAGAGGGCCTTTCACCATTTCTCCTATGCCAGGCATGGGGAACTTGTAGCTTTCCAGGTGTGGTTGAGCGCCTGTTCCCATCACACCTGACCATTGGTTCTGTTGGCTGATAGGCGTTGGAGTTCCACCTCATCCGAAAGGCCTTACATACCTCACCCCTGAACTTTGCCATTTGTTCTGTTGAAATAGTCTCACTCCAAAGCTTTTAATAACCTCTGGGGATGGGACAGGTGGAGAGAGAGGCCCAGGATGTTATCTGTCTTTCCACCCCAGCACCAGTAGGGTTGTTAGCAGCTTCTAAAGTGTTTACAGTCAGGAAACAAAACAGCCCAGAGGTGCAGAATAGTTTGGTGTCCAAAAAGATGGCCCAGGCTGCTTTTCTGTGCCTCGCAACATGGTACAGAGCCTGTACCCACAGCCAGGCCTGCCAGTTCAAGCCCTGCCATCTCCTGCTCCTTACTGACTTTTAATTTTGCAGGAAAAGCGATGGGAGGAGGGAAGGGGCGGGCAGGGCCATGGGTGCCTTGCAGGTATGCGTGCAAAAAGCTGGCGGCAATGCTTGCTTTGCCTGCTGTATTGGTATCTCCTGCCTTTCCTGCAAGGGCAGCACCCATCCTTGTCTCTAGTATCCTCGCAACAACCCTGAGAGGTAGGCCAGACTGGGAGTCCATGACTGGCCCAAACTTTCCCAGTGAGCTTCTTGGCCAAGTGGAGGCTTGCATGCCGGCCGCCCCAGTCGCAGGCCCACACTCCAGCCGCTGTGCCACACTGGGAGATGGGAATTAAGTGTGCCTGGGGCTGAGCCGACAGTGCAGACAATCCCAGAGAGACCAGGAGACTACTTGGTATGGAGCCGGGGGCAGGTAGGGGAGATGCCTTGCTGCATTGACGAATAAAAGGTGGAAAGGCTGGAAGGGATGGTCTTGACCCTGGAAAGGAGCCCCCCCCCCCCAGCTCGGGGCAGACAGGACAGGACATGACTCGCAGAATTCTGCTGGCATGCCCTGCTCACATCTGTTCCCAGCTCTGTGAGTCAGCAAATGTCAGGACCAGCCGCAAGCCAAGCCGAAGCCACTGATGGGCCCAGGAAAAGATGCATTTCAAGCTTGTCCCCCTGCTGTCCCAGAGGAGGGAATGCACTAGGCAGAGGATCAAGACCCCTGGGGGTCAAAAGAGGGGAGTAGGGGCTAGTGGTAAGAGCAGATGATGGTGGTGGTGCTGGTGCTGGTGGTGATGATGATGATATGAATATTTTATACCATGCTCTCCTTTTTTTGGCTAAGGCACTAAACAACCATTTTCAACCCTAAAACCAGCTATTAAAAACAATGAAATCAAGTACATACTTGAAAAGGCTAACTTATTAGAATATGGGGAACTCAACTAGAGACACCAGGAAAGTTGACTGAGAAGGTGGTCCGTGCATATTTCTTCAGGAGCAAGTCCACTGTATTCAATGGGGCTACTTCCGAGCAACCATGCTTCAGTCCATGTCTGGGCATGTGCTTGGTACTGCGGCCTGAAGCAAAGAGAAACGAGGAGGAGTGGGGAGAAATCAAAGGCCGGGCTCTGTCGCTAACTCTGCAGGATGCCAAATCCCAGAAAGAGACAGGAATGCAAACAAGAAGTGCCATGTGGGAAGGGAGCAATGTCTAGCGGTGAGAGCAGGAGCAGGGAGCGCTGAACTGGGGTCCTGGGGTCAAGTTGCAGCTCTTAGAAGGAACTGGCACACCATGCTGGCCCAGCGTCACTGCCCAGAATTTCCAGCAGTGCAGGACAGAGAGCGGTCTCAGACACCCACCTCCCCCAGGGCAAGGAGGGCACCTCGCTGGCTCCCCGTGGTTCAAACCTGCCCACCGGGGAGAGCAGCAGCCGTGATATGGAGACACAAGACCAGGAGGCTCTTGATCCCAGATCTGCAGGGAGAACTTTGTTTCAAAGCAAGAGGGGTGAGCATGGCAGAACTCCTGGGCTGCTTCTAATCACCAAGGTCGCATGAATCATTGATGCTAAGTACACTGCAGAGCAGACCAGCTGCCAACTGGGGTGGTAGTGGGGGAGGCATTTGGTAGAGTTTGCATTCCCTGGAGCTTTTCCCGGTGTGGAAAATGTTCTCTCCAGGAGTCTTTTTGGAAAATCACAGACAGCTTGATGAATGTAGTGATGCATCAGCTCAGTCAGCGGGGTGGGGGGGGGGGGCCACATGGCAGGCAAGACCGACACGTTTTACCAATGCGAAGAAAAAGGAAAAAAGCTCCCGGGTTCAGTTCTGGGCCTTTGCAGTTAAAGGCTATTTCACAAAATAAAACCGGGAAAGGCCTGGGGAGCAGAGCAGAGAGGGTCTGCCCTACCGTTAGGTAGACTGAGGCAGCTGCTTTAGGCAGCAGATTTAGGGTGTCATGTTTGATTTACCACTATTTCTACTCTTGTTGTTTTTCTGCTGATTTGGTGACAGGCGCTTGTGGGCTTTTCAGCTTCTAGGTACTGTTGGGAAAATTTGGGTAAATCCTGTCTGAAAAGCATCACTCCTGTGTGCCTTTGCATTGTGAGATCAAATCCTGTCTTCCTTCTCAAAACCAAGCTGTCACTGTTTAAAATGGTATTCCCCCCACCCTCCTTTCTCCCACCTTTAGCTGTAGGCTACAGTAGGCCATTTTAGCCCAAATATACATTATAAATAGTCATTGTTGAAATTCAGTTTAAACATTCTGCATGATCAGGGCACATGAAGCCCTCTGGGCTATCAAAAGATTATTGTAGAGTCGAGATAGGGGTCTGAGCTTATCATGAATAGTTTCTAGTGGCTTGAATTTGCATGTCTGAGCAAACCTGGAGATGGGTTCAAGTTACTCAACTGAAGTGTCAATACAGACAATTATAAATATTGTAATCTCATTGTTACAGTGTGATTGACTGACATTTCTTTATCTGTTCTGTATGTGATGACCTCAGAATCTTATTGTAATCTCTGCATTCTGTCATCAATTGCCCTGTACCTGTGTACCTATAAATGCCCTGTCATGATATTGAAGCTTGGCAGCAGAATTCATCTCTGCCTGCCTGGTTGTGCAGCCTGTATTATCATGAGTGTACCGCGGGAACCTTGGGGGTAAAACAATAAAGCGTCAGATGGTCTGGACGCTTGGTCTTTCCCACAAACCCGAGTTTTATTCCCTCTTCCCAAATTGAGATTCTGGGATTCTGACAGTACCAGTGTGATTGCTGCGCAGGGTGACTTGGGGTCAGGGTAGCAAAGTCTGCAGCTCTGCTCCTGGCACCGAAATGGCTTCTGTCAGCTCCCCCACCCCCAAGGCAGGCCTTCATGACTCACCCACCCCACTGAATTCGCTCCCCTTATGGGTGCGCACACCCCGCTAGCAAGCCCTTCACACAGAGGACTGTTCTCTGTAAAGCAGGACACCTGACCACCTCATTTCCAGCAAGCCAGCTGGCTCATGGTTTCCCTTCCCCTCTCTTCCCACAGTCGCCAGCCTTGAATGCTACTCCTGCGACGGAGACCGCGACTGCCAGGAAACGGAGACCTGCGCAGAGTATCAGGAGCAGTGCCGCACCACCATCATGAGCATCCTAGTCCGTAAGTCCTGCCAGAGGCGGGTGGGTCGGGGAACCCCATCCTCGCAGTGCACAGAGGACAAAAGGAAGCTTGCCCTACAAAAGGAATTAGGATTTGAGGAAATGCACAGAAGTCGTCGGGCTGGAGATTCAAGGACAGAAGAGGAAGAACTTTACCCCGGTGTTCTCCAAACGTGTTTACCACGTTTGGCCACAGAGACTCATAGAATGGTGCATCTGGAGGGGGGCAAGAAAGCCACGGGGTCCACCCCCCACCATGCAAGTCTCTAGCATGCGAGGGCAGCAAGACTGCTGGGAGGTTTGTGCTTGTGACAGCATCAGCAGGCCCGTTCAACAGCACCCCAGTCCTTGCAGCAGCATTGGAGCTATTTTAAGGCGTCCTTGATTCTTGAATCAATTTTTGAATTGGTTCTTGAATCGATCCTTGAATTTGATGCTTCTACATTGCAAGAAGTATATACTAGACACAGATAGGTTACCTCGACCTGACAGCCCACCTGAACTATCAGGAGAGTTGCAAGACCGAGCACTAATTTTGCTTGTCTGTGTGTGCAGGTGTGCATGCATGCAGGCACGCACACACGTGTGTGCATATGGAAGGCAAAACGCAGAGCTGGATTCCTGCCACAGCTGTGATACAGTTTAGGGATGCTGCATCTGCCTTCATTTGAACCTTCTGTCTCCTTTTCTCTCCTTCCTCCTCTCATCTCTGCAGGATCCAGGTTGTCCAGTTATATTCGGAAAGGCTGTGATGTGGGCGGGAAGCCAAACAATTCGCTCACACACTTCTCTGGCAAGGACGTGGTGTTTCTGGTGGAAGAGCACTGCGACACGGACCTTTGCAACAGGGGAATACCACCTGGTCAGTAGAAATACGGAGGGCTAGATGGGTTCGGATTAATACAGAGGGTTAATGTGTTAATGTCTTAATTCAGAGGGCTAAATACTTACTGATACATTATGTTGGAGCTCTGTGCTTTAATTGATTGTTAACTTTCCAGAACCTATGGGAAAGGGGTGGTAGATAAATATTAAGATATTAAATGCTGGCTTCAGACAACACTGCAAACCATGGTGGTACAGAGAAACCATAGAACAAACCATGGTTTCCTATCATGGTTTCTAAAGACCAAACTTACTATGGGACAATACCGTGATTGAGTTCAGAAGACGCAGCAGAGCAGCAATTGTAAAAATCCACCAGGGTTTGTTCTGTTATCTGAACCCAGCCACAGCCTCCAACTTCAGAGGGATTCTCCAAACTAACCTATGGGCCTTTGGATGCAGGTAATAGATCACCTAAATTCTGCAATTAGTCGAAAGTGCTAATTGCCCGGCACCCCTCCCCCTCCTTTCTTCCAGTCATGAGCACCATCACTGCTCGAGGTCATCATCGAAGCCGGCTGGACTGCAATTCCTGCGCCTCTTCTGCTGAAACCTGTTTCAACACCACCCTCGTGCCACTGCGCTGCACCCATCCTGGGGAAAGCTGTGTAGATATCACATCCTTTACTGGACCCAAAGGTAAGTTCTTGTCACTCGGGTCTTAAAGTTCTTTTTTTTTTTTAAGCCCATCTGGCAAAAAATGGGCTTTAAATAGTTAATCTGGGAGGACCCTGGACCTCTGGGTTTCGGAGTTTACAGCCATTGCCATGGGATTGCCCCCTAATGGTCATTTTAAAATTACAATCAAAACTGCAAATTTTCACAGGGAAGGCAAGCACTAAGGAACTGACTGTGCGCACACACGCACACATGCACAAGCACAAGCACACACACGCACACACACTATTTTGCAGCCATCCCTGTCTGCAACCTCTCCAGTCATCATTTGGCACCTGTCTCTGGCAGGTGGACCTCCGAGTTTTACCAAAGAAACAGAGCTGAGCCTTCCGACCTGAGGTCTGCCCACCTCTGCTGCACAGAATAACAACGCCACATTGTGTCCGAGGGGCTGTCTAGTTCCACGCACAAAACGCAACGCTATGCAATTGTGCTTACCAACATTTCCACCGGTTGCTTGGCGTCTTCGCCCCCTGGAGGCCAAAGGGTGCATTCACAGCCATGCGTTTCTCCCCATTGGTAGAATTTCCTGCGGACGAGCAGCGCATCAAAGGCTGTGGGCAGCTCTCCCAGTGCCAGGAGCCGCTGGGCTTTCACAACCTGGACAGTTTCCACTTGATCAAGTGTTGCAACACCAGCCGGTGCAACGACGACAGGCAAGGTAAGGCAGCAGGGGAACGCTTGGGGTGCAACGGACAGAAGTGGCGCCTGCCACACAGTGCTTCACATATCCTAATCCCCTACCCTCCTGTTTTGGGGTGCTTCTTCCAAGAGATACTGCGAGCTGTCAGAGGCCTTTGCATTCCAATTCACCCTCCCTACGCAACTTTCTATTTTCCGACTGACACCCCATTCTGCTGGTGACCACTGGGCACACTCACACCTCTTTGGACTATTGGGGAGGGATGTGTCCCTTCTTGGTGTGTGCATTTAATTTATAAATCTTGCCCTTTTTCCTTCCAAGGAACTCAAGGCAACTTCCATCATTCTCCTCCTCTCGATCTTTTCCGCACAACAAAGAGGAAAGGGGATTTTGCCTGCCAAAATAAATTTATGACATCCTGCAGCGCTATAGACGGGTAGTAGGGTACGGCATGCCCATCACTGTTACAGTGGCTTCTGGAGTTGTAAAGGTGGACCCAAATTTACATGCATCATGATGCAGCCCGTTTAAAATCGGGGCATCCTAAGCACTCAGTTGCAGACAATCCGTGCATCCATTTGAAAATGCCATGTGCGTTCTCTTCTTCCGCCTGCAGACTACAAGAATACGCCCCTGCCCTGGAATGGGGTGACTTGCTTCAGCTGTGAAGGGAATGCCACCCACGGTTGCTCTCCAGAAAGCATCTCCAAAGTGCAATGCCAGGGCCCCATGACCCAGTGCCTAGAAGCCTCGGGCATTCATGGTGAGTATCTCCAACAAGTTTCGGTCCTCTGCTACACAAAACGCACGGCTGTTTGTCACCGAGAAGTCAGCTTTATCCATCAAATCAGGCGGGGAGCCAAGGTCAACCGCTCAGAGTATCGGCCAAACAGAATCGAGGTCCAGAAGGCAGCACTGGGTAGAAATCTATGGGCCGTTAACACAGAGGTCCTAACACAAGTCAGGTTCAGAAAAGAAGATTACATAGTTATTTAGCAGACATCGACACTTTGTTGGTGTTCCAAAGCCCCATGTCCCATTTGCCACTGGGCATCACAGGCTCCCAGCTTGAAAATGGATCAGCAGGGCACATACTTTGCAGGTAGGGTTCAGCCAAGCCCTGGCAGAATCCACCCCTCCAGAATTTGCAGACTCCCCTCTTGTGCTTGGCCCAGGCTTGCAAAGGAAGCTGGACTGAGAGGAAATCTGAGAATGCTCACAAAACGAAGGCTGCACATCCGGCAAGCCTCTTCCGTGTCAGCTGCAGCAGCACAAACGGTTGCTGCATGTGGCGTGGAAGAGAGAAACTGCTTGCTTGGCGCATGTGGCTCGATTCCTGGGGGACGCTGGGTGCTCTCAGCAGGAACTTGGACTCCGAGCCCCTGAAAAGCGGAGCAGATTCCCACACCCATTCGGGTTCCTCACACATCGCTATTTGCATGCATGAAGTCCCAGGTTACACCTTGGCTTCCCTAAGGGAGAGGAATTTGAGGAGCTGGGCTCAGCAAATACGTGGGACTTGGAGTTCTGCCACTAACATGAGCAATGAGTCTAGAACGAAAGCAATCAGGCCGCTTCCTGTTGTTGCCCGGTGACGTGTCACCTGCTCATCCCAACCACAGCTCAGTGGTGGGAGCCCAGCTCTGCAGACAGGGGTCTTTCCTTGCTTGGAAATGCTGGGGATCTAAGCCAGGTCCTCCTGTATGCAAGCCACGTGCTCTCCCACCGAGCCCCAAGTGGAGCAGGGAGTGAGGTCCAGCAAAGCTTCCTCCCAGCTTCTCTCACTGCTCCTTCCTCCAATTTAGGAATCTCAGGGGAGAACGCTGTCCTCAAGGGTTGCGCTTCCCCCTCCTGGTGCGACAGTCCTTACACCTCCGTCTATAAGAACCTGGGCGCCGTTCACAGCCGCTGCTGCACGGGCGACTTCTGCAACAACCAGATCGTCGACGGGACCCTGAGGCCTTCCCCTCGCAGCCGAGCCAGCCACGAGGCCCCGGCCCCGCTGACTCTGCTCTCCACGAGCCTTCTGCTCGCCATGGCCTTCCTCATGTCCTCAGAGAGCTCCTGACCTTCTGTGCTTAAGACTGGGCAAGACCTGGGCCAGGACTGACCGGGCTCCAATGTGGCGCCCTTTCTTCCACCACCCCCAAATCCCACTATTACAATGCAATCCAAAACAAAGGAACATGTGGCATAACAAGAAAGAGCTTCCGAGTACTTGCAAAGGGCTTTTTTCTACATCGCCGAAGGACTAGCAAGCATTCCTGGAGAGGCTGAGAATCAAGACTGGCCTTCCAAGTGCACAAGTTTCAAGCCCTCTTCATAGTTGGAGTAGACTTGCATTGGCAGCCGTTTTTTTTTTTGAGACACGAGAAAGCAATTAGAAAAAGTCAAGACTTTGGATTCCTCAGGTCGGTTCTTAGCTGGGATATTGAAAATGAAGTTTAATGGATTAAGACAGGGGTGCTAGACACCGTCCTGTCTGATGTCTCTATTGACAAAAATATTTTTTACCCTGCTGAATAGATACTCTAAAGCAGAAACATCCCATCTTATTTTGTTTTTCTTCCTCATGCTGTGAAGGACTCTTTTTATTTTAACTCTTCCTACAAACAAGGTTTGGCCTCTGGCAGCCTGCACAAAATGATCAAGAGGACTAGAAGCTCTATTCTTGTTCAGTCGTGCCAAGGAATTTTCAGGCACATTTACCATCCACTTAAATTTTGCCTTCCTGGAGTTTGATGAGACGGTGTTCTCCCTATTATTTTATTATATGAATGTTATTTAAAATAAAATTTTATTTATTTAAAATGTTATCTTCTATATTCACTATATTTTAATAGAATGATTGCACTTCTTTTCTGTGGATTCGTGCTGATAAAAATAATGAAACATGCTGTAATGACCTTATAGCTCTCATTTCTGCCGTGTGTATTGACCAAAGTGCATGCCATGTTACTCACACCTTTAAAAAGAAGGATGCTTCTGTTAGTTACTTTTAATTTACAAAACAAAGCTGAACTAAGAAATCACTCATGACAGGAAGAGCAATCTGGAATGTGTCTCAAAGTAGTGTGGGAGCAATTTTCCAGATGGGTACAGTGGCACCTTAAATAAAAGTGAACATCTGGAGAGGCAGTGTGGTGTAGTGGGTAGAAGTTTGATTTGGTCTAGGATTTTCCTGCTCAGCTGCAGGGCTGCCTGTATGGCTACTCCCTTTCTCTTTCTCTTCCCCAGCCTGATGCACTTCAAACATTCTGAGTGGTACCAAATTTGCACAAAACGATTTCTGTCCTCTGCAAGCATGTACACTGTTCATGGGCAGTTCGTGTGTGTGATCCTTGCTGGGAGTTGCACTGGAGGAAAGGTTAAGCCACCTTCGTTGTGTGCCATGGTCCCAGTCCTTTCTGAACACCTGCAGGATGGATACTCGGTTGTTTGAAATGTGGCTCCCCTTGCTTACGTGCAATTAATTTCCTGCCTTGGTTTGATCTGGTGTGCATTCTCTTTTATAAAGAGTAACATCTATTGTTTGCACTCTGTCTGAGAATTCCAACACATGACCACTGATCAGAGCAATGCTGGGCTTTTGTTTGTTTTGTTTCTGGGAGGGTGCGAGCTCACATGGAGCTCAACATGAGTGCTCAAACGCAGATCTTTGCCATTGTCCTAAGACTGCTTTTAAACTTGCCAGTTTAGCAGACACCAGCGGTATAATCATAGCATTCCTAAGTGAGAAGGTATCCAGAGAGGTCATTTAGTCTCACCTTCCCTCTTTTAAGACCGTGATTCGTCACATAAATGACACCGCAGTAATGATTTGCAGTAGAGCTGTGGGGACAGTGTCCATCGCTGGTTTTCCGGTTTAAGAACGTGGGTGCCAAGCAAAAATCATGCCAAACTTTCCCGGGGCCCCTTCTCTCCTACAAGTCATATGCTACAGCGTCCTGGCAAGCAAAGTTTATCTCACAAGCCAGATGACAGATAAAAGTGCTGCAAAGAGTGTTTTGATAACAACCCAGCTCAGGAGGTGTGTGTTGAAACATCCTTCAGGGAGTAAGCCACAGTTTGCAACACCCCCCCCCCTCCCTTGAGAAAGTTCCTGTTTGGGGGAGAAAAAATAAAATGAAGAGTTGTCACCCTGCTGTGTTCACCCTTGTCCCATTGCGGTTGTTTTTCAGTTGATTTTGTATTGTAAAACTTCAAAGAGGAAAGAAAATGTGGCTGCATAGACGTGATTATATACATTTCAGAATCTACGTATGGAATGCATGTGGATGCTCTTGTTTGAGGGCTGTGAGAACAGTGCTACACCACAGGGGACTTAAGCATCTCATGAATATTTTCTACTGCTTTGGAAGGTTAATTGAAAATATATGTAACTTCACTTTCATGGCTGGTGGGGCCATGGAACTGGGACCTGGGATGCTACAGTAGTGAGTGAGAAAGAGACTGGTTTCAAACTGGCATGTGGTGGGACCCCTGGCAGGTGGGTGGGCGGGCGCTCTGGGGAGGCCAAGAAGCTGTTCTCCCACTGGGGTTCTCTGGAGAGGTTGGCTGGCCCAGGGATTCAAGAGTGGACCCTCCACAGGGCCTGCTTTCCAGCGACGGCCAATCCGTGAAGCTGATAGGTTGCAAATTAAGGGCAGACACCAAGTAGGCCGACTCCGAAATGGGTCACCTCCATCAAGGAAGCCACAGCCTCGAATTTGCAGGAGCTGAGCAGGCCGACATGCGTAGGGCATTCTGGAGCATTTCCATTCATAGGGTCACCATGAATCAGAGAGGACTTGACTGCACATAACGACACCCAGTAGGATTCCTTCACACAGCCCGAAGGCACATGATGGTGTTCACTTCCATGAGATGTATTGAGGGCCACCAATTTGGATGGATCAAAAGCAGACTGGACACATTCATGGAGGAGAAGTCTATCGGTGGGTGATGACTATGCCATCTTCAGTGTCAGGGATGGTGTGGGAACTCCAGAGAACCCACTCTGGATGGGTGGGCGGGTACAGCTGCTGTGACCTCCTGCTTGTAGGTTTCCCACGAGCAGCTGGTTGGCCAGTGTGTGAACAGAATTCTAGATGGTTCCTTGGTCTGGACCAGAGGGACCCATCCATGGCTCTGCTGGGGCTCTTATGCCCACACCAGCTTGGCAAAGGCTGGTTTGTGTGTATGGCAAGCAGGTGATTCGATGAAGGGTGAGATAGAAATATTTTAAATGAATTCTTTGTCACGACATGTACGTACAGGTGGTCTTTGTGGCCTGGGTGCTGTCACCATCTTGGCCTGCGCGTTGGCTGGGTCCCTGCTTGGATGAGGAGAGCTTGGGCTTCGGTGATCTGTGCCCTGGTGACCTCCCACGTGGATCACAGCAATGCATGGCGTTGCCAGGCTGCCTTGGAAGAGTGTCCGGAAATGGGTCTGGGCATTATGGGTCGATCACAGCATCTTTGCTTGGGTGGGCAGGCACTCTTGTCCTCGCATCCTGCTTCTGGGTTTCCCACAGCCCACTGGTTGGACATGGTGCGCACAAAATGCTGCATTATATGGGCCCTTGGACTGGTGCAGCTGGGCTCTAGTTACGTCTGCACATTCTTAGCCCAGCCAATGGTGGTTACTTAATCCTTCGCTCAGAAGAATGATTAGGCCATTCTTCTTCTCGGTTTCAGAATGTCCACTTTTGCCCAGCCTTTGCTAGGAAGTTGCACACATCCGGGAAATGAAAGTCGTCAGGTTGTTTTCTTCTTCTGCTTCTTGAAAGAAGCTTGCAAAGTCATTTTGCTTCAGACCATGGCCAGCACCCCACTGAGATGGAGACCCACCGCTGTTGCACCGTCAGCCTTCCTCCTAACGATCTTCTTCATCTCAGGTACCAGCCTTTATCCCTATCAGTCTCTCTGATATCAAACTCGGGGGGTTGAATGAGAACAGGCCTGGAGCCAAAACAGGGACACTGAGGACAGAAGCCACCCAAGAAGGACTGAGGCTGTCCAGCAGACTCCAGAAATCACCCTGGTTGTAGGGCAGCTGATGCGTTTAGATGCTGATTGTGTTAATGAGGATGTTGAGCAACAGTTATGAAGAAAGTGAAATAGCTTGTTTGAGCCCTTACCCAGCCCCGTAGAAGAGCATGTCTGGTCGGTACCCAGTAAAGAAACATTCCTGTTACTGGGAGTTAGGATATACTGCAATACTTCGTTGTAGGACCCACCGGGTCTTCCTGATATATAACTTGGGCAATCCTGCACCAATCCTCCTTTCATTCAGTTGGAAATGACTTTCTAGTCCTTCAAAAAATATTTTCTGTTTTGCTATCCAAAAACAATGTTTTAGTTTATCTTTTCTTGCTTGTTCTAACGGTGCGGTTTGGTTTTGACTTCGAGTCCTTAGGACTAGCATAGCTGCGAGCATCCCAAGAGCGTCTCCAGGATCTGTCCCCGCAACCCACCCCATTTTTGTCTCTCTCTTCAGGGGCATCTACCTTGACCTGCTTCCACTCCACCTTAGTCACACTTTTCAGTTCCGAGGGAAAGAAGAGGTTTAGTTTGTCCACAGAGAGCATGAATGTCACATGTTCCTCTGAAGCGAATGCTTGCATGTGGGCTCAACTTGAACTCAGCACAGGTAAGCGAATCTTATGTAAGATGCACCCAATTCAGCTGTTATATTTCGTGACCTCAGCTTCCAGTAAGAAGCAATGGAGAGGAGGGAAAATTTTGTCATGCCAAATGCCTTCAGGATGAGAATTGCGTGTCTGCCTTCCCAGTGGGTTTATGTGAGGTCTGAAGTGACATTTGGGATGCAATCAAAATTCAGAGAGAAAAACGAAAAATTGATTTACTTTCATTTGTTTGCAGGTGCTAGAAATGTAGTAAAAATGTTCCGCTCATGTTTTTAGAATTTAAATCACCAATTTCTAAAAATTGCATGCTGACCATTAGGATTCCCTGTGGTTACATCCTCCCTGCACTCTGAACCATGCAGTGATGTGGGAAGCTGTGTTGACCTCCATGGTTGTGCGTCACACCAAAGAGTCACACTTCAGAGCAAAACGCCTAATTCATCAGGATCAAATGAGAGACTAATGAACTGACAAAGGGCACTGTAGAGCTGATCATGTCGAACCCCTTCAACTGGAATGATCTGAGACTGGATGAGAAAGGCAAACAGGGACACGTATGTCCCAAAGATGCTTAGGGCCACTAGTTCTAGATTTTCAGATGTTTATATTTGTTTGGCAGTAAATATCAACATGTTATTTCACAGTCAACCAACCTGTTCTAGCAGTTTTCTTAATCTGTTTTGTAAAGCTGGTGGATCTTAACTGTCCATTCAAGACTAAGCCAACCCCCAAAATATTTAGTCTTACAACAGGATTAGTTCACAACCATCTATTATCTCAGGGGGAATCTATTCTCCTTCCTCCACTAACCTGGACGGGCAGCTAAGCTCAGAGGCATCAAGGACATATCCCAGTGCTTTGACCCTGGGACCCCTCTAAGGATCCTCGTCTCTGTATGTAAATGGTGTCATTATACAGTTTCGTTACTGGGAAGCACTGAGCTCAAGTTGTATCGAGCAAAGTCACGGGGCTCCCACTCTTTTCCGTTCTTCTTGCAGAGAATCAATATAGTTCATGTCATGCTTCCTTTCCGGCTTGGCCTCTGCCCACATTTTCCATGGCATTCCAGTTACCTGTGGGCAAACTAAAAGAATCCCTTCTTCATAGTAGGCACGTCGTGAGCAGAGCCAGCTAGAGCTGGGGGTCAGACTAGATGGCCCAGGAGACCCCTTCTGACTCACTCTGTTTCTGTGTTTCTACATCTACAATATTAGTAGTAGAAATATTGGTATTATTGGGCATGAGGAGGGAGGCCACAGATTTCATGAGGGTTGCAATTTCCACCTGGAGAAAAGCCTTCCTTGTGGTGGCCCCATTTCTGTGGAGTTTTCTGTCTCTGGAGGTCAGGCAGGTGTCAGCATCTTATTACTTTAGGGACCTCTTCCAACCACGTTTGCTTCAGGGAGTCTTCCTGAACCAACAGGCTGTGGCTTTATTGATTTTCCTGTTAGCATGTTGTTTAATTCGTGTGCCTGTTTCATCTTAATTTGTACTTCAGTCCAAAATCATTCCATGTTGGCCTATGGAGTGGTATATAAACTGTGTAAAATGGCAGCCAATAGGTTCTGGGAGTTATGCCATCTTGGAAAGAGCAGAATTGGAATAGCAGTTTAAGTGGCCTTGAAGCACTTCCTGAAACACCTTCTCTGTGGGGAGAGCTTCTGACTTGCCCACTCATGAATTCCCTCCTGTATTATTGGAGGCTGCCTCAATGCTAGATCAAACCACATTGTGGAACCTGCCACAAAACAATCACTGTAAGAAAATCACCCTTAGACCCCCATCCCCGGTAAAGTTGGCCTTCAGAATAGCCTCCCATTACATCAATCTCTCTCTCTATTTGTTCCTGTTTTAGATGGAGGAACTGTGCTTGTAAACCACGGAGACTGTGCTCTTAAAGACCTCCGTCACAAAGACGCATCCGTCACCTCTGGGGAACAGTACGTTGCCACCCAGTCTGATGTCCACTATTGTCTCCATGACTTTTGCAATGTGCAAACAGCCCCGGGAAAGGTCTCCAGCAGCCCTGGAGGGAAGAAAGGTAAAAATGGCCCCCGGGGGGAAAGTGAGAATGCATGACTTTCCCCTCGTAGAATAGGTGTTAAGTATTACTGCTGATATTACTGGCATGCCTTCAGTAGCTTGTATCACATGTGGCTGTTCTTCAAGGCATGGCGATCTAGGAACAGGTCCCATTTCTGCTCGCTATGCAGCTGTTGAAGAGACAACACCTCATGGCCACCCTTTCCATTTGGCCAGAGGTGGGCTCTCCAAACGCTTGGGCTTCCAGTTCCTCACTGTCCACTATGCGAGCTAGGGCAGATGGGAGTTGTAGGTCAAGGCATTTGGAAAGCCACGTCTTGCCTACCCTGCATTAACAAGAGCGAGCCAGCTGGGCTGGGGAGCAGATGCAGAAGCTATGGGGTGGTGGCGGGTTGCTGGAGGACAGAGTTCCATGGCCAAGCATCGTGTGGGGCACACCCAACCCAGACTTCATTCTTGGGGTGCGGTGGAAGGTGCCGGGATTGCCAGATTCACCTACTGCTCTGAAGCAGTTTCCTTGGATGGAACGGGGAGAGAGGGCCTCTTGTCATCCACTTTGAGAAGAAATATGTCTTGGGCCAGCCCTAAGGAGTCTTGGCAGGAAGAAATGGGGGGACGACCCTATCAGGAGCAACATCACCCTCCAGTTGAAGGCCAGGTCAGCTGGTCATGGTGGCTGGGAAAGAAATATGGTGCAGGCCCTTTGTAGTTAATTCTGGTTTCTTCTGGAAGTGCTTGGAGCAGACTGGCCCAGCCTGTGCTATTCCGGCTTCAACTTTGAGCACACAGAACCCTTCCTGGAGAGAGTGAGATGCAGAAAAGGATACTCGCAGTGCTACCAAGGAGAAAGCACCATCACCGTAGGTGAGTCAGTCCTTAGTGCTGGGTCCTCTGAGGAACCCTTTTTCACACACACCCTTCCATTTTTTGCTAGCAGAACTGTGGGGCTGTCAAAAGCAGGCAGAGGTAAGTTGGACTGCCAGGGACAGGGGCTGGAGAAACATAAAGGAATTCCGGAGAACCCTTTGAAGGCTCTTCTGACTATTTTATGCAAAGCGCTGTTCGTCCCTGCATAGGTGCGATCAACATGAAGCGCATGCTCTAGCACATGATCCCCGATCCATGATGTGCAAGCCTGTGAGAGACCCTACCTGCTCATTGCTACACTATGTGGGTTAGGATACCCTGCTAAAAATAATGATAATCTATGGGATGCACCCTATGACTTGGCCCTTGATTGTACTTTTGCTTTGTTCTCATTTGTGACTTTGTCTCCCATCATCCACTTATGCCCACCTCGTACGGCATGGCTGCCCAAGGCTCAAAGAACCCTGAGTAGCTGCAACGGCATGGGAAAGAGACTGTATTTTATTTATGTAAGCCGTCCTGAGGCTTTTGCGATAGGACAGCATATAAATATCACAAGCAAACAAACACACAAATAAATAGAGTGCCTCCTTCTCCCAGCAGGAATCGTTTGTGCCCCGGTCTGTGTTGTCCAACCTGTAAGGTTGTTGAGGAGGAACATTTCACATCTCATTCTTGGGATACACATCTGCATTGCTCCTACGTCAACTATTGATAATTCTGAGTTTTAGTGTCACAGAGAGCAGAGCTGGAGTTTCATTAAGCTTTTCCACTCAGCAGGTGGGCAGCCAGGATCCACCCCCCCCCCCAGTCTGCAGCCTCCCTCCCAGTTCATTCTCAGCACCCCCATGGGGAGTTAACCAACCCAGGGGTTCTTACGAACATGTGACTCAGGTTCATGATTTTCATGTGCTGTCAGGTGTTTTGCTTGTAGAGCTTTTTGGATGAACAAGTACAGGCAAGGGTGCAGGAAGAATGCAAGGCAAACTCAAAATAGGTAGCAAGAATACATGACTTAAAGGTATTATTCTCTGTGGACATAGTCACTGAAGCTGCTCTGGGAATTTTGCAGGATGGAAAGGTGGGAGACAACACTAGCTCTTGAAATAAATAAATCACAGCTACCTGTGTGTCCTGCATGAGATGAGATCACGGCCCTCAGAGTTCACACTGTCCTCAAGGGCGTCTGACCCACTCAAGTTGCACTTTCTCCCCGATTTGCTCCTCGATGGGGTAGACATGTTCCCATCAGGCCCTGTGTGTTGCATTGCATTCTGGGAGAAACGAGCCCTGAGGCCATGCCACCTCACACGGTGTCATGCTTCTTCTCCTCTTTCCCCCCACCCACAGGACTCCTCGTCATCCCCATGTACGTCCGGACCTGCCAGCGTCAGGCCTGTGCAGTGCCTTCAAGCCAGTCCTTTGGCCCCGTGACGATCACCAGCCAGAAGGGGTCCTGCTGTACTGGCAGCTATTGCAACGCCAAGAACGCAGCTGCTGAAATCCAGAAGCACAACCAATCAGTTCCTTCTCCTGGTACTCATGGCACACGTCTCTCCACCGCTGCCACTGACCCTGACATTGAAGGCGGCATCAACAGAACCTCTCCAGTGCCTACAGTGTGGTCTCTTCCACCAGGCCACCCCTGGGAAAGCAGCCCCAGCAGCCCCACCACGGGATCGAATTATGACTACGACAAATATGACGCTGATTTCAATGAAAACCCAACAACCATCCTCCCGTTTATTCCACCAAGAAATGGCTCAGGTCCCCAGCGGTGCCCCATCCAACTTGCCCCTTTGCTGGTAATCCTCAGACTGGCAGTCCTTGGGATATGGTGGTGGGAAATGGGGCCGGAGTGGTGACGGCTGGCTTCTGTACGAAGGGCAGAAAGAAAGGGGAGAAGCCAGAGCAGTCAGTCTAACTCACTTCTGCTTCCACCCACCCAGTTCGCACATCAGCTGTGAGGCCAAAATCTTGAGCACTAGAAGGCAGTGATAAGCTTGCCAGGTCACAGCCTGGAGAATTCATTTTATGCCGAAAAATCTTTTCCCTGCAAGGGGAGATTCCTCCTCTGCTGTGCCCTACACACCATAGAAATCTGGGTCACATCCTGGCCATCTAAAGCAGGATGACAGAGTTAGGTTTCCTGTTCCTTAGTAGCTTTTTTCAGGCCTGTGCTATTGTTCAAATTGTATTATCAATGTTACTTTCAAGATTATATTAATGCAATACATATTAATAAAATACACACCTATTAACAGAATGAAGAGTGGCATGAGATAACTTGCTAGAACAATTATTCATTTGGAATGTTTGTGTGCCGTCCCAGTTGCATAAGCCTCAGGACGGCTTCCAACATCATCAATAAATACTTATACAAATAGATGCATATAAAATCTGGATACATCCTGGCAAAATAATTTAAAACCAATAAATAATGTCAACAATTATTAAAATATTGTTTAAATAAAAAGGTCTTGGCCTGGCGCCGAAAAACAAATAATGACAGCGCCAGGCGGACCTCTCTGAGGTTCTGAGCAACAAACACCCACCCAGAGGTGCACAACCTTGGACCTTGAACTAGCACTTGTAGGGTCTTCCCTGTACCCTCGTAGCTCAACCTCAAATGATTTCCTGCTTCCTGGCTTTACGTCCATCCCCCCCCACACTCCCCACCGCTGCTTCCTATCAAGGCATCACAGAATAACAGAACAGGAAGGTTCCGCTTTGCTCCAGGACAGCCCTCGGGCGGCTGTCGTGTGTTCCTGATGCGGCGCCGGCCTCTGGTCCTGAGGCGTTGCTGACTTGTCTCGCTCTTGCCCAGGCCTGTGCTTGCCTTTGCCGCCGGTCCTGCCGCACCTTGTCACTGCCCGACCCGCCCTGTTCTGGCTCAGCCTTGCCTCTGGCCCTGCTGCATCAAGCGAAGTCTGACCCTCGCCTGGGCAAGGCTTGCTTCTCATCCTGCCTCCATCCCCTCTGGGTCTGGTGTGCCGGCCAAGGACAACTGCCACGTCTGTCCCGGAGCTGAGAGAACGGGCCTCGGGGGAGCCAGGTTGTGGCCCACGACGGGCCCAGCAGCTCATGGTCAGCATGGGCTGCCAGACAGCATCTAAACGCTGTCTAGAGCCAGTGTGGCGTAGTGGTTAAGAGCATGGGACTGGGATGCAGATGATCTGGGTTCGAATCCCCACTCAGCCATGGAGCCAACTAGGTTAATTTGGGCCAGTCACAGACTCTCAGCCCAACCTACCTCACAGGGTGGTTGTTGTGGGGATAAGATGGAGGAGAAGATTGATTTAAGCTGCCCTGAGCCCTTTGTAGGAAAAAGGCAGGATATAAATCGAAAAATAAATAAATAAATAAATGAGCCCAGGAAGCCTTGCGTTTCCAGCAATGAGGTTAGGATATTCCCAAGGGGCCAAGGGATGCTGAGGCTTTCCTCCTGGGGGCTGTAGAGAGCAGGCACAAGCCACAGTGGGGAAGGGAAAGGATCCTGACCCTGATCCTCTCTCCAGGACTGAGCTGAGGAGGAGGAGGAGGGATGGGGCTATGAAGGCTGGTGAGGAAGGGAGAGGAGCAGCCATGGGTCTTCTCTCCCAGGACCACAGTGCTGAAATCCAACACAGCATGTTCCAAGACGTGTTGGGACAGAAAAAAGCCCGGCGATTCCCAGCAGCTCCCGGCCAGTCATCTAGGACTAGCCGAGCCCAAGGTTGCGCCCTTCTTCTGCCTGCTTCCTGTGGCTCCCATTGTGGTGATGAAGAGCACGTCCAGGCCATCCTAGAAAGCCTTCTTCCGGTTGGCCCCTCTGCCATGTGTGTCGGCCAAAGGGCGTTTCATCTTAGCCTCACTTTCAAAGCAGATGTGTGTTTCAACATCTGAATTTCATCTTGCAAAACAAATCAGCCCAGGGCTCTAGATCTGGAATATGCCCCAACTTAGACCTCCATCCTTAACCAAATGGATAACGTGGCTCCTGAAATAAAAGTGGTCCCTTGGAGAGGCAGGGTGGTGTAGTGGGTGGAGTGCGGGACTTCATCTCGGGAGGCTTGGATTGTCCTGCTCAGCTGCTTGCAAGGCCACCCCAAGCCAGTTCATGGGGCTTTTTTGAAATAAACAAGACAGGAGAGGTGCTGGGCCCACTTCGAAGCTGCACTGCTCTCTCAAGCACATGGAAAAGGAGATTTTCAAGGACACTGTGTCCTTCTTGTGTCCCAGAAATCTGTACATTTCCATTCCACAAGCCAAAGTGCCAAACTGGGTGTGTGTTATTCCATGATCTCTCAAGCACCATGATCAGAAGAGGGACCTGGTTCAATGGATTAAATGATTGCAGGATTAAATCCCCCGCTTAATCCCTGGTTCCTACTGGAACTTCACTGGCTGTGGAGCTTGGTGAAGGACGCCAGGAAGCCCTTGTGTCCACTTCTGTTGGCACCATACTAGCAGTGCAAAAGAGAGAAAGGCATTAGGGAAAAGAATAAAAGAAACCTGCTACAACTCTTGAAAGCTCTAAGCCCTACCTGTGAAAAATGGTTGGTCTCCTTCCCCTGGAAAAATTCCATGAAACCTGCCCCATTTGTTTCTCTGCCCGTCCTTTAGGATTTCCAAAAGGACATTTGAACATGCTATTCTCCCTTGTCCCCTTTGTCCTCAAAGCTGTGTTTATTTACTGTTTCCCTCACTAGAACTGTCGGTCCACACTCGTCTTTGTCTCAGCAAGTCAGTCCTTGCCCAATCTCTGCTAGTGACGAGTATAAATAACTTATTTTCCTGCCATCTCAGAATATGGCCCTCTCGTCCTTTACCTCCACGGCTCCTTGGAAGGTTGGCTCTTGGCTCTTTGAGGGCTTTTGCTCCTCAAGCCATGACAAGCGCTGTACTGAGATGGACGGCGGCGGCGGCTGCACTGCTAGGATTCCTCCTACTGATCTTGATCTCAGGTACCCGGTTTCCTCACTCTAATAGTAAACTCAAGTAGCTGAGTGTGAAATGATTGTAACTAAATGGGGCCATTGTGAAATGAAGAAGGTGCAGGCACAGTTTTCAAGGGCGGTGGGCAAGCAACAGGAAAGTAAAAGCCCACGGAGGATACCGGGAAGGAATTCTTACGTTTTATTCTTACACTTATTTGTAGGCTGCCTATAAGGGTAGAGAGCTTTGGCTTTGGATCATATAGACATTAAATAAGACACATCAGGGTAAAATCCTCTCCAGATATCCCAACAGCACACCCAGGATCTTGCTCTCCCCCGACCTTTTCGTATTTTTCTATCTCCCTACAGGGAATTCTGCCTTAAATTGCAATTTTGCTGTCTCAGTCAAGTCTTTTAGTACGAACGCTTGGGGCAAGTATAATATATACATGGATACCATAAATGCAACTTGCTATGGTGAGGACAATGCTTGCATGGATGCACGAGTGAAACTCTTGATAGGTAAGCAAATTTGATGTTGGACGGATGCCACAGGGTAAAAAAATCTTGATATTCCAAACACCAGTTGCATGCAGAGAATTAGGTATTCTGTGCAGCCATCTACACTTCAGGAGGCTTCTCCAGAAGTTTTTAGTAAGCTTCAACTGGATCCCAAGCAGGGTTCTGAGAACACCTACTTGGGAGCAGCAGTTGTGACCTGCAAGGGAAGCTGGAAGCAAAGTCTCTCATTCCATCCTAGCTCGGTGGTTCCCAGACCTCCTGTGGCCTGAACCCCTCATGAAGTCTTAATTAATTAATTAATTAATTAATTAATTAAAACATTTCTATGCCGCCCCATTCGCCGAAGCCTTGGGGCGGCTCACAACATAAATTAAAATACAAGAAATAACAATATAAAATAAGTCGCCCTGGCATAAGTCTTCCACGTCGTCTTTAATTATGCCTTTGGCATGACCCCTTTCAGTGCAGCGCCTTACCCAGCTCCCTCTGGGACTGACTATATTGAGAGTTCTTTGTGGACTTTCTTCCTGCCAAAACTCTGTGTACTGCAGCACCTTAGTGAAGTCCAAAATATACAGGCAGAGCTGTGCTGTGTGTCTGCTTGTCCAGCCTCCCCTGGACTGGAAGCCAGAGGGTTTAACAGCCATGACTCCAAGACACCCTCAAAACAGGATGGGTCAGAGCAAGACCTTCGGCACCCCGTGACCCTGCATTCATCTCCGCTTCCACTGTTTTTCTTGCTTCAGGCAGACAACTTGTGCTCATAAGATATACCGGGTGTGCCCACTGGGACTCCAGTACTGGGTCAGAACCCAGCATCTCTGGAGATCAGCACGTCATCAAGTCCAACATAAGCTATTGTTTCCATGACATTTGCAATCCAATAGCAAGCCCCAAAGATGTCTCCCTGATGCCAGAAGAAGAACAAGGTAATATTGGACTGCAGAGGGGACCGTGAGAACCCATGATTTTCATTGTGGGGTTGGAATGGGTTGCAAAATCTACTGCTTCCTTCTTTGGCAGGGCTCCCATGCCTTCCAGAATGAGCAAAATTGTACCGCAGGCAGCTCTTCCTGGCATGGAGGTCCAGCAACAGTGCTCATTAATTTCTGCTGTTGAAGAGACAGCAACGGCAGGGCCAGTCCTTCTGTAGGGCCTCCTCCCGGCCAAGGTGGGGAAGGCCCATCAGGCAGCAGATGCTGAGGGCAGGGAGGAGAGGCCAGCAGCTTGCCTTGCTGGCCACCCTCAAGGGCTGCAGAAGATGCTTGCCCTTTGGCTAGCAATGAAATACGATTCAACAGCCAGTCGGGGCAGCGTCCCATCCTGTGGCCACGTGAGGCTCCTAGGAGATGGCAGTGTCCTTGGAGAAGGCCAGGTGGCAGCAGGGAGGACCAGTCCAGGTATACCGAGCCGGCCAAGGCCAGGGAGGCTGCCCCAGGGAGGGCGAGTGAGGAACTGCAGGCTGAGGCGATGCAGGCCTCCCCCCCCCGTGCGAAGAGCGAGGATACCAGCACCATGGACAGCTCTGGGGGATGTTGTTGCAGCCGCTGGCTAAAGCTACCTGAAAGCTTTTGTGCGCATTCCTCATCTTCGCTATGAACAGCGCTGCTCCCCCTCTGAGAGCTGCTCAGACTGTTAACGGGCCGTCCTGGGATCCTACAGCATTCTGAGAGGCTGAGGAGGCGAAGTTCTTTTGAGGGTTCCTCCGTGGACTTGGAGGGTGATGGCCAGGTTTTATCTTCTGGCTGAGGTTCCTCCAATACCAGACTGAGTGTCCTTTCTCTGGAACAGCACTCCGATCCTGGTCTTCGTCAGAGTCTACTCCTTTACCTTGAAAAGCTTCATGACTGGGAAACATGGCGGACAGCTGCTGTGTGGGAATGGGGAAAGGCAGCACAGGGAGCCAGCCCTAATCTGAGGCCAATCCCCCCAGTCAAGCCCAGATCAGTGGGTGATTTATTTGCAATAAATATGGTGCAAATAATTTTTGCTGTTCGTTTATTCTTATTTTTAAGCACTTGAAACAAGTGATGCCAACTATTGCTACCATTTCTTCAACCATAATCAAAGTGAGCCCATCTTAGAAAAAGTGAGGTGCCAGGAGGGTTCCAAAAATTGCAACCAACTCAAGAAAGCTTCCATAGCAATAGGTGAGTCTTTAAGCTACCGTACATTTCAAAATCCCCTCCTTTATTTCATCCAAGGAACTCAAGGCCGCTTGCATAACTTTCCTCCTCCTCTCTGGCTTATCCTCACAACAACAACAACCCTGTGAGGTCAGTTGGGCTGAAACTCTGTGACCAGCCCACAGTCTCCCAGTTGGATCCATGGCTGAGCGGGGCCAGGAACCCAGATCTCCTGGGCCCCAGTCCTGCGCTCTTAACCACTACACCACACTGGCTCTTGTTCCACCATATATGATCCTCATTTATCACCCTATCCATTTTCCGCATCTTTAGGATCTTAATTGTGATCATTTTGTGCCTTTCCTGTGTCCAGCTTTTCTGAGAGTTGCATTCATCTGAGAAGGGGATGCGACGCCAGTCCTCATGCCTGCCAAGGACCCTGATTTGCATGTGGGTGAACTCATGGATGCCTTTCCCCACCCTGTCACTCTTTCTTCCTGATTTCTCCTCCTGATGGAATAGATGACTGCCGCATCGTACACTTTGGCATTGCTTTGCTTTGCATCCGAGGATACCTGGGCTGACAGCCTGGCTTCCTCACCTGAATTCACACCTCTCTTCCCCGCTCTTTCTCCATCACAGGAAGCCAAAGCGATTATGCTGTGTTCCCCATCAAGATCAGGACTTGTGCGAACACAAGCTATGCTGTTTCTTGGAGGCAGTTCTTCGGCCCACTAAGAGTCTGCATCAGGGAGGAATCCTGGTTCTCTGGCTGCAGGTGCCCTCAGAAGAAAATCAAGCATCTGATACAGAGGAGCCACGGGGCAGCAGCTGCCAGTGGAAGTGCTGTCAGTGACAACAACCACTCCGGCACACCCTCTCCAGTGCATAAAAAGCATGCAATCAGATCTGTCCACCACGGGGACCCCGAACCTGTCAGTCCCTCTGGGGATGCACATCATAGCGATGGAGGGGATGGGGCGGGGAACGCTGGTCCCTCTGACCATGGGTCAGAGCATTCCTCAAGTTCCAAACACTCCCCCGTTCAGCCCGGCCCCCTCCTGGTAGCCCTTGGGATAACCATCTTTGCAATGTGGTGAGCAGAAATGCAGCTGGAAGTGTGGAGATTTGACTCCTAGGCTGAATCAAACTTTGCGAAAGACTCGAGGGTTGCAGTCGGGCAAAAAGGGGAAGGGGAAGTCAAAGCTCCTGGCTCGGACTCACTGCTCTGGTCACCCAAGCAGTTCTTACCCTGGCTGGGAAAGACACACATTTATGCTTGTACCCAAGAATTAATTTTCCACTGAAATATCCTTCCCCGGAAAAGGAAAGGCTACCTTGTTTTTGTTAGTGCCTGCCGTTCCTCTTCCCTGCCTGAAGCACTTAATGCGTGCAACATTATTATTATTAATAACAATAACACTAATAATGCTGCGAACAGAGTTTCAAACTGACCCCAAAATTTCTTTGGCTACACTGGAGAACTGATAGAAAAAGCATATCAGAATCGGGGATGGTGTAGACTCAACTCCCACTCCATATTCCGGATGGCCAGATCGGCAGCATGTTATTGTATTTTATTTTGTATAGATTTCATTTTCAGGATTCCGTTAATGTCATACCGATTGCACGGAATAAAGAGCTTGGTGCCATAAAGTGCTTGCTTTCTAATACTTTGCTCAGTTTGTCACAGCATGTAACATTTACACTGTATCCTCTCTGTTGCTTATTCATTCTTCCCAAGATCCAAATTTAAATGCCCCTAATATTTTTTAAAAACTCTAAGCAGCTTGGTGGATTGCCCGGATCTGCCTGGGCTGTGAGATCAGCCTCCAATGGCCTGTCCCTAGGCCTGCCACCAAGGTCTATCAGAGCGGCATGAAAGAGAGACATGGCCTTTTTGGTAGTGGCCCCGTCTTTCTGGAATTGCCTCCCTAGGAAGATCTATATGATCAGTACATCACTGGCTCTAAGGAAACACAAAAGGCTTTTCTTGAAGCTGCTCTTACTGTGTGGTGCTCTGAAATGTTTTAATTACTGTTCTGTGATTCCTGTAATGTTGTGATTGTGGTTGAACTGGTCTTTTAAAAATATAGCACTGTTTGGATGTAAGCCTCTTGGGAGGGCATTGTCCTGAAAGCTGCCACACTTCTTTTCTTGAAGAAAAGAAATGGTTATTTTTAAACAGTATGCCATTGCCTAACTTCATACACATTTATGATCCTATGTAACTCAGCAATCAATATGAATCATCGTCAGAATGAATCAAGTTATACATAGGAGTGGAAAGAAATACTGTTAATAAATACTAAGCTGCTCTTAAGAATGCCCCATCCCACCAAGCAAGACACGTGATTGAGCAGAACATCTGGAATATGTACCAAGTTAGATCATATCCTTGTCCACACGGAAAAAGTGGATCCTGAAATAAAAATGGAGTAGTGAGTTGCTCGAAGCCTGAGCCAATGCACAGGGCTCTTTTGAAATAGGCAGGACAGAAGAGAGGCAGGCCTCACCACTACGCAACACTGCCCGCGCAAAACTAAGTGGGGAAAGGGACTTTCCCCAAGAACACGGTGTCTTTTTTGTGTGCCAGCAGTCTGTAAGTTTCATTGCACATGGACAAAGCTGCACAGAGTGCTAAACTGCCTGGGCACACGTTATCTTTTGATATCTCGAGCACCAAGGTCAGAACAGGATCCTGCCCATTGGACAGGGTGATCCCAGGATAAAATTCCCCTCCCTGCCCCTTGGCCTCTGCCCATGGAAACTGTGCCGGCCAGTCCACGCTTGGTTCAGAAGGATCCCCCTTTTTTAGGGAAAAAAGACCCTAACTGCACCCTACCTAGAACAAACCCTTTTTCTCTTCCTTATTGAGAAATTCCCTGAATCCCACTGTTTCTGCTTCCCTGCCCATCATAAGGTTGGATTTCCAGAAGGACATTTGAACATGTCGTTCCCCCCATGCCACCCCCTCTGTCCACCAAGTTGTGTTTATTTAGTGTTTCCATCACTAGAAATATTGACAGTGCTCTTGTTTGTCTCAGCAAGTCAGACCTTGTCCAGTCGCTGACAGCGATTAGGATAAATAGCTTCCTTCCACGGCCATCCCGGAATACAGTCGCCTCATCCATTTCCACCACGATTCCTTGGAAGGTTGGCTCTTGGCTCATTTTGCTTCCGAGATCATGGCAAGTGCGGCACTGAGATGGAAAAGGGCAGGTGCTATACAGCTCGGACTCCTCCTACTGATCTTCTTGACCTCAGGTACCCAGTTTCCTCACTCTAATAGTAAACTCAAGCAGGTGAGTGTCAAATGAACTAAATGGGGCCACTGTGAAAGGAAGAAGGTGCAGGCATGCTTACCCTGAAGTATAGCACATTTTCCAAGGCTGCTGGGCAAAGAACCAAGAAAGCAACAGTCTACTGAGGCCTTCGGCACTCAATGGGCTCCCTTATTAGCAGGTGCCCTTAATAAGGGGTGACTTCTGTATCATAATGTCAAAGGATAATAGACGGGGGGAAATGAGTGAATGTGCCTAGTCATTCTAGGGTTTCTGGGCATGGCATGGACTGGTTGATGGGAAGCCAGAAGGGACGTTCTTTTTCAAGCCTCAGGAAGAAACTTTTTGCTGCAGGACCCATTTTCCTTCTCGTGCAAACCTTGATGACTCCTTTGCCAAACAGAATGAGCCATACATAAAATAGCAACCTGGTTCACACAGCCCAACAACCCTTGATGGTAACTAGCCATGGTGGGTTCTTGTGTCTTCAAACCCAGGCCGAGTCCCCTAGGGAAGCGGCTTCTGTTTTCGTCTCTCCAACAAGCCACCCTGAGAACCCAAGAGCAAGTTAAGGAGTGAGGTTGCTGTGCTGACTGTGATACTCCTGAAGGCATAGGAGGCCCCTTCTGACTAGCTCTGTTTCTACGTTTCTATGTTTCTGCTTATGTAATACAACTGATTGATTTCTCACACAGTCCCATTTAGAGAAATCCTACTGAAATCAATAGGACCTGAGTGCCTGAGGACTAACTTGCAGCCCACTGACATCAGTGAGCCTACTCTGTGTGTGAGAAAATCTGCAACCAACCCTCTGGGCTTTCCCACAGATCTTGAGCCAACTCAAATGCAACAAGTAGCTTTCCATTCCAAATGCAAGCAATCACCCCGTGTGCGCGATTACCCTTTTGAAGAGCAGAAGCCACTCGGGATGGGCGAGTGCATCCACTTAATCTTTACCCCAAGGTTGCCCCCTCCAGGTGTTCAAGCGGACCTTGGGAATAGCCACAGACTGAAACTGCCGGGGGGGGGGGGATGGAGCAGGAGCCAGAGTAAGGCCTGTAACTCCGTGATGTGGTGTCAAGAGATAACGGCTGGTCAACTAGAGCAACTGTGTGGAAGTAAGCTTCTAGTGTGGGTTCACCACACTGTGCATGCTCAGAGACTCTCTCCTGGCTGATTAGGCTTTGCTGGATGTACATTGTGGAAGAATCAACCTTTGCCAAGGAGTGGAATGTTGTTTTGAAAGGGGAAAGGGAGAAACTAGCTCTCAGCTGTCTGCTTTCAAGGGGGAAACCCTCTCCAGATATTCCAGTAGTGTATCCACATGTTCCAGTAGTGTTGGGAGAGTTCTTCTCTCCCCATTCCCCAATCATGCCTTCTTTTTCCTTCTCCATTCAGGGAATTCTGCCCTGGAATGTTATACCATCACCAAAACCGATATAGGAAATGCCACCATAACAAGCTATCCAGGCAGTTCACAGATGCTCTGCTCAGGTGCTGAGAATGCTTGTGTGGAGGTGCAACTGAAATTCATTGTTGGTAAGCAAACGTGACACAAGAAGGAGGCTGCAGGTCTGCCATATTTTGAAAGTTTCCATTCCAGAATGCAATAAACTACAGGCAGGGAAAACTACCTGATATTCTAAACACATTATCCCCTTAATTAAACCACCAGCACACACACATACGCACTGTTGCCAGAAGATTCACCTGCTAAGAAGTGGATGGGTTGCCCTGCCTTCCCTGGGCCACAGAAACAAAGCAGCCACCACCCCAAGACATACCCCAGGGAAAATGGGTCAGGGCAAGACTTTTGGGACCCCCCGGCCTTGCATCCATCTCTGATTCCAATATTTTTCTTTTGCTTCAGACAAAAACATTATTTTTATGAACCATAGGGGTTGTGCCAAGTGGGACTCTAAAACTGTATCAGAATCTGCCACCTCGGGTAACCAGCACTACCGCATCGAGTCCAATGTAACCTATTGTCTCCATGACCTTTGCAATGTGGAAACAAGCCCTGCAAACATCTCCATAACCCCTGGAGGGGAACAAGGTAAGCCCGGGACTGCTGAGGGGACTGTGGGAATTCATGGATTCATGGTGGAGTTCAAATAGGTTGCAGGCTGCCTCTGCTTCTTCCTTTGATGGGGCTTCCGTGGCTTTCCAACCTCACAGAACAAGCAAAACTGCATCATGGACCTCCATTCCTGGCATGGAGGTCCAGTATCAAGGCTGGCCGGGTGTGACTGAGGCTGCAGCCTTCTCCTGGGCAAGGTGGGGAAGGCCCATCAGGCAGCAGATGCTGAGGGCGGGGAGGAGAGGCTGAGGAGGTGGAGTTCTTTTGTGGGAAGAATGGCCAGGTGGTATCTTCCAGCTGAGGTTCCTCCAATACCGGACTGTGTGATCTTTCCCTTGAACAGCACTCCGATCCTGGTCTTCGTCAGAGTCCTCTTTACCTTGAAAAGTCCAGGAGGTTCTCCTGCAATTTCCTCCTCTGCCTACTCCCTTACCATGAAAAGATTCAGGGCTGGGAAACATGGAGGACACCTTCTGGACCTGGAAGGGGGAAAGGCACCCTAGGAAGCCAGCCCTAGACTGGGGTCAACCCTTCCAATCGAACTCCAGACGAGTGGGTCGTGAGTAGGGACAATGATGATGATGCAAGCTCTTTGCTGTTCATTTTTCCTCTTTTTTTAAGTGCCTGAAACAACCAGGATCAATCAACACCACTGCTTTTCTGGCCTCACGTTTGATCGCAGCGAGCCCTCTCTGGGCCCAGTCAGGTGCCACGAGGGTTACGACAAGTGCTACCAGAGCAGGGCTGCCATCATAGTAGGTGAGTCTGGATGCCCAAGGGAGCCACCGGGTCAGAGAACTTTTCTGTCCTCCGTCTCTTGGGATCCTTTGTCCAGATCCCCTGCTTGCTGCTGGGGTCACTGTGGCCACCAGCCTCTCGCTTTGGAGGGCAGGTGGGCACGGCCCTTTAGCAGAGGTGAAAAATTGGGGTGCATTTAATGGCTGGGAATCTGAGAAAAAACCATTCTTCAGCTCACCTAAATTCTCTGAAAATCTCTTCTTCCGCTCATTCAAGTGGAAATGAGCACATTTCCAACCATATTTTCCAAATGTGCAGACTGCCCTCTTCTACACTTGACTAAACTGAATCATTCAAAGTATGCATAACAAAAAGCCCAAAAAGTATGCATTTTTGGAATTCATTTCAAATCCAAGCAATTGAAAACATTTCTTGAGAAAGGGCCTGTGCTTATGTTCTTTGTAAGGTGAGTGGGGCTGAACTCTGAGGGCCACATTCCCATAGTGGTGGTGGAGAAGTGCTAGGGTCGCCATGGAAAAATTGGCAACGTAGGTTAGCTTGAAGATGTCATGGCTTGTGATGAAACCCCAGGCACCACAGAAACCACATGCCAGCTTGCTAGAATGGAGAAAGCTTGACGGAGCTGGAAGACCACCCAAGGACCCGTGGTTGCGACCGAGGAGGCGTGCCCACCGGGGCAGGTGCAAAAGGGCCGGCTGGGGCTGCAGCCCGCCTTGAATTGGCCCACACACCGCAAGTTTGCCCAGCCAGTTTCCACTTTCTCTCGCCCGCTCTTGCATCCTCCTCATTCGTTACCACGTCCAGTTGCTGCATCTTCAGGATCTCACCTGTGCTCGTTCGGTGGTCCTCTTCTGTCCAGCTATTCTGAGAGTCTTGCTCATCTGGAAAGGGGATTTGCTTCTAGCCCTCATGCCCACCTGGGCACCCTGCGTGGCTGCTCATAGCTGACTTTCCTCATCCTGCCACTCTTGATCCTGATTTCTTCCCTCGATGGACTACACGGGTTCACCTGCTCCCCTTTGGTATCGCTTTGCATTTTGGGGCACCTGGGCTAAAAGCTGGCCTCCTGACCTGAGTTCATGCCTCTCTTCCTCCATCTCTCTCCACCACAGGAACCCCACAAAGTTTCACTTCCTCCTTGGTGTTCATCAGGACTTGCCAAAACGCAACCAATGCTGTGCCTCAGAGACAGTCCTTTGCTCGCGTGACCATTGCCGTCGAGGAGGACTCCTACTGCAGTGGGAGCCTTTGCAACGGGAAGTGGGGGCCCCCTCATTTAGCACCAGGAGCATACGGACCCATCCGCCACTGGCATACCAAGCCCATCAGTCCCCCTCAGGATGCGGACCATGTCATTGAGGGTGACGGGTCGTGGAACACTGGTCTCCCTGACCATAGGCAATTACAAGCCGCAGCTCCCGAATGTTCTACCATCCATCCTTGCCTCCTCCTGGTCACCCTCAGAACAATCATGCTTGGGATATGGTGAGGAGAAACGTGTCAGGAAGTGGGGCAATTCGACTCCTCAGCTGAGTCGAACCGTTGGAAGGGCTGACCTCCTGGGGGACATTGCTCTGAAGCTGACATATAAATCCTCCAAGGAAAGAAACTGCAATACCTAACAGTATGGCTATCTTTAACTTCATATGCATTTATTACCCTATGTAACTCAGTAGTAAATGTGAAACATCCTAAAAATTATAACTAGCATTGTCAATATATACAGCTAGTAAATTCTTTACCACTTTGAAGAGTATCCCATTGCACCAAACAAAGCAAAACCCAGCTGCAAATGTCATTTGGGGAAATACAAACAAAACATTTTTACTACCAGGACTGGATCTCTGGCAAATCAAGAGAGGGTGTGGAAATGGATTAATGCCACTAGAGGGCAAAAGTAACATATACCAACAGCTGCTTAACAGTCTTGTTAAAGGCAATTTCCTGATCTCTGTGAGCCCCGTAAATGAGCAATGATTACCATACGGTTACTGATGGCTGGAGTCTCAGACTAGCCAGGTTCGAATGCTTATCAAGGCAACCTACTTGGAAGGGTTGTTGTGAAGATCAAATTGGGGTGTAGGCTACCCTCGGCTGAGGAAAGGAAAGGTGTACAACAGTACAACCGCTTTAGTTTCATCATGTCTGCTTCCAGGGACATCATGTCTGCTTGATTTGATCAAGGACCCCCTTGCTCCTCTTTGTAGGAGGTGAATTTCAGTTGGTCACCTGTGCACAGTTTTATCCCCTGCCCCCTGGCTGTACTAAATCCCTCCCTCACAGCAATTATTGGGTTAATTCTTTTGCTAGACTCAGGAGTTCACTTAGCATACTTATTCCCAGAAGTTTCTGCTTCCTCCCTGTCCCCACCTCCACCCTGTACAAGTTCATGACTATTCCTCTCGCATGTAATGCACTCAGCAGGAAAACAGCAAACCCTACCCAAACTCTAACTTGGTTTGTTACCTAACAGCTGAAGCAAGAAGCGTTTTCTTCCTCTGGCTTCAGCTTTAGGCCCAGAGATGACTCAGTCCTACCTGGTCCTTCTCATGCACCTTCTTCAGGACACAGCATGAATTGCACAACTTCTTGGAATTCTTGGGTGAGTCTGAGAAGTGGGGAAGTGGGGTGATTGGCAGAGAAGCCGGCTGGGTTTTCAGACAAAACAGTGGTGCAAAAGAGATGCTTGGTTTTCTCATGCTTGAGGGGCAGAGGGCACCCACTCAAAAATGCCTGTGGGACATTTTAGGACATGGGGACACAGCGTGATGGGTTAATGGAGCCGAGAAGGGATTTTCCGCAAGTTCAGCTCTTCTGACCCAGAAAATATGAGGAAATATCTTCCATGTTAGGAAATAATAGCAGCCAGGATTAAGAAACAAATTTGATATGCGGTGTTTATGGTGCACTTGCTTATGCCCAAAACCCCAGCAACACCCTTCTCTTTTCCCAGGACATGCTCAGTTTCAAAGGCAACATCTTGCAGCACAAAACTCTCTGAGGGGATAAATGATTTTAGGAAACGTGTATGATTTCACCTAGCCTGTTCTCTGTGTTAGAAAGTGCAGGGAGGTAGTTTACAGCCCTTGTTTCTCTTTGAACAAATGTGGCATCCATCTTGTGGGCCAAATGGATGAGATCCCCTGGCTGGTATATTCTCTCCTTGGCAATTCAGCCTTTCTGCATCCCTTAAGTCTCTTGCATGTTCTGTTCTGCTGAGCCAGCTGCACTGTCTCTCTCAGGAGTTCTGAGGATGGTTCATAACAGAAGGTCCTCTTGCAGACCAGTGCCGCCCACCTTGGCTTGAGGAGATCCAGGACCCTCATGCTTCCCCGACAAAGGCCAGCTCAAATGGCGCTGCGCTGAGCCTAGGTCAGAGAGAGGCACGGCACGCCAAGCAAACAGCCGTTAATCAATAACACAGGGCTATCGAGTAGGTCTGCTCGAAAAACTTCAAGATTAACATTAGATATAATCCCAAACCTTCTATAGTAGAACAGTTAAAAAGATGGTTTTTAACTACATGCTCAAGTCTGAATGCTCATGCTTCTATGAAAGATTTTGCAATGTGCTGAATACTTCCCCCTTATCAAATTTGCCTGAATCTCTTGCAGCTTTTCACACCCAACAACCATTTCCAAAAGAGGTGACTGTAACAAGAACAGTTCAGTGAGTCAGACTTTGAGCGATTCTGGATGGAGGGCATCTCCCAGTCAAAAGAAATGGCACTGCTATTCTGCCTTTGCCTCCCCAACGTGCTGTTGTTGATGATTTTGGTGATATTAGTAAAAAGAGGGGAGGGTTTGACATGGAAGGAGACTAGATCTGCTATGTGAATGAGGTGGGCAATTGCATAACAAATGCCTCATCCGGAAGGACACTTTGACTTAGGGCCAAACTACACATTACATGACTCGCACCTTCTAAAAGAGGGTGCACGGCTGAAACTGGGACAGGGGCTAAAGAACAGAGTGGGTCTCCCTCTCAATGGAGGGAAAGAGAGATCCATTGGATGCTTTCCTAGAAGATCCACTAGAGAAGGTGAAAGGGAGGCATTGAACCAGAGGAAGAAAGTACTTAGTCCTGGGATCAGTGCAAGACCTTCCTTTCTCTCTCTCTCTCTTTTCAAGAAAATGCAAGTGGCAAGGCATGGTTTAGGATTGCAACCAAGCTTTAAAATTATATAAATTTAGGATGATAAAATACTGTGGTAGCAGCTAGCTCAAATATTCCTCTATTTGACAGATGTTGGTGTTTGTAGAAATGCTCTGAGATAGTTCCTAATTGCAATGGTGTCCTTTCCTTCGGGAAGGAAGTAGGGCACTGGGGTTCTGGAGAGGGTTCTGGATGCGATGCAGGGGGATGAAAGCGCATTAACACGCCTGGGCTTGTAGCTGCACCCCGACTTCCTGGACGCCACAGAAGTTGCCCAGCTGGTTCCCCTGCTGGTCCCAACCTTTAATTCTTCACCTGATTATGAGAACTGTAGCCAGTTTGCTGGTCAGCACTGATGCACTATGCATAGGGATGGGTGAGAAATGTGTTGGATTTGCTCTTCTTGTGAGATTACCCCATTTCAGCCTCCTAGAACTGATTGTGGGCCCAACTGCAATTTGTGGTCAGAAACCCATAGAATTCTGAGTTTGCAGTGGCATCATGCAAACAAAAACGAATTCCAAGAAAATGCACAGAACTGAAACATCTGCAAGGGGAAATGCACACATTTCTAAGGGAGCGATCCTATGGATGCTACACGACATCCAGATAGCCATAGGCTTTCCCAGAAATCTATCCATGAGATTGAAAAATTGCTCCAACCTCATAGGTAGGTCTCCAAGCATCCAAGTGCCCTCCACACACACACACACACACACACCCTCAACTACAACAGATACAGAAAGAATGGCACAAGCTGCATCTCCAAGGGTGACCTTGGTGATGAACTTCAGCAGGAAGAGTGGAAGGACAGAGGACTGGCATTGGCAAGACGCAAGGTAGCCTAGTAGCACCTCGGCCTCTCCCTCCCTGCTCCAAGGCACTTCACATGACCAGCTGAAACCAGCCAAGTGACCCATGGGGCAGGCGAGTGCGGAGCTGACCTCTGCCTTCCTCCTTGCACAGAAGGTCCATCATCTTCTGCATCTGGAAGGTTTCAAGCATCCAGACTAGATCATGCCCTGAAATACTCCTGACATGCATCAGTCAGCAGGGGCATGTGTCCCAGTGAGCACAAACCCATGCAAGAATTAGTACACCTTTCTGTGCTGGGGGAAAGCTTGCCTGGGGCCCAGATGGAATGACATAGTGAAGCAAAAGAGAGAACCAGAACAAGAGCGAATCTGACAGCAGCCGAGCTCTTCCTCCCTGAGACTGAGGAAGATGAGGGTGATGAGAACAGATCTTTTCCATAGAGATGTGTCTAAAGCAGCTCACAATTTCCCAAAGCATCATTACAGTAAGCGATAGATATAGACAAGGATGTACATTGCTATGGTCAGAAGGGGGAGCAGTGCCCTCCCATCCGAAGGCTTCGCTCCTTCAACAGCAGCAGCCCCTGGAAGATCAAGGATTCCGCTTTGCATGGCACTCTGCACCCATCCAGTCCTAGAAACTCGCAAGAGCTACACAGAAGCAAAATGCATGTACTTTCATGGAGACGGAAGTGCATTTATTATTTCACACCATATAAACCCCAGGCAAAATTGCACAAGCCTCACTTTCGACTGAAGATGCACATGGGGCTCAGAGATTCTCCCAGGAGGAAGAGTACAATCAAGATCCATAACCACACAAACGCTACCTTCAGCTTGGCCTGCAGTGCAGCCACGCAGAAAGGCCAAGGGCCAGATTCTGTTTTGGGAACCTCCTTTCCCCAGCGCCACAGTCTAAATCAAGTACTCCTGAATGATCATACTTTTCTTTGCCTTTTTGAAAAGAGCTATTCAGTGCCGAATTACCTGACCCATGTCACATCCAGTTTGGCCATAAGATAGAATCCTGGAGTTGCTTTCATAGACTTAAAGGGATCGTTTCTTCTAAGTAAGAGAACCGGTTTGGCATAGCGATCAGAGTTTAGGCTGGGACTTGGGAAACCTGAGTTTTAGTCCCTGTTCTGCTCCTTGGGTGACAGTGCCAGTCACAAACTCTCAGCCCAACCTTCTTACAGGTCTGTTGTGGGGAGAAGAGCTGAACAGAAAGAGAGCTTTATGTGAGCCACCTGGGGTTTCTTGAAAGAAAACAGGCAGAGTATAATTAAATAAACATGTAAATAAATAAGCATAAATCATTTAAATAAATAAGTTAGCATAAATACATTCTAATAGTCTATAGGCTGTGCAGGGACTTCCAATACAAGGAAAAGTCATGCCTAATCTCCCATTAGGTTTGGGGTTGGAACTGGGGTCAGCCCAGTCTCTAGGAGTGAGTGAAATGCAACTCCTGCTAATTACTCATTAGAAGTAATTTCCAATGAGTTTAATTAGACTTACATTCAGGAAAATAAACTCAAGATTACAGCCATGCTGGCTGTATGCCTTTCACACCCACTAACACCCATAGAGGAACAAGCAGACGATTGCACGATAAATCAGTTCATATTTTACTTCCACTTGCTTAACTGCTTTAACCATAAGAACCCTCCACACATGCGTGTTTTAAGTGAACAATCTTTATGTCAGATTATAATTACATCCTTTCCTGCTTTGACAACAGGGATGTAACTTTCCGCCTGTTTCCATCCAAGATTTCCCAGTACTGCACTCTATAATTGCTAGGAATAACCTCCTCCCCGCCCCCTCCCCTTTTTTTGGGCAGGGATACATCATGTTTAAATGCTACAGGTGCTCATTTCCCAGGTATGGAGTTGCAACAACCCTCTGGTGAAATTCTGCCCTTCTTGTGAGTGCTGGAAGCACAAGCACCTTGCCACATCCTTTTCCTCTACATCGCCAAAAAGCATTTTTCTACCTGAGGTCCCCCCTAGATGCATCCCTTTTTGCAAACAGGGGTGTCCTTAGGGACACACACACATAGACTTTCGAGCCCGTGTAAATTACCCTATGTACATATATGCTTTTTCTTGTTGTCTCGTTGGCCTGAGTCCCAGATCTTTCAGCTACTTAGCACTGCCCCATTTCCCCCCTTCTTCGCTTCAGCAGCACGCAACTCCCATGTTCAACCTGACATGTGCGTCAGAGCTAAGAGGCTCTCTGCTTGCATGTGTGACCATGCATGTTCTAGCATGTTCAGGTGGGACACTCCCCAGGTTGCAGGTGGGGTCCGTGCTGAGTCAGCATGGATGGTGATGCTGAGTCACCCACAGCACTCTCCTCCTCCCCCTCCTCCTCCTCCTCCATGACACAGTATCATCACCTTAATCCTAGAGGTTGGGTGGGGTAGGGACCACTCCCACACCTGTGTCATCCACTGACTCAGTAGAGTTGCCAACTTTTCTCGTGGTCTTTGTTGCTATGCCTTTAAAACACGGCTTTGTGCATAGGCGTAGGCAGGAGACAGTGTTCATCTCTATGTAATGGAAAACCTCACCAGCTCATTCTTGCTCTTCAGATGGTAAGGCCAGGCCAAGACGCGTTGCATCGTGGCTAGCTGGCAACCCTAAGAGCAGAATCAAATAGCTGTGCATGGTCACTTCTCTTGACGGACACTCCAAGTTCTTTTGCAAGCTACATCAGCCCCACGCCAGCTCCAGATGGCACATGGGCAGCTGCGGGCAAACATTTTCCTTCCTGGTTATTTGCTTTGGAAAAGCCCTTGCTTCACAGGCTCCTTTTCCCACCAAGAAGTCAAACTGGGCTTTCCTGCAGCTGATAGAACCAGGGGCTAAAGGGCTGCGAAAGTCCAAACAACCCTCCCCCCGCCCCCTGCATGTTTTGGCTGGAAGCTTGTACAGCCTATAACTAAACCTGGGACAAACCAAACACCAGGAGACAACAAAGGACAGATGGTTGAGGAAAGGGGGGTGTGGCATAGAGAAGGAGGCATGGACATCAAGGGAACCTCCAGGTGCTGAATTGGGACTCCAGACAGGCTGGAATTGTCCCTCACCTGAGGTCTGAAAACCTTGAGAGAAAGAATGGTCCTCTTGGGGAGCGAAGCACTTGGGGAAAGGAGTCATATGAGCAGCTAATACACAGGGAATGAAGTGATCAACCACCCTTCCTCTCCTCCTCCTCCTCCCATAACCATCTGCTCTAGAATTATCTGCTTCCCGTTTGCCCTATAAAAGAGAGCCCTTGAGAAACCACTCATGGGAACTGCAGTTGAAACTGAAGTTGCCCCACCTTGAGCAGCTGCCATCCAGAATGAGGCTGCTTTTCCCATGCCATCCAAGCCCATAGTCCCTGCAAAGGGCTGAGCACTTCCTCAGGAAGTCTCTGTTGGCACCCTTTCACCCCACCAACACCTACGTTGTTTGCTCGTTAGTTAACTTTTTCTTTTTTTAAAGAACTCGGAACAGCTTACATCATTCTCCTGCTGCTCTCAATCTTATCCCCAGAACAGCAACCCTGTGGGGTAGGCTGGACTGAGCCCAAAGTCACCCAGCTGGCTCCTTGGCTGAGCAGGGACTAGAACCCAGATCGCCAGAGTCCCAGTCCCCTGCTCTTAACCATCAAACCACCCTAGATCTCGAGTGTGCCAGCTGGGCTCAGAAGCAAAATGAGAACCAACCTTCAATCTCTTTATGATTGTGAGCCACCCCGAGGCTTCAGCGAATGGGGCGGCATAGAAGTTCCCTACATAAATAAAATCCTTGCCTGCATAACACAAGAGTGATTATGAGGAGCTGGTGGGTGACGGGGGGGGGGGGGGACAGGGACCAAGTACTTTAGCTGCCCTAGGTCCCTCAGACACATGGTGGGATCCAAATAATAAAAAGTGCCAGCTCCCTTCAGCCTGGCACCGCTTGTCAATGCCCAAATTCTCCCCTCTGCCATCGCCCTGGGAAATATCCCTGAGTCGTGCGAGTTTGGCACATGAAATGGAAGCCCCGTGAGCTTCGTGGGGGTTTGCGGGACGAGGGGTGCCACTGAATAACCGCAACCTGGAAAGGAGTCCTTTGATGAAAGCATCTGAACGTGCGCTGCCATGTCAGGGTGGGGCGAACATCGCTTTTTTCGTCTGACTGGTAGCGCTGCTAAGGGCAGAATGACTCATGCTGAGCTCTTAGTAGCTTTCCTCCAACTTTTTGGTTTTTTTGGCACTACGAAACTGCTGGTGGCAACAATGGGGTGCAGGGGAAAGAAGGAGAGCATGCCCTCGCTTTCCCTGCTAGGCTTGTTTCCTTTGAAGCAGCTATTCCTGATCGCTTCTCTCCCAGACAGAGGAAAAGAACTTCCTGGTCGATCTTTTCCCCTGCAAGGGAATCCACAAGGAGCCCTTCAAACAGACAAATGACTTGGCTGCCGGTCAACGGAGGCCAAGTTGCACAGACCTTCCTGCAGCATGTAGGTTAGCTCTTCGAGAGTTACTAGGGGAAATAGGTTTTTATATCAGAACTTTTGTTCTGGTATTTTTATTATTACCTGGATGATAGCCATGACAACGATTTCAAGCATTCATGCAGCTGGAGGAGTAGAACATGGGCTGGGTTCGGACAACACGATAACTCTCATTCCACAAACAGTCCACACACAGCACTTAAGTGTGGGCTGTTGGTTTGTCCGAACCCAGTCTTTGCCTGTCTGCTTCTACCACATCCAGTTCTTCAGACCACCATTTTCTGGTGGCCTTTTGTTTAGCAAGAAGACGGGATTTCTACTGTTTTGAATCTCCATGTGGATTGGAGTCTGCTGAACTGAAGTGGGACCCCAGCAAGTTTGCAGTAGGACTACTTTATATTGTGGAAAAGGTGGAGTTCCATTTCTGGACAATCTTCCAGTGTCATCCCTAACCTGCGCAAGAGCTGAGATTTTTCAGGCCCCGCTCGCTGCTCAGACTTGTCCGTAATTATCTTCTCCTGAAGTGAATGGCGTCGGAAAATATCCCTCAACTGGCTGTTCCAGTTTCTGAAAGAGGCGTCAGAAAAAACCTGCTTCAAAGTGCTGAGGAAGGGAAGTGCTTGGCCCTGGGCTGGAGAGGATGCATTAAGAAAAGTCTGCAGGCCTGCACCAGGGTATGAACGGAGGAGGTGTGCCTCGCCGGGGAGCCTGCCATGCCATGCCCCGCCCCAGCTGTCTGCTCATATTTAATGTCTTAGCTTCCTCTCCCGGTCCCTGATAGCAGCAGGAGGCACCCAAGGGAGGTAAAAAAAGCATCGACGCAAGATTGGGATTTATCCAGTGCTACAATGGGTACACACCTCCTGCTCCAGGCCTGTGCATCTCTCCTGGCTCTGACGTTCTTCATGAAAGGTAGGAACTGGGAAGGTCTTGCCTCTGAGGGCTGGTGGCAATCACATCTGCGCGGAGCTTCATGAGTGGTCCTTAGGACCTGCAGCATCTGAACCGGGCCTGGATTAATGATGCTGGGGCTTGATATGCTGTGAAGCTGCCCCCACAGGGGGTGGAATCAACTAGGATCCCCCGCGTAGGAATAAGAAAAGAACGATGGTTTTGCCCTTGCGTATAGGAGAGGGGGAATGGTGCCTCGAAAGCAGAGGTGTTAACAGTGGCATGTCTCACATAATGAGGAGAAAGCGCATAGTGTCCGCTTTATGGAAGACGGAGTTGAAATAGGTGCCTTATTGTGTGTGTACATACTTAGTGCCCTATAGCTAACTCCGAGAACAGGGCTAAAGACAGCCTCCCAATTAAAGACCTCTCAGTTGATTTTAGCTGATTAATCCATTGATTAAATATGCATAACTTAATTTATATAATCAATACTTTGATATAATTTAATTAATATAAGGTAAAGGCATTAAAGTGGGAGAAAGCAAGATTCATTCATATACCATGCTTACTTATGTCCGTTCAGAACCTTCCTTCAAGAAGGAAGGTGGAGGTTGCTACCTGTAGCTGCTTTACAACCATTTATTAACTAAAATTTCCTGCCTGATAAATTGGGGGATGGACCTTTTTAGTCTATCAAAAAGGTAGCAATCTAATTAATCCAAATTAATTAATCCTGTTCCATACCCAAGGTTTTGTATTCTTGGTGATGGCCCCACTGTGGATTTTTAATTCTGGTTTTTCTTGCACAAGGAGAAAAGCCCAGATATTCAGAAGCTGGGACCATGGAAATTGGTATATCAGCTGAGTCCCTTGAAGGAAAGGTGGGATAGAAAGGAGGTAATTTAAGCAATTTGTACTGACAACACAATAGAGTCTTGTTGCTTGCATTACTTTCCCATACCATCACAAAGATCTCTCTGGCAGGCGATTTAATCCGACTTGGATTTATTTTATCCTCACAGCAGCTACTGCAATGCTGACAGTGTGGTATTATGACAACCTCATATGGTTGCATAGGAAGCTGGTTGTCTGTAGTGTCCAGCCATGAAGTGTGGTGGATTTTACCACATCCCTCTGGACTTGATCAAAAACCTGGCAAAGGAGGACCACGGTAGCATGGTGGACAACCATCTTCCAAAAACTGAAGGCACAGCCACCTCCTAACTGACCAGCTGTTCAGGGCTTGCTTGCATCTAGGAACAGGGCCCATCCAACAGAGGAGAGCTTGGAACATAGGCCATCTTGAGCCAAAAGGAAGCACTTTTTCACATAGAGTTATCAATAGAATTTGCTACACAAAAGAGGCTTTATAATGCAATGAGACAAATCCTTGGAGGACGAGGAAGCAGTGGCTACTAGTCAGAATGACTATAGACCCAGAGACAGAATTCTTCATTTGCTGAGGAACTTAAGAAGAGGATCCTGTAGCAGGTCATGCTTGAGCTTCCCACAGGTGTGTGGAAAGGCTCTGACACACTGTTTCTCTTCTCCTGCTCTTCTTTGCATGTTTTGAGAGGCAGGAGCACTTCCAAGCCAATGGCTGCCACAGAGACAGCTGCCCAAACTTTCATTTCCTCAGAATGCCTCTGAGGCCTCCCGCACCTGGATCCAGAGACAATCTAGGGCAATCAAGATGGCGACAGCTCCAGGCTCAGCCAGCTGCCTGAATGGCCATGTAAAAAGGCCATTAAGGTGTGGGGAGAAGGAGAGCCCTGAGGGATACCCTGCCTGGGGACCTCTTGGACCTGGTGTAGGCTTCCCTCTTAATAGCAAAGGTGGGATATTTCTTGGAGCAAGCTGCACATTGCAAACACACAGACCCTGCAAAAATTCACAGGGACTGCTCACTTGCTATTTCATCCCATGATTTTCTGACGCCCGTCTGAAAGCTCTTTTACTTGCTGGGCCCTTCATGAGGAGAGGTCTTGGTGCTGCTGCTTTGATTTTTTTTTCCTTTTAGAAATCATAGTTTACTGATGCCAGTTCTTCAGTGCTGTTTGTGTTTCAGTCATGTTCATTTGGAAAGCAAGAAAAAGAAAGTAAGCCAGAAAACTACTGTTTTTGTGACCAAAATCTGCTGCCGAAGAAGGCATTCCTATGTAGAGAAGCTGTGCAGAGAGGATTCGCTTAACCCTTTACTGCCCACTGTAATCAAACCTACACTAGGAAAGCGCACCATTACAACTCACCCACTTCTTGGCAGTGCTTCTTCCTTCTGTTTTTCTTCCCATTAAAAACAAAAATCCGTTGAGGAGGGAAAACACAACGCGTGTCCAGGACTGCTTTCTCTATAGCTGTTCAGCAAACTGGAACTTTTTGACCTTGTTTGGGTGTGCTAGACTCTAAGCAAGACATCCTAGGAATTGTACCAGGAGAAGCAGGAAGGCATAGGAGAGTTACACGAAAGACATGGCGTTTTGAATACTTGCATGCACTAAGTTTCTGCAAATAGGGCACAAAGATGGCACAATAAAAGATGTGTCTGAAGGCGCCTTTTGAGGGAAATATGTTTCCAAGCCCGGCTCAAGGTGCTGTTTTGACTTATACAGCTTTGCATGGCTTAGGACCATGTGGAGCTGTTATCCTAGTAGGAGCCCCTCTCTTTATCTGAACCCCTCTTCCAAGTGCTTCCTCCTCCAGTGAGGCCTGCCTGCCATCTTTTTGCTTCCAATTTACACATTTCCTCCACACCGAGGCATTTGATAGCATACTGTACTTTTTAAAAGGATTTACCCTTTACTATTTCAAAATTTATTAGATTTATATCCCACTTTTCCCCTTAGTTGTTCTTGTTTACATTGGTTTTACATGGTGTTCTTCTAGGGGAAAATCTTATGGCCTCTAGTCAGCATCTGCCATACCATAGGATAGTTTGGTTTCCCTGCTCTGAATCCAGAGCAGCCCTCCAACCTCGGAGATGGAAATCAGAGCTCCAGCTCTGGTGCTGGTACAGAAAGAATTTCTCTGACCACTCTCCAAGGCTGGACACACTTTCTTCATCAGAAAGGATGAAGGGAAGTCTTTGAGGACCGAGAGAGAAGAGCACTATGGGGTATCAAGAAACCACTCTAGCCTCCTTCCCTCCTCCTCAGATAAGTCACTAGGCAGCCTCAAATATTTGTCTGATGAAAATGCAGCCTGGGTGGAGCAAAGCAGCAAAGATCACCTCCACCCTTTTTCCTGCTCTGCATTGGATGCAGGAGCTTCCAAAGTGGGGGGGGGGGGCTCCCACTCATCTCACCTGGATCACACCCTTGGGGTCTTAATCTTTGTAAGTCACCCAGAAACCTTAGGCTATCGGGTGGTCCGGAAATGCAACGAAGGTAATGTAACCCCTGCCAGGTTTCCTTTGCAAAGTTGATGAGGGGTCACTGAGGGAGAATCAGTGGCCATGTTCTTCCCCTTCCGCATGATTCATCCCGATCAACCCTCCAGCCCTCCAGGCAGATTTTGACCTTATTTCAGAGAAACTGTTTGCCACAACACCACCTAATCAGGCCATCTGCTGCTGGGGTGACGCAATGGCAGCCGAGTGGCGGCAAATCCACATTGCCCAGCTGGCACAGCACAAATCCACACACCTGAAGTGCATTCATGTGTGCGTTATATTCATACCCCACCCTTTCTTCCTGTAAGAAATGCAGAGTGGCTCACAGGGCCTCTTCCTTTTAACCTCACAACAACTTTGTGAGGTAGGTTAAGCTGAGAGTCAGTGACTAGCCCAGATTCCTCCAGTGAGCTGAGTGGGACTAGAATCCAGTTCTTCCGAGCCCCTCTCACCGCTACAACACCTGGCTCTCAGGAAAGGAACACAGCCCTTGAAAGAAAAGCTCTCCAGGTGCGGATCCTTTCCAAAGTCTTGGGCCTTCCGAGAGCAGGCTGGGTCACTGCAGAGAGCTGCAAGAGCGCTTGAGAAAGAGTGTTCTGCACCCGAGACCTGGGAAGCCCCTGTAGCTGGGACCCTCTGTGTTAATACTGGCCCTCCCCCCACCTCAAGACCAGAGCCTCCTGGAAGAGGAACATGGGGCTGGAGACAAGGAAAAAGCAGAGAAAAGCGATTGAATGGGGATGAGTGGCCAGGAGAGGATGTAAATAGAGCTTGCCTCCAGGAAGGTTCAAAAAGGAAGTGGCGCAAAGTGCAAAGAGCTTAAATTCAGCCCGGTTTTGGTAAGCTAAGTCTGTACTCAAGGAAGGCAGAGCAAGTTTCTTTGTGGCCCCAAGCAGGCGCCTAAGCTAATCAATTTCTGACACTACCCATGAAGAGCAAGATACAAGTGGAATGGGAGTCTCTATTGGCGTAGCAACACCCTGCCTAGTGGTGCCCCATCCAAAGAAAAGCCCCGTTGATCTTGATTTTGGAGTCACCAATCGTATCTCTTCTAGATATGATGATCACATTTGTCATCAAATAAAGATGATCTGTTTGTCATCATCTTTTTCCTGGAAATCCTACAAATTGTCATTGTCCAGCAGGCAAGGGATAATCATTAACAGACAAGTCTGAAGAAAAGATAATAGCTGATTTGGCCGTGCCCTGTCAAAAACCCCTTTTTCAAGAGAAACCAAGTTTGGCAGCTAGCAGTTAACTTTCCTGTTCCCAAGAAAAAGGAGCTGGGACACTTCTGGATGTTCCAGCCCCAAGAGGCTTGAGAAATCGTGCTGTGTATGATTGTGGACTTTTTGAGTGGAAAAAGCAGAGGATCTGGTCATGAAGGAAAGAAAAATCAGGTGTCTTCTTTCCACAAGCTACATTTGCTTATGCTTTCGGAGTCTCTCAAAAGCTTATGTTTAGACCGCTGCCAAGAGAAAGGGGGGATTTAGAGTATAAAGATGATATACTGTTTATTGAATACAGTGATGAAATACGGAGGCAGAATATTAATAAGCAACCAGAAGAAAGCATGCATCCCCTTCTTTGTGACTCCCTGGTTCCCTGAATAGGTAGGGGAATGCTCCGTGCGTCCCCAAAGGTGCCTGGGCAGGTGATGCACCAATTCCTCCCCGCCGGCTTAGAACGAAACGGTCCTCCTTGCCATGGGTTTTGCACACTCCTCTCTCCCACTATTGCAGAGCCTGTTGGGATTTACCCAAGCTCCCTCCCCTTTCCTGGGAATGAGGCTGTTTCGGTAGGATAAACAACTCAGTTCTCACTGCAAGAGCATGACTTATCTGCAGAAAGATTTGAGAAGGCAATTGCGGGGCCATTATTTCTGGTGCTCGTCTTAACGAGCTAAAAGCCACAAGTCTTTGGCATGATTTCAAGAGATAGATTCGCCTTTTAAGCACCAAGGAGGTTCACTGCTCTGCTTGTGCAACCCATAACCTCCTTGCCTTTCTTCCAGCAGAGCCTCTGAACAGTACAATGATCCAAAACTATTTTTTCACAATCCAATCCCCTGCACACACTTGAAATGTAATTTCTTCCTATCCACTGATAATCAAATAAGGGCATGATGCAACGGGGAAGCCCAGAACTCCTTGCACGCTGAGGAGTATGGGCATCTTATGCAGAGTGGGAGAAACATGGGGCTTCTCTTCCCCTCTGCCCTCCTTCCGTGCGGCAAAGCAGCTGAATGGTCAATTTCAGCCCTCAAATTGCAGCGTCTTCAAGGTGGAGTACATCAGCTCTCAGGGACACCGGCTTCCTCTCGCCCTGCCTCTAAACCCTTTCTCTGCGGAGGGCTTCTCCAAACCCAGCGATGTGGCAATTCAGGCCTTTTCGTGTTGGCCATGAGGAGGGGATTCCCCCAGTCCAAGGGCAAGGCTCTGCCTCTAAGCTTGGATCCAGAGATCAGACCGATCTGATCTAAATGCCGTGGCCCAGGAGTTATAGGACTGCTCTGTAAATTTATTTGCCCAGTCTAAGAAACATATGTGTCTCCTGAGCAAAGAGATCCTTACTCCTTATCTCCTTCCCACCCGCCTTTTCCACACCTGCTTGTCCTTACAGGCGCCCTGGCCCTGGAGTGCCACAGCTGCGTAGACTTGGGTGACGGTGGCTGCAATGCGGACAAGATGAAGAAAGTGACGTGTCCAGCGTCCTCCCATGTCTGTGTGGAAACTGTGGCTGCCGTGGGGTGGAGTGAGTATTATCATTTTTAGCGATTTGCTGGCTTATGCGCCGATTCCATTTCTAGGCCACCCAATAGCTGAAATTCTGTGGGGAGTTTCCCAAAACAGATCACAAAAATACCATGCGGGATGGTTGCTGACATACCACATGTAAAACAATTTGAATGGCATAAATGTTTACAGAAATGGAGTTGAGGAGAGTCTTGAGATGAGGCCAAGGAGCTGAGTGTTGGTGCTAGGGGGACCTTAGTGGGGAGAGCATTCCAGAATTCTGGGGCCACAACCAAGAGGGCGCTGTCCTTTCTTGTCACCTTCAAAGCCCCCATCAGAGTGGCACTTGGAAGAAGGCCCCTGATGTTGCTCATAATATCTGAATAGGTTCAGAGTGGGAGAGATAGTCCACCAGGACTGTGGTCCTGAACCATGTAAGGTTTTCTAGGATAAAACCACCTCATAAAAACAGGCTCAGAAGCACGCAGGCGGGCAGTGCAGGTGGGCCAGAATGGCTGTGCTATATTCAGGCTTTGTTATTCCTCTGCCTGCTGTGTTTTGCATAAGCTGCAGCTTCTGAACAGTCTTCAAGTGAAGCCCCACGTACAGCACATTGCAGTAATCCAACTGGGAAGTTACCAGAGTGTAGGCTGCTGAATCCAGAGCATAAGATCTCCAGGAACATAGCTGAGCTAGCAGCTGGTAGAAGGCACTCTGGGCATTGAGGGCCTCTGAGCCTCAAGTGGCAAAAATTGTTCCTAGAGACCCCGCAACGGATGAACTTGCTCCATCCAGAACAGGTTCATTGTGGTCAGAGGAACCATGCACTAGCAACATCTCTGTCGTGTCTAGACTGCACTCCAGTTTATCAGCCCTCATCCAGTCTGTTCTTGCAGCCAGGCAGCAAGTAAGCAGCTGGCCATCTAGAACTTCTAGAAGAAGACATGTCTGAGCAATTCTGCCTTTCTGATTTGCTTGCTGTGCTATTGGCAGCTGGCTGTAATTACTCAGGGCCGAGGGAGAAGGTACTCTGTCTGCCCAAGCTTAAAGGAACACTGTAATTTCACATCCAGCCTTGAGCCCTTGCACTGAACAGGTTCTGAGCTGCTAATTACAGGTTCAAGCAAAGCCATTCTGGGAAGACCAGATCACTAAATTCTGCTCCGTGGGAAAAGAGTTCCCCACTCACACGGAGTTTTTCCCACTCTGTGTGAGTGGGGAAAGCTTAATGTAGCAGAGAATCAAGGTAGAGTTTGACAGCTTCTCCCACAGCCTCCTTTCTTTTGCAAGTTGTATGACTAGTGAAATCAAAAGTATGCAATTCATTCTCACAAACTCTCATGATGACTCCAGTAGCTTATGAATTAGATAAGACAATTGAACATAACTTTATGAACTGTGGCGAGTCGTGATACTTAGTTGAAGCTGCCCCATACTGAGGAAGTCTACCTGCAAATTACCAATGATATGCCAACAGAGAAGCCATGACCCACTTTTTCTGCAGGGAAAGAGAAGGCAACGGTCCCACCCACTTCTGACACCCAGTCCAACTCCCAGAATATTCCTCTGTCAAAAGATAATGACACCGATTGCATTTCTGCACCACCCAACAACCAAAGCTGTCTAGGCGGTTTGCAACAGTACGTAAGAGCAATGCAATTAAAATGCTGTAAAATCTTATCAAAAAAGAAACATAGAAAATTAAAAACTGCAGAAAACATACGGTGAAGAAAACCCCGTATAAGAACACCCTACCTCTGGGGTTGGGTAATTTCCATATTACATGTTCAGGTCAGCAGCCCTTGTTGGAAAAAGGTTCCTCATCCCAACACAGACCTTGTGAGAAGCAGTCGAAGAAGAAGCACGTGGATCCGTCCACATGAGCTGTTGCTTCTTTGTTTCCCCAAGTCACTTCCTTGGTCTGTCTGTCTGCAGGTCATGGGAAGTTCTCCGTTGGTGAGAAGGGCTGTGGGTTAGGCATGTCAGGCAAAAACGACAAAGCGGTCGAAGTCCATGGGATTGTGGCGTTCTCCCAGTTGCACCAGTGCAACAGCAGCCACTGCAACACTGAACTGGACATCAGAAGCCTGGAGCTGCAACCCGTGGGTGAGTAGCTGGGCCATGAGAAGCAACGATGACGTGTAGTGCTGGAGTTCTCTCTCCCACCACTGTCAGAATCGGCAGCCTGATGCCGGAAAGCTTTGCAAGCATCCTTGATTTCCAAAGGCATCCCACATCTGAAATGTTCTTGTTTTTCCAGAGGGTTCTGCTGAGATGTGCATATAGCTATGCCCAACAATCGCTGGTGACTTTACAGTGGTTTCTGTAAAATACACAACCATATTTTGAGCAGCTTCCACAGAGGTCAACTGGAAAGTCAGACTTTGCAGTTGTGCTTCCTTCCTTCCTTCCGAGATGTGGCTCAAATGACAAGAACACAACTGAATTTCGGGGAAAGTAGGAAATTTAGGAAGCAGCCTTCTATTGAGTCACACCTTTGGTCCATCTAGCAATGATGGTCAGCATGGACCAACAACAGGTCCCCAGGGTTTCAGAAGGAACCTTTCCTGGCCCTCCCTGGAGAAGGCTGGGACTGCAATTGCATGCAGAGCAGGCATTCTGTCATTGACCTGCAGCCTCTCCCCAAACTGCTAGCATAGTGCAGAAATGCTATGCTGTGGCTATCGTAGGTCATATTGCATTGAGATCCCCCACTTTTGCCCTCTTGTGCAGAACCAAGCCAACCCACATGGCTCCGATTTATCCACAGGAACTCTGTCAGGAAGGTTGGGTGGAGAGTCAGTGACTGGCCCAAAGCCAGTGGGGCGAGTGGGCACTAGAACCCAGATTTCCCAGGTCCCCAGTCCTGGATTCTCTCCACTAGACCACGCTGTTAGCCTTTGATCGGTGATTGTGCATCATCTAATCCCCATGCAGAGAGGGAAGGCAACACTTTGGGAGAACAGGTAACCTTACCCAGAGGAAAGATCACTTCACTTGCCCATCCTTTACTCCCTGGAATGCTTTCGTTAAACCAATTTAAATCATAATTATGTATGAGCTATGTAACTGAGCTATGTAACTATCATAGCTCTTCTTCAGTAACTTGAGATTTATACATAGTTATGTGTGTTCAACTATTCCTTAGATTTATCATTTTAAGAAACGATTGGCTTGCAGCTCCAAATGATTTCCTGTTAGCATCCTCAGAACATTTCCCATGACATTCAAATAGGGTTAAAGGGAGTGGCCCTTTGTCCATGCTAATACTGGGATTTTGCTTGGTTTCTCAGGAAACGAAAGTGCGAGAGTTGCAAATGGTGTGGAATGCTACAGCTGCAGCGGCAATGACTGTGCGATAAGCAACTCTACCATAGTCAAATGTTATGACTCCTTCCGGGGCTGTTTCCACGGCAACGTTACAATGAGAGCTGGTAAGGACTTGTGCAGAGCATCTGAGATGGCCACTTTTCACCTGGCCAGCTAAGGCTCAAAGCGGCTTCAGGATGAATCAGATCCTGAGATTTCCCACGACTGAGTGTAATAATTGTGTGTGCGTATGCACACATGCGTATTGCCTGTTTATATTCTAGCACTTGTAGGAATTTTTCTGTCTAAATGTGCACAGAATTGTGTGTTGAAGGATTCGGGAGTGTCTTGCTCTACCAAACTCATGAGGAATTTAAATCAGGTTCATGAAGTCTCTGGCCCATCTTGGGAAGAACCATTTTGCTCCCAGAGAGCTTGGCTTGGCTTGGAATAGTAGCTTCAGATAATCCTTCTGGGGGCCTCCATTGGCCATGTTGACTGGAGATAATGGTGGTTCTAGTCTAACACATTGGATGGCTATGACGTTGGAGAAGACTTCTTTAGAGGGAGCCGTGAGCAAACGTCCAAGATGAACCTATTGCTCTGCACTGTAAATCATCTTCACCCTACTCTTCCCCTTTTCCAGGCAATTTCACACTAACCAGGCCTATCAAAGGCTGTGTTGAGGATGAGGAGTGTACCAAGGTGAAAAAGGGAAGCCCGGCCATCACCCTGGTAGGTTCCTGCTGCTCTGGAAGCCTCTGCAATGTTGACCTCTCCAACAAAACGCACTTCGCTGCCAAGATCCCTCAGCTCACAGTTCTGCCTGGTCAAGGCACGGTTGTTACCACAGCCGCTCCAACGACAGCAAATGCTCGTATCAACATGGCAGCCCCATCTGCTGCCAGCAAGCCAACTCATTCCACTGTGGTGACGTCACCAACGTCTGCTCAGCCTGACAATGGCCACGACCACAGCCGTGACCACGATGATGACCACGACCAAGACCATGACCGTGACGGTGATGATCACAAAATCACCTCAGTGAGGGATGGCAACATGGTCACTGCTGTGAAAGTTGAAGAGAGGCACAACGGATACGTGCAGGTGACTACTGGCCCAAAGGGAGGTGCAGCAGGCCTGGGTGGATCAGTCTTGCTGCTCTTGCTGACTGGGTTGCTTCAGTAAAGGAAAATCAAGAGGATAAAATGATATTCAGTCTTCTCCCTTCTCTCTTACTAGTTGAGTCCCATCCAAATACATTTTGCTGCTGAATTTTGATAGGACTTTCCCCACACAGGTGAGGCCTCAGGTTTCATAAGTTAGATAATGTATCTGGTAACCAAGACTTTTGCTGTTCGCAGTGGCAACTATGCTGTGTAGTGCCTTTTGCCTTTTGGAAGAGCAGCTTCCTTTAGGAACTCCACTTTGCCTTGTTTTCCTGGCAGCCATTTTGTAGCAAGGAATGGCTAGAAACTATTGTCATCCTGAGGCAAAGTTCTGTGTTACGTTTATATGCAGCAAAATTCAGCTCTGCTTTTATGACGCAAAATCCGATTCCATTTTTGGGGGTGGGTTTTTTTACATTAAGCCTTCTTGTGGGCTTACTGTCTATCAGAGCACATTTGGCTCCAACATGAGGTCGGCCATTTTGTATTCATCCTTCTAAATGGAGTTCTCCTGGGGTCATTCTTGATATAACTTAGCACACAAAGCTTCTCATTTCGCTGAGATTCATGGCTCTCTCCAACTTTCCACCTTCATCAAGCTACAGTGTTAGAGTTTTAAGAGGACTGTATCATCGACTGTAGGATTTGGGGCTCCCAATAACAGAGGACTGCTCAGATGGCCTACAGTGCCAGCTATATGCAAATCTTATCCAAGATGGCCTGATGGACCCCCAGATCACCTTAGAATCAAATAAAATCTTTCTGCTCTAGAGTGTAGACGATTCCTAGAAGAGTATATATATCCACCCCCCACCCCATTCCTCAGGCCCATAGCATTTGAGCAATAACTGGGCAAAACCCAACTGAATTCCCTCTCTGCTCTCTTTCCAAAATCTGTGCATCATGGGGTAGCTAGCAGGGGTAGCTACTCCCATGCTTTTCTTCAATAGCAGCACAGAAACTATTTATGGTAAAGGAATGAGACAGTCAGTGGTTTCAGTTCCCTTTATCCAATAGCAGTTCCTCTCCATGAGACAGACCATGCTCTGGTATCTGGTGCTGCCCCCTCCCCACCCGCAACATTTGAGTAATGTACCTGTTTTCGTTCAAACCAATAAAGGTATGATAGCAACCCGCTCGGACGAGCCAGTTGTTTATGCAGGACGAGGCCCCATCAAAGCATTCTTGAAATGGTGAATTTCAAAATATGAAAGTGGAAGGCTAGGACCAGTTTAGAACGAGAACAAGAGTATCCGGAAGATTTTGAAATCAGGCAAGTTTTGAGAGCTAGATTTTGATCTGGAAATTTGACATTTAAGCTTGGGAATAAAAATCTGAAATTAAACAGCTATAGCTTTTTGCCTATTCACATGTATAGATGCTGAGCGGTCTGACTGATGAATAAAGCTAATGTCAAAGTTACTCAGGTATATTACAGTCAGATACTTAAATATTGACTACTACTAAGTTGTCAGATGCTGACAGCTACTACTACAGAATTTCAGGTGCTTTTCTGAATATCATATATTTATATGCTGGGAATATTCACTATCAAAACTTCTGGGGAGGACCTGTAAGTTCTAGTTCACCTACTGTTTAACTGAACCTTGAACTGACCAGGGGATCTTTAAACCAGGCGACATCAATGGAACCCCATATCCATGAACCAGAACCAGTAGATCTGGCGGGGATCAAACTGGGTGATTCATTCCCTTCCTCCCATCCCTGCCCTTGCTGTGCAGGAACAAGGATGGGGCAGCTCTGTGGATGTCATGCCTCAGGAAAGGTGGCAGGACTAACTCTTGGGACAATTAAGAGCCATTTGAGTTTGCTGTGAAGTCCTCAGAGGCTTAAAAGCACGTTCCCAGAGCATTCCCAGCCCATCACTTCAAAGAAAGCCACCATGTCTTAGTGCCTCCCAAGGGCTTCCTCACACAATGCTTTTAATCCACCACTTTATCAAGGCTTCTGCTTCCGGATTCTTTGCCGCATTAAGATGGGCTCCTTTACTGAGGTTTTTCTATCTTTGTTTGATGACAAAATCACAAGGTGGCACTTGGTATAGCAGAATTGCAAAAAGGCACCAACCTCATTCTGGTTCATTCTGCATTGGAATTATAATACCTGATTTTCCTTAATCTTAAAAAATATTTAAATGAAGTTGTGGACATCCTTGGAAAGAACTAGAGAGGCCCTGAAGGATGGGAACACTGTGCAAAGTACCACAAACACCCCTGAATGAAGCATCACAAGCACACGATAAATGCCTTGTGTACAGAAGCCACTTCTCAGAAAGCTATTTATACCTGCACTCTTGGACTATGTATTTTTAATGCTATTGGCCAGCCAGTGCTCCTCTACCTGGTATGCATCTCTGTTTTCTGGCTGGAACCCCCTTGCTGTGCAAAACAGCCCTTCCTGGGCTCAGCTTCCCTTGGGGTCCTGGAGCAAGTAACATGGGAGAATGCAGAGGTTCAAACGTATCTATTGTTCACCTATCGTTGTTGTTTTGTAAATAGTTTCAGATTTAATTCTTGCCAATATGAGATACTGAGCTGAAGAGATGCAGCAAATAAAGGTTGCAGTTCGGCTAATGGAAGCCTCTGTCTGCTTTTTGATCTCTCATTTGATCTCTCCTTACTATCACTATTTATTGATTTTGTTTGTTACTATAGTTCTGCCCTTTCTTTTTTCTTCTTTCAAGAAGAAAAAAGAAGAACCAACCTGCGTTGGTTCACATGGTCTTTCTCCTCTTCATTTTGTCCTCAGAACAACAACCCTGTGAGGTTGGTTAGGCTCAGTGTCTTTGACCAGTCCTTAAGTCACCAAGGGAGTTTCATGGCTGAGTGGGGAACAGAACCGAGATCTCCTGGGTCCCGTTCCAAAAAAATTAAATTATGTCCCCAAAACTTCAGTGGGCATCCCAAGTGAGGTGGGTGCTAATTGTGGGACTGTCTGGCCCTCACTTTGACCCTCAAGGGAAGCACCACCAATAGTCCGCAACATCCTTAGCTTATGAAGGGGGCCTTGACATGATACCTACCCAGTGACCAAGAGGCTGTTTAAAAAATGTCAAAGCCAGGGGGAAGGCACCACCAAAATTAAGGAGAAAGAGGGCATGGGTTTCCATATCATCTGCACAGGTTAATTTATATGCTTAGTCACCAATGTCATCATTATTTATAGAAATATAGTTCATCTCACCCTGAAAGACCAGATGACTCCATCAGTGGTCCAGTGCTAATGGCCAGCTGTGGATGGGCAACAGTTCTGGGGTTCTCTATCTTGAACCTCCATTGGGCTCAGTTCTACCAAATGATAAGCGATTAAAACGGCTGGGGAAGAAATGGACCTAACCAGCACCAGATTCTGCTTTCTCTGTCACATGAGAAACGTCTGATGATGAAATCTGAGGTTCGCAGGTGCCTGAGCAAGAGGAAGTGAGGAAGAGGAAGGAAAAGAGAATAGAAAAAAAAAATACCCAACCTGTTACAATCCTGCCCAATGCTTCCTCTATTCATAGAGATTTGTGTGGGTTGCCAAGTTTAGCCTCAAATTCAAACCTGGTCTTGCTGGTTTTTTTACCCAGCTCTCGCTCACTCTCTCCCTCCCTCCCTCCCTCCCACTCATCTAAAACAGTTTCTTTCTCCAACACTGTGTCATCCTGATGTGCAAGACTGCAACTCCCAGTGAACATGGTGGCTGAGGATGATGGGAGTTGTGGGAAAGTGTCCACTGATCAGTCTCCAAAAAAGAGGAAATGCTTCACTACAAAAGAGGCCAACAGTTCACATAAACTCTGCACATGCCAATTCATCCCTATAGAAACAATTAAACATGGAAGCCCAAAAGAAAACACCATCACTTATATCTGAACCCCTCACAATGAGCCAGCTCACGATCCACTTGCTTCCCCTTGTGACCTTTGAACCCAATCACTGTGGAAGAGGTGCGGGAGAGGCCTTCTCAGCCCACTGGATCCACACTGCAGTTTCCCAATGCAGATTTCACCCTGTCAGTCTGCCCTAAGTAAAGCAGGAAGGGGGCAAAGGGGGGAGGAAGTGGGAGTGACATGTGATGAACATCACGCGTAGTCTCAGGACTTAGGAGCGGAGACAGCTATTTTGGAAATGTATCTGAGATGTCTCAGAGTAGAGTCCGGGCACTGGAAATGCTGTGCTGGCTGTAGACGGTGCGGTAGGTTGGTCAACACGGAACACTCTCCACGTGTGCCGATGCATCACGGTTTGCATCGCTGGACAGCTCGGAGCTCCCTCCCCGATATTTTAGGCAGGCAGCTGACTAAGTCAATTCCATCCCTTGCGAGGCCTCTCTGCAGGGAACTGGGACGGCCGGTCTCAGGACCTGAAGAGGGAAGTGGGCACGGGAGCTTGCAGAGTGTGATGGAACAACCCACCTCCCTCTTCCTTCATCCCTGCCAAGGCAAGGCAGCTTAGAAACTTAGAAACACAGAAACTGAGCGAGTCAGAAGAGGCCTCCCGGGCCATCTAGTCTGACCCCCGGCTCCAGCCGGCTCTGCTCACGACATGCCCACCATGTGGATGTCCAGCTTATCCTTGAACACCCGCACTGATGGGGCCTCAACGACCTCCCGTGGAAGCCCATTCCACACCCTCAGGGTCCTGACTGTCAGGAAGTGCTTCCTGGCATCCAAACTGAACCGTGGTTCCTGAGCTTGGCTCCGCTGGAGCATGTCCTGCTCCCTCCGCAGGGGAAAACAGTCGCTACCCACCTCCGTGTGACACCCTCTCACGTGCCTGCATGTCGCCAACAGGTCCCCTCGGAGTTTCCTCCTCTCCAGGCTGGAAAGACCCAGCTCCCTCAGTCTCGCCTCATTCGGCTTCCCCTGCAATGCGGCCACCATCCCTGTGGCCCTTCGCTTCACTGACTCTAATCATATATATCCTTCCTGTTGAGAATCCTGGCAGCTTGAGTATCCTGGCAACAGACTCAGAAGCAGCAGTGCATTTTGGGAACTCTTGAAGGGGTCTGGCCTTGCGAAAAGTCAAATATTTATCCTCGGGTGTTAGAGACTTGTGAAGCTTTTGGCAACAACCTTTCCAAGCAGGACTCCAGTGCTGGGTCCGTTGCTTTCATTGCCAATCGCTGCGCTCGCTTGCATGCAGCTTTGAACCTGGGGCAGCTCTTGTCTGGAGATTAAGCGCTGCAGTATTCCAGGAAGCTTTATAGTTACTCAGAAAATTGGTGAGTCTGGAGGTGTTCGTGAAACAGCAGCGCTTGCTGGGGATGTTCTTCCCACAGGACTGCCCTGCAGCAGGATATGTTGGAATTCCTCTTATGGACTCGGATTTGGGGCATCCGTCTGTTCTGGAGCCACGAAAGCAAGCACGTTGGGCCCCGTGACCAGACGGCTCTCACTCCCTCTCCGATGGGCCTGTTGAAAATGCCTTTTCCATCTGGCAGGCACAGGAGGAGAAAGGAATAAGTGTTTGTAAGGCTGGTTCTTTTCTACCCCCCTGCAATACTTTTCGCATGCCAGGATTAAGATTCAGCAGCGAAAACAGACATCTTGGGAGCTTCTAGACCCTGGGGTTAGAGGTAAGGTATTTATTGATGTATTTTTTTTCAAGGGGTGGGGCTCTTCATGGGTGCTGCTGGAGAGGGCGACATGTGGGCTTCATGCTGGGAAAGCCACCCACGGGCGATGGCTGCGTTCAGGTTCAAGCTGTTTGTTCATCCTGCCCAGCTGTGTCTTCTCCTCTTCATGGTGTCTCTCACAGTGTCTCCTAAAAATATCCATGAGTGCTGTGGAGAAAGCCACCCAGTCTATGAACCACTCACGGCATAAAAGCAGCTGCTCCCCTGTGGAGTGACTTAAAAATAGCACTTCTGAGCCAGACAGAAGCTCATAAACCGAGCTCTGCATAGGCTGGACTCTGGCGGCTGAACCAAGAAGCTTGTGGTTTTAAGTTGGGCCCTTGCCTAGAATTGCTACATGGCTACACTGAGGCCTCCACCTCTATCCAGGCTCAGAAGAGGATGGTTCCCCGTGACTGGAAGGCAGTTCCTAAGCCTTCTCTGGGCTAGCCATGCCGGATACCAGTCCCAGGAACCTGGGCCAGCACAGCAAAAGGGTTTACTTGTTGTGTAACGGCCAGTCAGCTGCAAGATCCTGTTCTGGATTTGGGTACAGCTAACAATGGCACTAGAAGCAAACATGACCAAATTCATGCTGCCTTAATTTGGGCATATCGTGAGAAGGCAAACCTCCCTGGAGAGGGAAATTTGAAGCCAGGAGGAGGAAAGGAAGGCCAAAGATGAGATGAATGGACTCCATAAAAGAAGCCGCTGCCTGGATTTGCAAGAGCTGAGCAGGGCTGTGATGGATGGGCTTTCATTCATAGGATCATAACTCAGAGATGACTTGATGGCGCTGGCTTAGTTGTGAGGAGGGCAGAAGCCTATGTAGAAATGCAGAAAAAACACAGAGATGGGGTTCACACAATAATCGCCCACAATTCAGGGCTGAGTTTGGGTTGTCACTGAACCATGCACAGTTGTGTTGTCTGACCCCAGCCATGATGACTATAATCTGTTGACCACAACAACCCATAGTCCACAACCGAACAACAAACCATAGACTCTCTTCATGGGTTGTTTGTGGTTAACAAACCATAGCTTGTTTTGGAGGCTGAGTTTAGACAACGGACAAGCCACAGTTCATAACAACCCACACTCCATCCATACTCAACTCCTGACCATGGGTCTTTGCTCCTGCAAGGAAAAGAGAAGAAGGTAGCTGATGCCTGGTCCTGAGCCCCGGTGCTGAGCCATGGATGAAAGTGCTTCATTTCCCACAGGACAGAGGGGTGGAAAGGGTGGCAGCCAGCGGTGTCTGGTGTAACTACTCTGCTAACTGTTAAAAGAGTTGTCCATAGTCCTGATCCAATTTAGGAAGGGTCCAGCACCATGGATAACTGCTTAAAGCTCAGACTTAAACCTGGATGGGGTACAGCACCCCACTGACACAGCATCCACCAGCCAGCAGGTCAGAGCCTTCCTCCTAACCCTGGAGCCTGGGGGAAGCCAAGGATAACCGCAGCAGCTTCAAAACAGCGAGAAAGCTCTTCCAGTCATCACTTGCCAGCCAGCGCTCACCATGGCGAGTGTAATTGTTGAAGCCTGTCCTTGGCTAGCAAAAGTTTGGCAAATTATGCTGAGCGTTCTTTTCTACTAGCAGAATAAATTGCACAGAATAAGGGAAATCAGGCAGCCATGCTGGATCGAAGTAACTTCTTCGGGTTGCAGAATGACATAGAACTTAGCTCTATATTAGCTCGGAGCACACCCCAAGCCCTGCCCAGCCTCGTTGTGTCCTATCTGTGCTTTGAACATTGTCTCAGCTACAGAATGAGCAGCTCCCTACCCAAGATAAGGAATTCCTCTTAACAGGATCCAACAGATGCAGTCCTCTTATCCCATGAATCACTGAATCCTGCTCTAGGAGGGGAATTCTCTTGTTTAAGGCTTTCTTTTCTTCGTTGGAATCTTCTGTTCTAATAAATGACCTGCCATGCCTCTGTGAGGGCTCAGGGGTTGCATCCTGCCCTTTCTAGGCTAAGCCTTCTTTCATGTGGGCGTCTGCATTTTTCCTATCTGTAGCAAAAAGGGAAAAAAATTAAGTAACTCTCATATCAAGTTCCTCTTTTCATCAAGCGCTTGTCTTCGTTTTGTCTCGAGTCCAAAGTCACAGCCAAGCAGGGAAGACAGGCAGCAATCAGGGGACCTCCATTTCTCAGTAAAAAAGGGCACCAGTGAAAGACAGAAGAGTTGAGTCTTGCTACCTCTGACCAGGTAATCATCATCTGGGATGAGTCTTCTCTTTGATGTTGTGTTGTCCACTTGGTTGCAGGGATTGTTCTATGCTTTCTCAGTTCTGGTGGCTTTGAACTTCCAAAAGAAGGGGAAATGTAGCTTCTGCAAACCTAATTTTTCCTGCTGGCTCAGAACAGGTTTTTTTGCTTCTTGTCTGGTCTGTGATACCCGCAGCCACAATCGGTCTACATTGTGGTTACTATTGCAATGTGTGTCCTTGTGTTGTGTCTTGCCCTGCATTTCAGTGTAGTCTAGGTCTCTAGCAACAGCTGGGTGCTTAGATTTAACAACACCTTGATTTTTCTGGGATGTGCCTTTTCCATTTTGGGCATTTGTGCAAAGAAGCCGAGGCTCGCTTGTAAAGTGCATGCATTACCCACAAAGTGAATTGGGATATATTTTTGCTAGCTTTACCTAAAAAGGATCTCAGGTAGCAGAGTCCGTGGAGTGGGGTGGGATGGAGTGGAGTGCAACATCAGAGTAGACCCATATTTCCCACTGTTCTCAAAAGCTGAAACATACCCTTTTCTGGAAGGAAGGAATGAAGAAGGAGAAACAGAAACCCACTTTTCAGTTAAAAACAAAAATACTTTCAGAATACAAGGGATGACACAATGGATTTATCGAATTACAATAATGGCAGGGACTGCAGAGTTTGTCTATTGCAATCCTAAGCTAGACTGTGTGTTCATGTGCATGCGCCCCTTCCCAGAATTTGGTTTGCTTTTTTGTATTCCCAGCCTTCGCCACAATAGGTATTCTCCTGCTGGCTGGGAACTGGAGCTTTCATCCAACGTATCTGGAGGACTACTTTGTGCGGTCAGATCCTGCAAATATTTTCCTTTTTTACTGAGTTGTGCCACTACTACCATGGGCTCAGTCTATCACTCCAAAGGTTGGCGAATGATACCTAGAAATCTGTATCTCTAGTAGGTGAAACGGGTAGGTGAGAGATTCAGGAGAGATAAAAAAGGACCTCTTCACACAGGGCTTCACTCTATGGAATCACTTCCCCAAGATATAATGATGGCCACCCATTTGGGCAGTTTTAAAAAGGGATACGATAAATGAATGGAGGAGACGCTTATCAGTGGCTGCTGGTCTTCATGGCTGCATGCTGCCTCCAGTGTCGGAGACAGTATGCTGGGGAACATGGATGGAAGGGTGGAGTTGCACACATGACTTATTTCTCACAGGTAGCTGGTTGGCCACTGTGTGAACAGAATGCTGGACTAGATAAACACTTGGTGTGATCCAGCATGGCTGTCCTGTTCTTCTGTTCCTCGTTTCATCTGAGCTCTGGGTTGGTGGATAGGATGCCGCCAAGAACGGAAAATGGAGAGCTAGCAGAGAAACCTCAGAAAGGCTAACTTCTTATTCCTCTCTCTTTGGAAGGTTCCATCATGGAGGTTAATGTTACTGCCTTGGAGTCCACCAATATATCCACTCTGTTCTTCCCCAAAGCCAAAACTGACGTGAGCAGCATAATGGACATGATCCAAGTCTTCTTCTACAGTGTGGTGTTCCTCCTTGGTTCCATTGGCAACGGGGTCGTGATCTGGATCACAGCTCCCCAAATCTCACGTACAGTCAACTGCATCTGGTTCTTCCATCTGGCTTTGGCTGACTTCCTGTTCTCGGTAAGCCGGATTGTGCCCTTGCTGAAGAACGCTTTCTACCAAGGATGGCCCTTTGGGAGCTTCCTGTGCCAAGCCAACAGTTTCATCAAGTACCTAAACATGTTCTGCAGCGTCTTCATTTTGGCTGCCATCAGCTTGGACCGGGCAGCCTCCGTGGCCTACCCAGTTTGGTCCAAAAACCACCGTGGCCCTTGGTTGGCATGGTTGGCTGCCATTAGTTCCTGGGTTCTGGCTGCAGCCACCAGCCTCCCTTTCTATCTCTACCGTGAGGTGAAAATAGAGAAAGAGAACAGAACGAAGTGCACTGTCAGGCTGAAGAACGGAGACCAGATAGCCCTCTATCTGCTGAGGCTGGTGTGTGGATTCCTGGTTCCCTTTGCTATCATTCTGATCTGTTATGGGATCATCACTGTGATACTGAGAAGGCGGCGGGCCACCTTCAGCTCCAAGAAGCCCTTCAAGGTCATCCTGGTGATTGTGGTCACCTTCTTTCTTTGCTGGGCACCCTACCATCTCTTCCTCCTGTGTAAACTGGCAGGCGTGAAAGGCCAAGCGATTTCTGTGGGGCTTCCTCTCGCTTCCTCTCTGGCCTACCTGAACAGCTGTGCCAACCCTATCCTGTACTTCTTCATAGGCTTGGACTTCCGCAGAAAGCTGAGCCACTTCAACCTGGTGGCAGTATTCAGAAAAACGTTGCTGGAAGACAGTGTCTACTCATTCAGAAAGCAAAGCCAACAGAGGAGGGGGACGCCCTCGTCCATAAATGAGCTAGAACGCATTTCTTAAGACGGATTAGACTGACTCAGCATCACAGAGGCCCTTTAGCATGTGAGGCTTGTGCACAGAAAAATGTATCAGTCGCTGGCATCAGTCCCACTGGTTATACCATAGATCCCACCATCCCCAGTCAGAAAAGTAAAGGTAACCTCTTGATGTGTGCTCCCCACACCCCAGAGCTGTGAGAATTCTGGGTGCATGTGGGGCTAGTTCCTTTTGGGCAACAGAGAGAACTAGAATCTTAAGCTGTCATTGTAATATCAGCTTCATTTCCTAATAGGTCAGAAACTTTTGAGTGGGAGGCCAAGGGCAGGCTTGTACGAGGCAGTGGATCTGAGTGGAAACACTTCCACTCAGGGAAGCCAAACACTTACCACACCCATAGGGAAAGAGCACCATACTGGACAATATACAGTGATCAAAGCATTCAGTTGGGGCTTGGGAAGCTCCGTGAGTGACTTCGGGCTAGTCAGTGACTCTCAGCCTAGCCTACCTCACAGGGTTGCTGCTGATGGGCAACGGCTGTTTTTTCGTTTGTTTTGCTTTGTTTCATTTTGAGGGCATCTGGTTGCAAAGTTATTTGATGGAGATCTGCTCCAAATTCTCAGAGGGTGGGCTGTGCCAAAAAGCGGCAGTTCAGAGAAGGACACGCTCGGGTGGTCTCATGCCTAAAGCATGTGGGAGAGGAGACGGAGGCACCAAGGGGCCAAGGATGCTTGGCGTTAGTCAAGCTTTAGGTTTTTGTTTAAAGTTGAGTGCAGTTTCGCCTGCGGGGGCCTGGAGGCATTTGCCCGAACCTTTGAGTCACGGCCGCAGCAGCCTGGGCAGACCCTCAGGAGAAGGTCTGATCCCCTTGGTCTGTGCCCCTTCCTTGGTCTCGTCTTCCTGGATCACTCCTAAAGCACCAACTTTACTGTCTTTTCATAGTACCTGGTGCCAGGTAAAGATTGTTCTCTGCTGCAGGTCATTCAGTTAATCTACTGAGGCTTTCCAGTCGCTAAACAGGTCTTAAGATTTTTCTTCAAGTCATTGTAATGCTTTTATCTGTTTTAAATTCAGTTTTAAATTTTGCATTGTAAGCGTTTTATGATTTTTATGATGGTGCCTTTTATATTGTATTTTTAATGTGCCGTTGTGAACTGCCCAGCGAGCTTCAACAGATGATGATGATGACGATGAAGAAGAAATAATAATAGTGGGGCAGGCCTCGTAGGAACCAAGCACCAGTACTTTTTTATTTGCAGGCTACAGACATCTTCTGCCCTGCAAAACAGACCCCAAGACTCTCAGAGCTTAGCAGCAGGCCTCACAGCAGCCAGCTGGAGGAGTGGATTTGCCCAGATGATATATATGGGTGGCCGCTGCCCTGCCAAGCGCCTGGGCAGCCTGGTCTCGAACAGAACATTAGGGGCCATTCTGCTCTCGAGCGGGTGAAGACGGGTTTGCTGGTCAAGCTCAACCATCTGCCTGCATGTTGGGGCTCCTGATGGGATCCTGCCATGGTCCGTGCCCTCACTTCAGAATTCTGCACTTTCCACTAACAGCAGCTATTTGGTCATGCGGGTGCGGGGGGGGGGGGATGGCATGACAGACCTGATGAGGCTCAAATTACGGAGGGCAACCTTGAGGGCCCTTAAGCACACCCTTGGATTGAACAGCTCCGTCCACCACCAGTGAGGAGAAACTCCATGGGAACAACTGCAAAGACTGGAGGAAAGGGGGGGCCATGCTTTTACTAGCCCGATAGTTGCCCACGTTTCCCGGCTGGCTATATAAGGGGCTTTCCATCGATGGCCAACATGAAAACTCCCTTTGCAGCTGTGTGTCTGCATATTATTGCAATTATTACACTCCATTTATGTCCCACTTTTCTTCATCTTGCAAAGAACACAAGGCAGCTTACATGGTTCTCCATGCCATTTTATACTTAGAACAACAGCCCTGTGGAGTTGGTTGGCCTGAAATTCTGTGACCGGCACAAAGTCACCCAGTGTGGAGTAGAGAGCAGACCGGAGATCTGGGTCCCAGTCCAGCCCTCTTCATCACTACACCATGTGGGCTCCGTCAGGCTAGTAACTTTTGTGGGTTTATTTGCAAGACTTCCAACGCATTCCCAAGTCCTTAGCATAAGTCAAATCACAGCCTGTTCTATAGTCTTCTAAAAGGAAAAGCTAAGATGACACAAACACAAAACTGCAGAAGAATGTATGCATGACCTTCATGTGATTTCCTGCCAGCTCTTCTCCAAGAATGAAACTTGTCTGGTATCCTGCTTGGTAGCAGATGCTTTCATCTCGTCTCTTTCTAGTCCTGCATGTTCTGATCCAAGCAGATTTATAAAATGGTTGTGAAACCCATTCAATAAATCGCAGCAGTCAGATAAACCTTCTTAATCCTGAGTCTGAAAAAAGTCACACACAAGGAATATGATTCTCCCAAGGATTAAATGAAGGCCTTGCTCAACATTTCCTTCAGTTTAAAGCATTCATTTAGCTTTGCAGTCTGGTTTGCCTCCTCTGCCACCCTTAATCCTGATCTCAAGTGGCTCAGCTTCTGAGCTGTTTTTGTTGTAGGTGGTTCAAAGACAAGGGAATGTACGGATTTCCTTTTAGATCCCAGCCTTCCTTTAAGGACCACAGAGTGGTGGTGTGCATTAGCAGCTAGACAGAAGGTAAATCACTAGAAGAGTTGAAGTCTCCATCATGGTCAATGCTCAGGAATGCTGGAAGAAGCCGAAAACATCTGGAGCTCTTCCTTCTGCTCCACCCTTGAAGTACACCACTGTTCTCATTTGATCTTGGTAACACCAGAAAGGGTCCATGGGCACCTGGTGAAGAGTGCAATTGGAACCCACCAGCTGGAGGGAGACTGGAAGGTGGGCAGCACCCTTCCTCCTTGCCCTTGGAGAGGGCAAGTGGACAGGCAGGAGGAAGGAGAAGGGCCAGAGCCATCAGCACTGGGCTGCCTACTGAGGTCTGGAGCTAGACAGGTCCCAACAAAGCATATACTTGGGACCAACCCTGATTTGCTCAGTATAAGGGTAGTCATGGGAGCAGCCAGGCATTGAATTTACTGGGCTCCACAGCATTCTGCAGAAAACATCTGGCATAATTCCAGGTAGATGCAGAAGAAGAGGGATTCCCCAGAAGGAGACTTGCAGGGGAGGTGTTCTGGGGAAGGACAGCGTAAGAAGATGTCAGATCATCATGGCTGTGGTGAGTCAGACTGAAAGAGAATGGAATTGCTGTGGAGTGACACATGTCTGAGTTGAAAAGTTTTCATAGTGGACATGGAGAACCTTGCCAAAGGATTAAAACATCTCAGAAAGGAGAAACAAATAGAGTGAGGCTCAGCTCTGCTTTCACATAAAATGTTTATACAATAAATAGGTTTTATACACATTTCCCCCTTTAAACAGCATCCCCAGGCATTTTTAAAAAAGACAGTGACCCAAAAAATACAATAAATATATGGAGATCTATTCCAGATGTGCTGTTATCTTGCTATTCTGCTTAGTGGAGTTGTGTTTCTGAGAAGAGGTTTTCCACACATATTAAGAGTGTCTTTCATAATCTAGACAAATGTATGTCAAGGCACTGTGGCAAAGCACTATCAGAGAAGCTTTGCCTGGTTGCTCACATCTAAGTCAAAGGCAAGTTTTGAAACATGTCTGGCCTGAGTAGTCACAACCAGGAGCAAACCTAATCCAGCCAGGATTAGAGTGAGTAATGACTTCCTCCAACTGGTGAGCATCTAGGACCACTGGACAGGACATCTGAATCTTTTCTCCTGCAAGTCATGAAAATTCTGGCCAACTCCTGAGTTAAAATTCATACCAAGTCCTCCCTTTTCTGCAAACAGCTTGCTTTCTTTGGCAGATGCTAGCCAAGAGGAAGCAGAGTCCAAAGAAGTTTTTCTGATTCTTTGAAACGGAATTCACATGTTACAGAACCAGCTGGAGCTCACATCAACAGGTTCTACCTGCCAAGACATTGTCCGGGTCTTCTTGAATGGAGGGAACGATCCGAAGACCCCTTTGAATCGATCCATTAAAAGACCAGAACCATTGCTAGTCAGGCCACCGACAGCAGGCACTGCCAATAACCCGATGTAGCAATTGCCCCATTTGGAACTCAGATTCCATCCCATTGACCAAAGATCTGAAGAACCATGCAGGAGCTGTCCTTCCAACCAAACCCAAGCATATGCAGCCTCTCCCATTCGCTGTCCTGCAGCTGGGGTCCTTGACTGAGAGGAGCTGTCATTTCTACACAGAAGCTCCTTGGGGCCAAGCACTGCGGTCCATTGTCAAGCCTGACGGATCAAATCCCTAGAAAGTGATGTCCATCAGTAGCGACTATTCTCCTCCGCTGCCGTGACGATAGCATCCATCCAGATGCGCATCGCCTCTGGGCTGGGCGCCACCATGCAGAACAGCCGGTCATAGGTCTTGACGCAGAAGGTCATCTTGGGACTGGGGCTCTGGTGAAGAGGAGCAAAGGCGTTATCATCATGAACATAAGGAAGTCGTCGTAACGGCTAATGTATTATTTCTGAACAAGGTGGTAACGCCAAATACAAAGATTTAGCGCATTACATCTTTCCTCCCCACTGTTTCCGTTTTTGCTCCCAGTTCCTTTGATCCTCACCGTAACTCTGGGGGTCGGCTAGGCTCTGAGTGAGTGGAAGTAGATAAAGTCTCTGGTGGTTCCATAGGGAACAACTGGAACTCACCTGAGAAAGAGCCTTCACCGTGGTGGCCCCCTTTCTGGGGAACTTCCTGGCACAGGTGGTTTGGCAGGCATGCAATGGTTCTTGGCACCTCCTGAAAACACTTGGATTTATGGAAGCCTTCCCGAACCAACCAGCCAGATTTGGCTTTTAAAGGACAGCTCCCTTTGTTTATCTTTTCTTCTTCTATCGTAGCGTGCTTTGAAATCTCCATTTTGGTACATACATTTTGTAAATAACTAACAGAATAATAATAAAACAATAATAAAATTTGCAGGCTCAATTCCTGGGGTCACCAAACAAAAAAAGGATCAAGTTCTGCCTGAAAGTCTGAATCGCTGCAAGATGGAGGAGGAGGTTGCTGCGTTCCTCCGCCTAAGAGCCCGATCTGGCATGGGGCAGCTTCCTCCAAGGACTCGTTCCAGGGCGCCCCAGTTCACTCCATGGCAGGGTCCAGTCCACCCACACCGAACTGCAAGTACGTGGCCATAGGCTTGTACAACAGCCAGCTCATGAAGCCAAACGCAGCCACATATTTGGCCTGGCAGGGTTTGAATTTCTCGCCAGTAATGAGCCAAGTGATCTAGGAAGGCCCTGCTGGACTGTGCTTGGCCTGCTGGGTTGGAGCCGGGTGTGTGGGCTCTGCATCCACACGTTGCAAACCAGTCTTCTCCAAGCTGGCGCCCTCTGAAACTCCCAAGCTCCCTGGTCAGCAGGCTGAGATTGATGGAAACGGTAGTCTAACAGATCTGGCAGGCACCAGGCGGGAGAAAGTAGGTATGGACCTGCTTCTGCCATGTGGCAGTGGGTAAGGCATCAGCACTCGGCCTAACCTTCCTCACAGGGCTTTTGCAGTGCCAAACAGACAAACTCTGGACTCTCCGGTGGATGAATGAGACACTAATATAAACATATCGACATTAGGGAGTGAGGCCTGGGTGCCAGGCATGCTCATAAGGAGAGTTCCTGGAAGTAAACAGTACATGGGGCTCAACAAACCACTCTGTGCATGCTCAGAGATTCGGGTGATTTATTCTAGGGAACACTAAAGAATGTTCCCAAGGTAAATGGTCTGGGGCCGGTGCTTGTTCGAAGGAGGACCTCGGCTCGCAGCACCTCCCCAGCAAGATCCAGAAGGTGCGCCCAATCCTATGCCACCTCTAAACCCAGCTGACCGCCCCACCCAATCCGTTTCGGTCAGGAGATTCCACAGCTAGCATTGCTTTAAGAAGTCCCTTCCCTTGGTACCTTGAAAGCACTGCGGAGATGGTCATAGTAAACTTCTTCAATGGCCTGGAAGTAAATCACACCCTTTAGCTTGGTTTCCTCCTTGTCTGGATGGAGAAAAAAGGCAGAACAGCGTGTTAGTACATTGCAAGCTGAAGAAGAAACGGGGAAGGGGAGGGGAGGGGAGATCATTCACCAAAGCTCAACCTGCTCTACCTGGATATTTCAACTCAGTGTCACATGAAAGTTGCAAAGTATCAGGAATTAATACAAAAACACAGAAAGTGATTTGGGGGCATAGGAATCAGCTTTCTAAAAATCTTCCCTTTTCCATAATTGTTATTATTAAAGTATGCTTCTAGTCCTTATGGATGCAGAGAAACTCCACAGCCCTGGTTTGAAAGTCAAATCCTGCTGAGAATTCAGAAGCCAGAGAGAGGTGGATGAGCAAGATTTGCAAAGCATTTCGCAGCACCTTGTTTCTGCCTAGACTTGAAAATTCAGATCAAAGGCTGCAGATGAGAAAGGAAAATGCAAATCTGCTTAATTTGTCGCAAATCTGCTTAATTCACCAGAGAACTGAGCTTCTGTGGGCACAGAATATGTAACTTGTTTATGAAGTGCAATGTATTATAGACAACACACAAGGTTGTTTACATGGACTCAGACCATCTTCGCCTGCAACTTCTTCCTTGATGGGCAGCAGCCCCTGAGGCTTCCGATGGAAAGTCTCTTTCCCAGCTCTGCTAATGAGATGCTGGGAAAGTCTGCTGGACCTTCTGCCCAACACCAAGAACTGCTTTGCTCAGGGATGCAGCGTTGCAGAGCCACAAGCTGCCCGAGCAGCAAGTGACTGGAGTGGATGATGGGCCCTGGGATGGCAAGGCTGGGGAGTCGCAGGCTCCAAAATCGCATTCAAAATTGCATGGCATTCCATTGCACTCAAAACGCATTCAACATTCCCAGTCCTCACCTCCTGGTGAAAAGATCTCCATTTTTTCTAATTCGGCACATACAAATGCAGTAAATATTTACTGCTTCCCGCCAGGGTCTGACAATATTGGGAAATTTGGACATGCAAAACATGAACAGTTTTGGTGTTTTGCTCCCAGAGGAGAGAGGATTTCTGCTCTCGGCAGCTCCGTGTGAGAGGAGGTTCATAGCAGAGGTGGCAATGTGTAAACTCTCTTCCACTCGCTCACTCACCCGCATAATATGCTAGGACACGCTTCTGGCGATCGAAGGTGAACCAGCGCTTCTTCCAGGTCTTGATGCGGCCACCCATCTTGACCAGGTAGCCTTTGCAGGACTTGCTGGTCACCCGCACGTGTGGGCAGGTGTCCACGCTGTGCCCCGATGCTTCCAGGTGTTTGCGCAGGTCGAACACGGCCGGTTTTGGCTCCTGGATCTCCACTGGGTTGGGATCCTGCAGGCCAGCAACATGGCAGCGGGTGAGTCTGACGGCAAGGAGGTCTTCCATTCTAGGGCCCGCCATGAGGACTGGGGCGTGCGGGGAGGGCAACTGGTGTTCAGGCACCCCTCACTGTTGGAACTCCTGCCATCATGCTGGGGCCCACAAGACCACCATTGTTTGGGCCTCCCAGAATGCCCTGCAGTGTCACCTGAGTGTTTCCTACCTTCCAGGGAGCATGCCTGTTCCACCCCTACAGCCCCCTTTCTCATCTAGTCTGCCCAACAGTGCAAGCAACTGTTGTGAGGATGGGGTTCCGCTTCTCAGAGTCAATCCACCTGCTTCTGAGAGTCAATCTAAGCCAGAAAATAAACTTGGATCCCAAACAAATAATCTGTGTACTGGAGACTCGCTAGCTGGGGGCAGCCAAGTCATGTTCTTCCTTCTGTACAAAGGGAACATGAAGGACTGGGCAGCCCGCAGGGAGCGATTGCAGAAGAATTCAGCCCCGATCATCCCCATGCAACCCCACTCGCCCTGCCCAGGTCCCCTGGTGGTGGAAACCACGGGGGCAGGGCTCACACAGGTGTGGAGAAAGGAGAAGAGCCCGAGCCTCCAGCTCCCTGGCCCCGTGGGTACCCGAAAGTAAAAGGATGCTTCACATTCCGACAGCAGACGCAACTCGGATGTCCCCCTACCTTGCCTGATGGGGGCAGCTCCATGCGCTTTGCCTCCTCAGCTGCTTTCTTGGCCTCCTGCTAAGAAAAAAGCAAGGTCTGTCTGTGGTGAGTTGGGCAACGGGCGACCGTCTCCTGGCGGCTCCAGGCATATGCCTCCTCCCCCAAAACCCAAACCTGTCCCACAGAGAGAGACACAGGCAGAAACGCCCGTCCCCCTCTCCCACCCACGGGGCCAGTCTGGATTCCTCCCATGAGTTGCCCACATGAACGCAGGGCGGGCAAACAGCTGACAAGGTGAAACTGGGCACTTCCTCGTTTGGGAAGCCGCGTGAGAGGCAGATGGGCGAGACAGTCATGCTGGGTTGCAGCAACCAAGGGGGCCGGGGCTCCGGAGGACGCCACGGCAGAGAAGGCTTCCATGGCCTCAGGTAGCGAATGCCCCTCTGAAGGGTGCTACTGCTCTTGCCTCCCGCTTGCAGAGCTCCCAGAGTCGCCACCTTTCGGACAGACTGCTGGACTGGGTCAGCCTCAGCCCTTGGGGCCACCTTCCGATAGAGGGTGTGGCTGAAGGCCACAGGGGCGGCACAGAAAGCAGCCCAAAGGAGCCAAAACTACCCGCCTGCTTAGCTCACATCTCTTCTTGCTTGTAACTCAGGTGCAGACGTGACATTTCCACCTTTTACAGAGGGAGAAAAAACTGCACAGAAGCCAGGAGGTTTCCAAACAATGGGTAGCTGGAGGAAGTGGGGCTGGCCAACTGGGGAATGCCGGGTCCCCCACCCCTGGCTTAGGCCTTTGCTCAGATCTGGCAGGACTCTATGTTCTTGGGTGTGCGTTTGCCCAGACTGGCCACACGAAAGGGCCCCAACTGGTTGCCACAGACTGTTGTGCGGAGGAAACAGGGTGTGATGTGAGAAGCAGCTCTGGCTCGAGGGATGCCTAGGCTGCATCGTCAGATGGGGTTGTGGGGCAGAGGAGAGGAGCCTGTGGGGACAGGATTCCTGGGTTCTATTATTGCCTTGCAGATGGAGGCGACGCTTTAAAGAGGCCAGCATAAATGAGGAGGAGAGGCCCTCTGTGTGCAAGAATTTAACAGCCTGTTCCTTTCGGATGCACCTTCCGCACTCAGAAGGCCCCAAGCTTGGAGCATCCAGGGCTGAGTGCATCTCCAACTCCCTGTGCCTCCCAGAATGCAGTGGAGCTGCAAGCTGTTCTCAGCTGTCTAGCTGAAGTGCTTCGAGGGGTGGGGAGAGGGAGGCCACCAACAGAACGCATATCCTGGCAGGCCCAAGCTCCATTCTTCCCTTCGGCTTCCTTCCTCAGCCCCTTTAAGCCCTTTCTAAATTTGTGTTCCTGATCCTGGAGAATCAGCTCACATTCTGTGCCAGCTGCAAGGTCCAAACTTGGAATGCAGATTCTCAGTTCCAAGCTTGGAGCGCTGCCCCTAATCTTGGATCTGGGAACCCAAGGTATCATGACACCGTCTAGGGAGCCATAGGATTGCTATTGCTGCCCCTAAAGCCCAGTGCTGATAGGTAGGTAACAATGATTTTTAAAAGGAATGTGTGCAGTTTCCGTTTTCAAAGAAGGCATCTCTGGCTTTTGAGCAATGAAGCAACCAGGTACATTATTTGCATATCAAGACGAGGCCCTTGGGTGGGGAACGTGTAGCCCTCCAGCAGTTGCTGGACTGTTGGCCAGGGCTGATAGGAGCTACAGTCCAATCTGCGGGCTGCACATTCCCCAGCCCACCTTAAAAGCTTCTCACAGTAACCTGGGCCAAAACGGGAAAGAATCTATGTCATGATGCTAATATTGTTCCCAGGGCATTCTTGGAGACAGGGGACTTTCATAAGTTCGGGAGAGATACGGTTTTGATTGGAAAGCTGGTGTGCAAGGGGAAATGTTAACTCCCTCTCCTCATCACCATGTTCCAATATGGTTCAGGAACCATCACAACTAGTGGTCCTTACTCCCCAAACTTTGGAGAGGAGTGGATGGTTGGATGGATGGATGGGTGGTCCAGATTTTCAACTTGCAGATTTCACACCTGGAAAGCACAGTCTGTGTTAACAAAAGACCCTGGTGTTTTTTAGCTTGTCTTCTCACCCTTTCCTGCAGCAACCGCTCTCTCTCTGCCATGGCCTCCCGCACTTTCAGCTCCATCTCAGCCAACTTAGTGACGCAGTTCCCCAGGCTGTCGAAAGACACATCTGGTCAGTGTCAGTTATAGTGGACACGTGGAGAAGCAGAGAGAGGAGACAGGCCTGATGTGGGAGGTCCATGATTCATAGGACTTTAGAGTTGGAAGGGACCCTGGAGAGCATCTAGTCCAACACCTGCTTGGTGCATAAATCTTGCAGCTGTAGTGACCCTGGCAAACACCCACTTGACCCTCTCTTTAAATGCTTCCACCAAGTAAGATTCCTCCACTTCCTGAGTCAGCCCACTCTCTTTTTACTGTTAGGAAGTTTCTCCTACTTTTAGAAAAAGACTTCGCGCCTGCAATTTATTTTATTTTATTTTATTCATTCATTCATTCATTCATTCATTCATTTGATTTATATCCTGCCTTTTCCCTACAAAGGGCTTAAGGCAGCTTACGTCATTCTGCTCCTCCATCTTATCCCCACAACAACAACCCTGTGAGGTAGGTTGGGCTGAGAGTCTGTGACTGGCCCAAATTTCCACCTATCAGTTGCCCACTCCCCTCTATATCAGCAGAGAACCAGTCTGCTCCATCTTCTCTGAGACAATCGTTCAGGTCTCCACTAAGTCTACCTTTCTCCAGAAGAAACATACCCACTTCTTTTAATCAGTCCTCCTAGGACTTGATCTCCAGAATCCTTTTCTGTACACACACAAGTTTGTCAATGTCCTCCTTAAAATGTGGTGCCCAAAACTAGACATTGCCCTAATGATGGCCTGGTTAATCCACAATACAGTGGAACTATTGTATTTTGTGAGCTGGAAACCATGTTTCTACTCACTATGGAATGCCACCCAACAGAATGTTATTGCCCGTCTAGACATGGTGGTCCGCAAGAGGACTAATAAAACCTCCTAGCTTTGCAAGTTGCCCGGAAGGCCACAGTTTATGGTTGCAAGTCATGTCTCATGGCTTCTAGGCAACTAGAGAGCAGGATGGAGATGGTTTCCTGCGGTTGCCTGATAACCAAATGTGTCTGTTTTTCCCCTCTATTCCCAAGTCAATAAAACCTCCGATCCAGGGCTTGAACAAACCGAGTCAACAGCAGAAGCGAGTCAAACAGAAGGACGTTATCCAGAGCCAGTCCCCAAACCAAGCTCTGGAAGCAACTCAAGAAGGTGGATTCAGGGTTGGGGCATGTCGAAAAGAATAGGAAAAGGCACAAGGGCATGAACAGTGGGTGCAAAGGCACTGAAGGATGGGGAAGGAAGCAAGTTTGCCTGGTGGGTGGGTGGAAGATCAGGACAGCCAAAAAACAACCTGCCGATGGGTTAATATGTTGGAAAGGCCATGGTTATGGAGGAAGCTGCACCTGCTCACCTGTAGGCTCCTTGTGTGCCTCCTCCTAGATGCCCCGCAGCTCTTTGACCACCCAGCAGCTGGTAGAGGGGGTTCTGGAGACGTGAGAACTGCAGGTTTGGACTGCCCAGATAGCGTCCATTGCTCCCACCAGAGAGCTGTGCTGCCAGTACACTGGAGTCCAGAGCACCTGGAAGGAACAGGTGGGAAGAAATCCAAGCGCTTGCATCAGAACCCTTGAGGACATCCGACAAAAGCACTTCCCATTTTGGCACACACACTGCCGTGCAACACAACGGGCCCATGGTCATTCTCCATGGTCTAAAAGCCCTGGAGATGCAAGTCTTAGATAAAAGAGGCCAGATCCCAGGGACCAAGACTAGAATGGATCCATTCGCCCTTGTACACCACAGTTCTGACAGAAGATTCCATATTTCTCAAGAAGGGCCGTCCAGTGTAACTGCCTGCAACCTCTCCAAACGCAGATTATGGGAATGCAAAACTGCAAACAGGAGAGAACAATCTTAACCATTTCTTGTTTTTTGTAGTGTACTCTGTGATGTTATTCCACTGGATTGAAATTAGCCTTTTAAATTCACCATCATCAACCCCTGGAGATACGACTGTTACACCCCAGATGCCTGCTGACACAACTCTACCCCCACAACCAGCACTTTCTCTCAAATCTGCCTTTCCCCCAGTCTCTTTAAGTCCCCCAATTCTGGTTAACACATACCATGCATTGAGAGGGGACGCTCCGCAGTCCGGGGTTTGATGCGTTCCCCTCGCCTACGGGGAAGGCTTGCCGTCCTCTGTACTCCTATGGAACCCTGGGCAGAGAAAGCAACTGAGTGAGAATCAGGTCTGGAACTCACAAAGCAGTCCTGCTCGCCTCATCCTCAGATTTAGACAAGGGGATTTCTACACCTCCCCAACCTAGATATTGCGCACCCACTGTACAACCATACTTCCGGTATAGCAGGTTAGGCTATTTGTCCATTGACTTCAGCAGGGTCTTCTGTAAAAGTTGAGGGAAGCTTGCCAAGTTCTCAGCCAGAGACGCCTCCCCATCACCCGATCCTGCTGTCCACAGAGGCTGGGGAGCTGCGGCCTGCAAAGCCAGTGCCCAGCCAAGGAGTGTGGAGGCATCTCTGGCACATTCTGGCCGCCCCCCGTCATTGCGGGACAGCACTGAGCTGTCTCTGAAAGGAGATTTTTAAAAATCCATGAAGGACAGCTGGATAGAACCTCCATCTTCAAGGAGCGGAACAGCGATGGAACCAACGACCTGGGGAGGTTATGGATCTCCCACACGGGAGGCGTTCAAGATGCGACTGGACAGCCATCTGAGAGGGAGGGTTCAACTGGGAGTCCTGCACTGAGCTGGGAGTTGGAATCAATGGGCTTCCAACTCTACTGTTCCGTGATTCCATGAGTCTATGAAAGGCAGCGTTTCTCTGAATACCATTTCCTGGGAGGGAACAGTGGAAGAGGATTGCTGGCTTTTGACTCCACGCTCCATAGTCTCCTCATTGGTAGAAGGTGCGGGACAAGAGGGGCTTTTGGTCAGCCCCAGCAGGACTACTTAAATCCAGTGTGAAGTGAGTGTATGCCCTGATATTTTGATTAGGGATTTTTTAAATTTATCAGTTAAAATCCTTCCTAAGGGACCTATGCAAGGCAGCCGTTAGCATCATCAGAAAAACAAGATGTGTAAATGAAAGGTTGACACAATTTGCAGCTTAAGCAGCGACGACAGAACAGAACTGAACAAAGGGAAAAAAGTGGCACCCTACATCATGCACAGACTTCTGTGGGGTGGAGTGTGGGGTCCAGAAAGTGCCACGTTCTATGTGTAATCTTCCTGTGCTTAATTCCTGCTTCTTTTGTCTTTTTTCCCTCAGAATAACTACTATCCCAAATACCTTCCAAAACAGCAGGGCTTGAACTTGCTCTTTGAGTAAGGAAGCTAAGCAAGCCTTCCTTGAGAATGAGTTCCATGATCTAGGTGTCACTTCCAAGATGCTGACCACTCCAGCATGCAGGGGACCCAGAGCAGGTAACTCAATAACAAAATGGTTTCTGGCAAGTTTGAACATTGCTGCTTCTATTTTGGCTGCCTAGGAATAATGATTCCCTGTGAGGAGCTTCTGAAATTCTGAGAGTACCACAGAAGCACAAGTGGCAACCTTCTCCGAGTGAAGAACTTTCGGGCCCTGGACTGACTTTGCCCACCCACTGGCTACTCCTGGACTGGAAGAAGCGTAAAAGGACCTCCTGTTCCACCCGAGTCCTCCTAGACCAACAAGGATTCCCAAGCTCTGGTAAGACCTTGCGATTCTTTGCTCGTGTCTCCTGGTTTGCTCCTCAGTCTTGCCTCCTGGCCTGTCCTTCAGCCCAGACTCAGAACAAGGCCCTGACATTCCTCTAACAGAAGGCAGACCCATATCCCCACGCTCAGAGTGGGGCACCTCATGCGCCACTGCCAGGCCCTAGTCGGTGCCCCATGTCCCCTCGTCTGGGCTCAGCTAAGGCAGTCCGGTGTCTTCAGTCCTCACCATGGGCTTGTATCCCACGCCTCCCAGATTCCCTCAGGGCTCTCTCCCGTTGAAGAAGACAGATCTAAAGGAGCAGGATTGCTTGTGCACATATAAAAGGAAGCAGGAGAGACTGGCGGTCAAGACGGACCTTGACAGAGCTGCGGACGGAGAAGACACAGGAAGATGAGTCGGACTGGTCAGAACCCAACACAATGACCTTCCGATCCGTCTTCCGGGTGAAAGTGAGCTGCAGGGAGACAGAGGCACATTAATATGGAGGCAGAGCTTGCAGGGTGAAGTGGAGGGGGGGCTTTCTCTTTTTACAGCTCTGAAATACTAAATCCACCCTCCTTTGCTTTAGGCACTAGAAGCGACCAAAGGTTAAGACAGATGTAAGATTTTAAGAGCGACCTCAGCAGCTTTTTGTCCATGCCTGGATCATGTGACTCCACACACGCACAATCCCCTGCTCCCAATTTATCCTCAAAACAACCCTGTGAGGTAGGCTAAGGCAAAAGACGGGGGCTGGCCTGGAGGGACCCTGTGATCCCCCTGGCTCAGGGACAAACACACACACAAATAGCACATATAATTTGGCCCCATGTCTTGGCCTTGCAGAGAAGCAAGTTTAAAATGTTGACATAGGGCAGAAATGAATAGATGCTTTGGTATTCTAGGCTAAGGCATGACTGAAATGTGCCAAACCTGGTTGACCTCACATCCTCAGCCTGAAAGGATGAGCCCCACTGCTCCTGGGCTTCCTTATGTTGTGGAGGGCCAGTTTGGGGGAGGGGGTACCTTTTTTCCTGTGATGCTTCCTATGTCCTAGAAGGCCCAGCACCAGGCAAAAGGTAGATGCAGCTTTCTCTAGCACTGCACCACTTTGCTGGAGGAAAGCCTTACCAGTTGAATTTCTGCCTGATGCATGAATATAACAGCCTAAGAGGAAAGAAGAGCCTAAATGCTGACAGCTCCAGAGCTGCGACCTGGGATGCCTCTCTGCCTTCTCTGTGTCATTCCACACTGTGCATCCGAACTGTGTGTTCATCCCAGCGTGGGATCCACACCTCCCACCTGAAGGGGGAAACTCGTCCGAGATGGAATGGGGGATGGAGAGACCCTGAGAAGGCTTGGGAGGTGCTTACCTGAGTGACCCCCTGTTTGCTTTCCGAAGAGTCCTCCCCGCTCTCCTCTGAATATTCCTGGCCCACCTCCATTAGGCGACTTCTCTCCTAGGCACAAACAGGTAAGTCACCTTTCCGGACAGATAAGCCCGTGCGTCACTCATTGGCATGCCCACTCCACTTATCACCAGCCCGTCATCAGTGAAGATCATGCTTCCTTCCTACAGAGTGACCCCCATTGCCCTCCACTCAGAATACCTGCTTGCTGCCGTGGGCAGAGTCTATGGGAAAAAAGCAGATTCCTCATGGGGTGAGCATAACCCCGCACCAGAATTCCCATAGAAACAACTGCAGCCCTTCTCAAGGGCATCTCCTTTATCTAACTCAGGCTAACATCCCAGTGATTTGAACAGAACCCTAAGCCAGGAAGTGGTTTCTTGAAATCTGGCTTATTTTGTATGTGTTCCTGACAAACAGCCAGTTACAAACCACAAACAGAAGGCACGGTTTGTTGCTGGATTAACAGCTTTGCTTTGTTTAATCTATATCTACTTAAGATGCTTACTTATCCCTAGCTTGTTTGTGTGACTGTCTGTTCCTAAACACACTTATACCCTGCCTTTCTCCCATTGTGGAACTCAAGGCAGCTGTGTGCAGTTCCCCGGGGGTCTCCCCTCCAAGGTCAAGCCAGGCCCAGACCTGCTTAGCATCAACATGGTGGGTGCCTGATGTACCTTCAGGCCACATTCATGCAACCTGTTCAAGCATAACAGGGCAAGAGACAAGGACCAACTCCAGGACAGGCTCACCCAGGAGAAGACACTCCTTTAGCTAACCTGATCCTACACCATTTAGGGCTTTGAAAGTCATAACCAGCCAACAGTGTCTGGAAATGGACCAGGAATCCCAGAAAGAGGTGTAGCCAAGGGGTCACAGGCTCCCTGTAACTGGCCCTGTTCTGTGAAGTGTGGAAATGTTGCTTGAAAGAGAATGAGGAGGGAGCCCAGATCCTAGATGAATTTCTGAATGGGAGTCCCTTACTGCGTTGAGATTCTTCACGGCCTCGCCCTTCTCCTGGGCAAACCGCTGGCACTCGTCTACCATTTGTTCCTTTGTGAGACGGGCTTGTCCTTCCAGCTTCTGCACTGTCTTCTGGAGGGGTGGAGAGAACGCAGTTAGTCTGAAACTGAAGATCTCAAAGCAAGATAAACATGCTCTCGATGTGTGTTCTGACAACTGGGGGAAGCTAACAGTGTGGGAATAAATCGAACAAAGCAAGGAGAGGAAAGAAAAGCACAACCCTGGTCATCACCCCATTCAAGAATATTTATTTGATGACTCATCTGCCTTTATGTTGATTTCCCATCTAGATATAACACAACAGCTAAACATGGGAAGCAAAAGATAGCTGAGGAAGGACAAGTTTGTCTACGGTTTGATGCTGCTTTCTACAAAGGATAAACCATTTATAACGTCACCTCTTCTGTTTTCATTCCTTCTTCCAGTGAAATCCCAGGATGAAAACATCCTCCAAAAATAAAAGGGCAAGATAGCATCCCTGGTTCAAAACCTCACCACCATCAGTCGCCCCAATGAACTGTTTAAGCAAGTTTTAAGTGTACAGACAGCGCTCTATCTGATACAGCAAGCACAGATGCACTTACAAATAACATCCCCACTGCTCTGATGACTAGCAAACATATATCACGGCCAGCAGAAATAAAAACAGCTAGCGGGGAAAGCCTTGGGACAAAGAGACCTCGTCTGGAAAAGAGGCTACTGGAGCAAGCAAGAAACCCAAGAACTGGTCCCCAGTGGTGGGATTTCCTACCCACCTTCCTCTGGTTGATGCTGTTCTGCAGCTGGGTGATCTCTTCAGCCAGAGCCTGGCAGGCTGCCTCCTTCTCCTCCTCCAGCCGACTTTCTCGTTCCAGCAGCTGAAACTCTAGATCTTCATAGCACCTCAGGGCTCCTTCCAGCATTTCTGAAGTCTGGGAAGAGAAGGCAAGAGCCCACACAGGCCGTTAGGAGAGCAGTCCCAGTGGTCCAAGCAGCCTCCCCCAAGCTGGGATGCCGCAGAGGTTTGGACTACAGCTCCCATCAGTCCCAGGCAGCCTGGGCCATGGTTGGGAATGCTGAAAGTTGTAGTCCAAAGCATCTGGACGGCAACAAGTGTGGGGAAAACTGGGCTGGAGGATATTCACTTCTGGTCTGTGAGAGTGTAGGGAGATCTTTGCTCGACAGCAGTTCCATGTGTGTGGCATTTCAGACCACAGAGGTGGGTGGTAAGAAATCCCTGATTCAAATACGCCTGTCTGCAGGCACACACGTATATGCAGGTGCCCACACACAAACACACACAGGCACACACCTCTGCTGTTAAGAGAGCTCTTACATCCAAGGGAAAGGCCAGCCTAAAGCCTAAAGCCCTTCCCCCTGATGCCTCGCTTCCCACGGCAAGGAATGTTGTGCCTTCCCTTTTTTCCCCGTGGTATGTCCCACCTGCAATCTGCAGTGGCACAATCCAAAGAGAGCTCCACCATGTGAACTGAGGAGCCTTCTATGGAAAGACGGGGCTTCCCAGGTCGCGGCGTCACACTCACCTCCTGCAGCTGGCTCTGCATCCGCTCCCGCATGGATTCGGGCTGATTGTCTAGGTGAACCTGAGACTCAGCATGTTGCCGGCGCAGCTCCTCTACCTTGTGACGCTCCTGCTGCAGCCTCACCTTCTCCTGCCAAATTCAGAAAGGGCTGGGTAGCGTCACCGGGCAATCAGCATCTGGCCACTCCTTTCTCACCCAGAGCCGATCAGCGCTGTGATAACTACTGCCGTGAAGCCTAGTTCTCCTGATGTGGCAACTCTCTCTGCCCATCTATTTCGCCACTCACCTGGTTGCCTGGGAATTCCATGCAGGTGAGTGAGCCTGGTGGTGGAGGCCAGACAGTTCGCTCCATCTCTCCTCCACCAGGCCTCTCAGTTTCCTTTCTTGCTGCCCAGGGAGGGCAACCCCTTGCTCTGCAGCAAGCCAGATCCCTGGGGAACTGGTGAAAGAGGAAGCCACTGCTCCCACCAGGGCTGGCATGGAGTCCAGGTAGGGCTGGACCCCTGCCAAGGGCTCACACCCCAGCAGAGAAGAGGAAGAGAAGCAATCGCTGCCAGTGACCAAGAAAGCGGGGTGCCCACTGAGGCCGTGTGAACCTCAGAGACAAGGAGCTTGCACTCAGCGTGGCTCTGATCTGCCAGCCTGCTTGGCAAAGGTCTGCCCTGTCTTTCTAACTAGCCTGCTAAGTGGGCAAGTAGCCCACCCTGCCCGACTGGCTAGAGACAAGCAGGCTTCCCTTTTGGTTCATTCAGCACAGAAACGCAGCTTCTGAGCCGCCTGGTGCATTGTTTGGAAGCCAGCAATTTCTGTGGGCTCTTGTACAAGACTAAATAAATCTATACCTAGACTTTACTACTTCTGACTGTAGACAAGAGAGCTCCAGTAATGCAGTTGGGTTATTTTAGACTCTGTGAGACCCCCTTCTTATGCAGTAATTTTGCTTATTTCCAATAGTCTTGTGCTCCCATGCCCAAACGGTAAGGCGAACGACTTTCCTATTTCAAAACGGGGTGGGCCAAGATCCTCAGCTATCAGCCCCACAGTCACATCCCGACAGCACCACCAAAGGGCTCAGAATCCTGCATGACAAATCCCATCCCGAGCCACAAAAGCTAGCAAGGCTAAGTGCAAGCTAAATAAGAGCCAGTGTCTTTAAGACTCCCGTGTCCTGTGCAGGAGGCATTTCTTTCCTGCAGCCTGGGGCAAAGCTGCCCGGTCCCAGGTTTATCGCTTCCATCAGAACTGCATTTAGCTGGAGGAAAGCAACAGAGGCTGGCAACAACGGGCTTGACAGAAAGGATTCCACACCCGAAGAATCGCCGCTAACTCCATGCTGTCGATGTTCTGTAATGGCTATCTGCAGAGCAATGGGTTGAATATGAAGATCTGGGAGCTGACCTAATCCAGGGAGAGGCTGTTGGTCCATCTAGCCCAGCCAGCATCACGGCAGAGGTCTTTCTTTCCCATCAAGTGCCACTGGATCCTTTTTTCACCAAAGACACCAAGAACAGAAGCCAAAGCACCCATTTCCCGGATCATCTGAGTCCCTGGTTTTTAAGTGCCGGAGAAGCATAGGCAGAGGGCTGGCAAGTGCTCCCACCAAAGAGCCAAGGTGAACCTGCCAGCCGGAGGGGCCCCTCTTGTGTGGATGGAGGCATTGCAGTTTCTACTCCTCCTGCTGAGAGATGGTATTTTTGTGCCACATCCCGACACAGTGTGGCCTTCAGGCCTTCCATGATGCTCCTTTCCTCATGCCTAAGTCTCTCCATATGCCTACCAAGAAGGCTGCCCTGGTTACCTGGCTACCTGCATTCCAGGTACTAACTCTGGAAAACCAGTGGTTCTTATGACACTTTACCATGACATTGAAATTGGTCAGGAGGCCCTTCAACACAGAATCATCCTCTGTAAAAAAAAAAAAAAAAAAAAGCAGGGGGACGAACGGATGCCCCAGCATCCAGAGCACATCCTGTGCTGGCAGGTTGAATTGCTCCTTTTCCAGAGAGGTTCGGTTGGGTCCTCTCTTTTATGATTTAAGCAAGCCGTCGAGGCTTAAAAATAATACATCCACTGAGCTTTTTCACTTTGCTGATGGAGTTGCCTTCTCCATGGATTTCGTTTTCTCTTTGCCGGGCTCTTGGTTTTCTTGTGTTCCATTGATTTTACTGTGAAATCAGTTGTGATCCACTGATGGCCTTTTTTTCTTTTGCGGGGGGGGGGGGGCGTGCTTTACAGCATAAACATATATGCACAGTACAGGGCAAGATGTATCCGCAGCCTGCTCAGAAATCTGCTGCAGTGCCAGAGGACATCTGGGTGTGATAACTTTTAAACACTCCTGCCAGGAACACATGTGAACAGCATTTTAAGTGGAATTCTCAAAGGGCCAAAGAAGAGTTTTTGTGGACTAGAAAGCAGACCCTTTACCTGATAAAATCTGTACAACTGAATTGTTTCAATGTGAGGACAAGGGAAGTCTGAGCTGGGGAGGAGGAACTGGGAGAGCAAAGGGGCGAAGGATTGTTATGCAGGGCCACAGCAGAGCAGAACCCCTTATCCTGCCGTCTGTCGGATTATGTCATCAGGAGGGGCTGACGAAGAACCCCCGAGTCCACGGACTGATGAGAACAACCTGCCAAACGTTGCCTCTGAATTCCGTAGTCTTTAATTCATGCGATGCATCAATGCACCAATCAGAGGGGCAGGACTGGAGCAGCGGAAGCAAAAGCCATGCAAAGAAGGGGCATCTGGTTTCCGCTCTCAGACTTCGCCATCTAGTTCACATCCTCTGTTTAGAGCAACTTGGGGTGGCTCCAAAGTCACTCAAGTTGCTGGGATGCCACTTTTTATTCCTCTTCTTCTTTATTTTGCTTAAACCAGCAAAAATAGCCCTGCTGAGCACTGCCACACACACTTTCATCTGAACTTGACTTTATGTCGTACGGTGCACACATTTGTGCAGGGCACAAGAGTTCCCAAAATTTAGCCCCGAAACCAAACGGAAGCAGAAAGAAAAAAGAAGGGAAAGTTGCATGAATTGCAAGTTCGACGGCATCGGAAGGCAGCTGGCACGGAGTCTGGAGGAGAGCAGCCTAGGAAAGCCACTGGCAGGAGGTCTGGAGAGCAGCCGCTTACCTTCTCCCTTTCGGCGTGGCTCCTCCGCTCCGTCTCCACGAGGCGCCTCTGCAGCTCCAGCAGCCGCTTCTCTTCCCGTCTCAGCTCCTGCCTCTCCTCGTTCAGTTCCCCTTCCAGCAAGGCACCTTCCAGGTCCATCTGCCAGGGGTGGGAGCCATGTCAGAAGAACCATCCCTGGACATCCCACCGGCTTCGAAGTGATCGCCCGCAAGGCCCCGGGAAGCCAGCAGGGGGCAGAGGAGCAAACCGAAGCACGGAAAGGAGGAAGGAAAACCAGGAGCCCTCGCTGCTCCGCGGGCCCCCGCTTCGGCCACTGCAAAACACTCCCCACCCCGTGCCGAGCTCCCTGGGAACCGTGCATGGGGTGACGAGTGACTCCCCACTCCGCAGAGCCAGCAGATCCTGTTCTCTGCATATCGGCTGCAATCCTTCCCCACCTGCCTGGGTGTGTCACTTCTGCAATACCTGTTCTACCGGTGTCAAATGTTGTCCAACAGACACCCCCTTCCCTGTGACGTGGGTGGGAAGAGAATGAGGCGGCCGAGGCATACCTCTATGTTCAGTTCCTTTTTCTGATGATGCAGCTCCTTGATCCTGTTTTCAAGGGCCGAGATCTTGCTCATCGCCAAGTGCTGCCGTTGCGACTCTCCCGTGGTGCAACACCCGTTTCGGGGTGTCCAGGGACTCCCATTCTGTGAAAGAGGCACGGCATAGTTGGAAGCTGCAACTGTGCAGAGGTTGTGTCCCTGCAATAAATACAGTGTTCGGTCCCAAACTGTGGACTCATCACAGGAACGGTACTAGATAAGTGTGAACAGTCCAGAAAAGGACGCCAAACATGGTTTTTTCCACTAAGAAAGGCTGAAGTATTTAGACTGAACTGGCAAAGACATGATAGGAGTGTCATCTTGTCGGCATACCAGGAAAGCTGATATATAATGCTTGGAGAAAGGAACAGGGATATTTGGGTAATTTCAGGTGCCTATATTCACAGCATGTGGATGTCCCACACAAACTGCTAAGAGACCAGTCGCCACAGATATTTTGAACAACTCTCATCAGTCACCAGCTAGCACAGCCAATCATCAAGGGTGATGGGAGCTGTAGTCAAAACATCTGCAGAGATGTGGGCTTAGGAAGGCTGCATCAATCCATTTCCCTAACCCTAGCCTGTCATGAGATTTTTAATGAATGACGATATAGAAAAACTTTAAACAAACTGTTCATCACAACTATATTTGCTGATTTGGCAAGAATATTTGCATTTTGCTGGTGGAGACTCCTGCGAGTCCCTTGGACTACAAGGTGATTAAACCGGTCAGTCCTAGAGGAGATCAACCCTGACTGCTCTTTAGAAGACCAGATGCTGAAGATGAAACTCAAATACTTTGGCCCCCTAATGAGAACGAAGGACTCCCTGGAGAAGAGCCTGGTGTTGGGAGCAATTGATGGCAAAAGAAGGGGACGGAAGAGGATGAGGTGGCTGGATGGAGTCACTGGGGCAGTGGGCGTGGGCTTGGGTGGACTCCGAGGGATGGCGGAGGACAGGAAGGCCTGCAGGAATGTTGTCCATGGGGTCGCGATGGGTCGGGCACAACTTCTCAACTAACAACAACATTTGCATTTATTCCTCCATTCAACTGGCAGGCTGTTCCTGGGGAGAAGCCTTTGGGAACATGTCTTCTGCATGATTAAATGCCACTGCTGGCTCGTAGTAAGTTGCAGGTGGAATTAAAAGTGACACGGTTTGATGTGGCAAAATTATTGGACCAGCCTTGGGCGAATTCTGCACTCTGATACCAGTGCCTGCGCTTCCCACACACTTGTTCAGGACTGGAGCGCATGCGCACACACACACACACACACACACACACACGCACAGAATCCTGAGCAGAACCATTTGGCCACCGCACCACCACTTTAAGTCTGTGTTTGTATATATAAATTTAAGTCACAGATATGCAAGCCTGACATGCTCCCAAACTCTGCTCACTCGTTGCTTTTGGTTTTAATGTTCCGCTGTTGGTTTTACGGTAAGCTTAACCCTGGCACTGATCCTCCCCTGCTTTTGTACTGCAGATTTTGAAGCACTTATCAGGGGAATATTGAGGGTCAGCTGCAGCTCCTTCTTGAGCTTGTTGGCAATTTCCCATTTTGCTTCGCTCCTACACTCCAAAAGTGGCAGCATGCAAGACTTCAGGCAACTTGTAGCACATTTTAACCTTTCTTTCAGGCAGGGCTACAGAAACGATGCCATTTGGATTTTAAAGCATGCCTCTTGCTTGCATGACCTGTAAACAACAGCTCAAAACCCAATTCAGCGACCAGTGTGAAGAGGCTCTTCGGCAGCCCCGGTCACTCACCCCGTTCTGAGCACTCTCCGTGCTGCTGACTTCATCGTCTGCTGTACAGTCACTCAAGCCGCCTCCCGGACTCGATCCGCTTTCCGAGGAAAGAGAGTCGCCTTCTGTATTGCTCTTGGTCGCGGAGCCCCCCTCACCTGGGGACTGGTGGTGGCACTCGGGGGCTTCTTCGAGGTGGTCCTTCCCCAGGGCGGCTGGGTAGGGGCAGCACTCGGACTGGCTGAGCACCCCCATGGCTTCCGTGTTCTGCAAAACCATGGCTCACGGGCACATGGCCACCGTCTCCTGCAATTGTGAGCAACAACAGCGGAACTGTTGGTGGGGATGCTGCTGTTATTATTGTCACAACTAGCACTATATGCAAGAAACACATCAGACCTCTCCAGGTCAGCCTTGGAAACAGCCCTCAGAAGTTGCCAACCGGCCTCTGCCTTCTCCTTCTACTAGCCTCCTGTGTTCCCCATGCATGCACAGAGAAGCACCCCTCCTTTACAGCCAAGTGGAAATCCAGGATGCAATTCTCTTAGCCTTCTACCCAACAAGAGGAGCAATGCAGCTCAGGGAGGGGTTTCCCATCCTCCACAGCCAGCACACAAACCACATGGGCTGCTGGAAGAAGAATGGAAACTCGATCCCTCCCTGGCCATTCTGCTTGCTCGCCTGCACAGAGCTCCTGCTCGCCAGTGGCGACTAGATGAATCGTGTCCCATACAAGGCTGATCTAACCCAATATTCTCTTTCCGAATGTGACCCGCACGATGGTTCAGAAAGCCCGCAGGCAGGGGACGCAGGCTGCGACTCTGCCTTCTGGAAGCACATTGCTGTTTCATTGAGCAAAGGGTGCCATCCCGTGCATGCTTCAGCAGCACGCTGGGAGTCAAGGAGCACTTTTTGTCTCAATAAGCCAAGGGCTGCACTCAAAGGCTAAGGCCAAGTACAGTCCGTGATGGTTTAATGGAATCTTTGCGAACAGCGGCGCTTGCTTCTCGATACCAGTTGTTGGGAAACGCCAGTCGGGTGGCGCTGCTGATTCATCTCTATTCCTAGGCTGCCCTGTAACTACATGTGTCACATTTGAAACTGCTGTGCGCATTCAAAAGCCGCCACAGAGATGCTACGTGTTATTTTCTTCACATTTTACTCAAAGTCGGCTGTCCAGCCCTTATTATCATTATCATAAACTGCAGTGAGGCCCTCGGGGGGTTTCTATGCCTAATTCAGCAGCTCTCACACTGTAAATCTGGAATACTCCCTGCTGCTGTTGTTGTTCCTTTTTTTCCTTTAACATACACATGAGAAACTGGTTCTGTCATTCGTGGGAGCCTGGCCTCCGGAGCAGAAACGCCCTTGGAACACAGAAAGAACTCGGCAAAAAAAATAAGCAAGCCTGAACCATCAATTAGGCTGATACATGCAGGATGCACCGCTCCGGCCTGGGGTGTGAACTGGCGCTGGTAGCTGGAAAGGCATCAGTGGCACAGAGGAGCCACCCCAGTGCAAGAGACCTGCCCGAATCCGCTTCCCGCAGTCAGCCCGAGCCACCCACTCCCTGGAAAGCAAGGCAGGCGGAACAGGATGCAGGGCCGTCTTAGCCGCATGAGGGGCCCCGGGCCAGGCAGTGTCCTGGTCCCCCTACGACAACGACAACTACCGTTAATTTTGGAAGTTTTCTCATTCTCCACGGGTTAACACACAGAGATTAGTATGGGGCCCACGGGCGAGTGCCCCTCAGGCCCATGCATGAAGACGGCCCTGGCAGGACGTGATGTCCCGAAGACCTGGATGCTCTGAAACTTGAGACTCCCGTCCACTGAAGGTCACGGGCCGCCCCATTGGCGACCGCCATTTTCACCCCCAGAGCGGTTCAAAGGAGGCTGGACCCATTTCCATATGCAACCCGAAGTACCACGGGAGCGAACATGGGTTGGGTGCTGGCAACCGTAGCATTGGAGGTCACCTGCTCAGGCAAAGAGCCCTTTGCCGCCTTCTTTCAGGTGGAGAGAAGGCAGCTGCTCTTCCCAGGGCAAATGGGTGTCCGGACTCGTCCTTGCAAAGGCAGACATTCTAGACCCTAGAATTAAGGTCCGAGACTGAGCATATTTGGACAGAAAAACGTCCTGTAACTCCCAGCATTCCCCAGCCAGCACAAGGACTTCTGGGAGTCCCAGAAAAAGAAACCAAACACAGCATTACAAGATCCTTGGGGGATCCTTGGAGCAACCATATTGCAACTGGGAAGGATCTTGGAATTGGTGCGTCTCACAGGCTGAATACTAGTCAACTATGTGAGGTGGCTACAAAAAGGGCCACAAAATGCTATTTTGGGCAGCCTTAATAGAAGTCTCACTTCCAATCACACCAAGTACTAGTTCAGCGTTCAGCACTGGTCAGGCCTCATCTTCTGAGCACCACTGTTTAAGACAGACACAGATAAACTGGAAAGCGTTTAGAGGAGCTACTGTCCTTCTACCGGCAGGCAAAGATGTCTTGATCCAAGCAACTTTCAGCTCTGTGAAGTGACCTCTATTGGGATGGTGCTGCTTTTTAAAAAAAATATTTTATTGTTGTTGTTCTTAGTTGTACTTTAATATTTTATGCTTGTTTTAACAATGTTTTTTTATTTTGAGCTTGGTTTTTATTATCAATACCCCCCCACCAATTTGGTTGATGAAATGGCAGGATTTGAACCAAACTTAATCAGTAGTTGAAAACATCTGGAGAGTGCCCGATTTCTCATCCATGACTCAAACAGCTGCATGCCAAATCTGGGTTGGCAAGGTTTCTTCAAGTGCCCGATGTGATCCTTCACTTCAGCACCCCATGCCGGTCCCTCACTATCTCCCACTGGCTTGTTTCCCTCCACTTGAGATGTTTTCAAGCTGGACAGAAATAACAACAAGGTCGACTTTTTCCGCAGAGCTGGGTAAGTTGCCAACAAAGGAACAGAGAAGGCCCAGGCAAGGCTGATTTCGTGTACAGCCAGAGCAAATACAGTGTGGAGCTTTATGCAAGCCTCCTGACACAGTTCGAAAGGTCAACCAGGACCCACCCTCAGCCCAGCTGACAGATGAAAGCTTTTCCCACCCTGAAGACTGCAGTCCAAGGATGCACTTGGGAGAGCGTGCACGCACTGAAGATAAGCCGAGGTGGAATCTGACAATACGTCTGCCTTCCCTGGTGGCCCTCGCCAGAAGAACTGGATTCCCACCATCAAAACTTCACTACTCTCATGCATGCATTCAGGGAAGTATGTCAAGAAAGGCTTAAAAGGCAGAAGTCATTTTCATGTGAAATAAAACTATATCCATAATCTGGTCTTAAATGTTATTTTGTGGTGTACCAGAGAAGAAATAGGTGCCTGGAGCTGACACTTTTTCTTTTCGGTGCCAGGCCAAAACCCTTTTATTTTCCCACTATTTTAAAGGCTAATACTGTTTTAAGATTATGTTTTGATGCTGTACAGTTTTATTTTATTGTATTACTGCCCTGAGACACAGTGAAGGGTGGGATATAAAAGCTTTAAATCAGGGGTCTCAAACTCAAATTACCTGGGGGCCGCTGGAAGTAGAGTCTGGGTGAGGCTGGGCCGCATCAAGTATTCCACCACAGCGGTGGTGCTGGGCCGCTCATCCCATGGCTGGCCCGGCCGCCGCCGGCACTTTGAAGGCCGCAGGGCCCCTGCCCCGTGCGCCGCCCGTCCCAGCAATTGGCCCGCAGGCCGCGAGTTTGAGACCCCTGCTTTAAATGAATCCCTTTATAAGTACCTCCAAGGCTGTCACAAAGAGGAAGGTCAAGATCTCTTCTTGCAGATGCCAGAGTGTAGGACATGGAATAATCAGTTCAAGTTGCGACAACCCAAGGCTGGACATCAGGAAGCGCTTCCTCACTGTCAGAGCAACACGACGGTGGAACCAGCTGCCTAGCGAGGTGGTGGGCTCTCCCACACTAGAGGCATTCAGAAAGAAACTGGACAGCCCTCTGAGTGGGATGGTGTGACTTGGTGCCCTGCAACAGAAGGGCGTTGGACCCAATGACCTTCATGGCCCCTTCCAACTCAACTATTCCATGATTTAATGATTCTGTGAAATAAATGGTACTGATGCTGGGAGAACAGAAAGATAGTCTCTTGCTCAGGGCTGAACTGGAAAGGGCCAGAAATAGATTGTGGGCACAACATGAAAACAGGAGTTGTTCCTCCTGACCTCAGAGGAAGAAACTTATTGCTCCTTCTTCCATAGATTCTTTTGTGTGCAGGGGAAAGTTCAGCAAGGTAGAAACCTCAAAGTCAAGAAAATGCCTGGACAGTTTGAGAAACGAAGGGCCTTTCTCTGTGCTCAGCCGACAGATCTCCAGCTGAATGGGAGACCGAATATCCTCCCAGTCCAAAAGTGACCGGGAGCATTGCAGCAAAGGCCATGCACGGCCAGGCAAAGCAGCATCGGACTGCTCCGCATTGGAGTCGGACTGATTTCCATATCACGCCGGTTTGGAGCCGGGCTTAGCCATGCCTCGAGCACGCTGCAGGAAACAAGGGAACAGGCGAGCCGCGGCAAACATCCCATTGTGTCCAGTAGCCGGCTCCAGCCTCCACAACTCGGCGCCCTCCAGACACTTTTAACGACAACTCCTGGCATTCCTGCCATACTGTTTGGGGATGATGCGGGTTGAAGTCCCAAGCAACTGCGTGGCGGCGGGCCGGGGAAGGATGGGACAGAAGTTCAGCCTGTTCTAGAGCTAGCCCTGTGTTTGGTTTATTTGTGTTGTTTTTACTCTAATTTACAACTGATTCCCAAGGCCAGTTACGGGTCCAATCAGCCCTCCATCTGAAGACCGATGAAGCAGTAACGTATGCATGCAGGGGATTAAATCTGCGCGTGTGTGTAGAAATATCCCAAGCTGCTTGTCCTTTCTCTCCTGTCCTCACACCCAGCAGCTTCTTTTACCCTGAAAGGAAGGTGTATCATTTCACTCCAGCTTCTCTCATGCAGTACCTCACCCAAAAGATGGCAGGGACACCTTATCAGTTGCTCTTTCCCAGTGGGGGGAAATGGAAGGAAAGAGAGTGGAAGAAGCTGGGAGTCGGCAGATCCCACGTTAAAAAGACAGCAGCCAGAAGTCCTTGCTCCCGGCTAAGACAGGCACAGGAGCCACAAAAGACACTGTATGACTGAGATGGAGGGCGAGAACGAGAGAGGACAAAAGAGGACGGGAGAGGGTTTGCATAACATCCGCACATGCTGGCTTACATGCTTAGCCGCAAAATTGGAAATGTGACACAGAATCTAAAGCGAAGTATTATGCACCTGGGAAGAGGTCCCATGTGGATGGGCAACAGCCAGCGCTTCCTCTTCTCCCCTCTCGTGCTTTAAGCGTTAGACTGCTTTAAATACAGCGCTGAAATATTAATTACAAGAAGCCTGAAACAAAAGGCCTTTGAGCCTGTTTAAAAATTGACAACGCTGGGACACAAACCAGTAGCCCTTGGCTCGTTGCTTTACTCTTAAGCCGGACTTCAGAGCCCTTCAGAGGGCGGGCTGCTTTCAGAGAACCCTTTGGGTGGCAGGCACAGGGCTAGCCTGTCCTGTCCCAGCGGCCGCCATGCTGCAAACTTTCGCTTCCTCCTGGAGCTGGGGGTAGACAACTTGCTTTCGCCCTCCAAAAGTCCAGCCTGGCTCCAGACCACGTCCAGCCCATGGTGCCTCTCACCAGCTGCGCAATACAGGATCGTAAAAGGATATCAGGATCTGTGCTTGTGCTTTGGGAAGCAATGCTGGGAGCTTCTGCAGTGCTTCACAGATCAGATAAGGGGAGCCAAATGCTTTGGGCCATGGTCAGTTACTTCCCTGGCCCCAAATTCCCTCTTTAGCGACTGAGTCCCCAGATCTACTGGGGCAGGGCTCTTGTACCCACCTGTTTTCTCTCTTGTTTTGAATCAACACACAATGCACACAATTATGTTGGAAAATATTCACAGTGGGGACTGAGGGCAGCCCCATTTGTATATTGTCCAAACCTGGACATGGAGGGGTTGTGGGAGGGTTGTTTAAGCCATGCATAAACCCTGATAGCTGGTGACCTGCCACAACCCCACTGCAAAGTTCCATATGCAAAATGGTGGCCCACCACACAACATGGCTCATCGTGGGTAATCAGTAACCTATCACAAGCCCAGAATGTCATGTGAACCAGGTCAATGGGGAGTAAGAGAACCAAACAGAACTTTCAGTTGATCCGCGAGGGATCAGGGAACAAAAACCCAGAAAACGAGAGCCGGACAGAACCAAGCTGCATATTTTTCCGAAGACTTTTTCTCATTCCCTTCACCTCCTTCCTCCTTCCTCTCTTTCTTAAACTGGGAAAGGACACTGCGGCTCTAAGAACACAACAGGACTGCCCGTGGGTCAGACCGCATGTGATGGTAACTCAAGGGTTCAAGCTGCATCATACACTGAAAGGCGTGACTCTGTGGAACCCAGGCAGTTTTCGGCCCCATCAGTAACTGGCAGGGAGTCTGCCTTGAGGATGCTACGGAGGGCACCGCGAGTGCCACGATCAACAAAGAAAAGCAGAAACAAGTGTACTGAGCCATAAACACCCAAAGCATCAGTTGACTCACGCGATCGCTCGTTTCTAAGCAGAGACTGGATCACCCCCTGGGGTTGCCCATTTCCCACACAGGCAAACCGTTAGACTGGAGAGCCTTCGAGGCTCCTTGCAACTCTTACAGTTCTAGCCACTGTCTAAATTATTGTTGCAGATCATGCCACGAGCTTTTGTAGAAAGTATGCGTGCAAAAGGCACATGCCCCTTCATTGAAGAAATAAAAGGAAGCCGTGCCAGGGGAAGAACTTCAACCGGTGCTGATAAGCATCAGCACAGCTGTGATGAGGGGATATTTCTTCTTCATTTTGTACTTCTCTTTTCCCGATGAAGGGCTTCCAAGCACCTTCCAGCAACAAAAGCATCAGAAGTGCAACACAACCCTTTTTGACACAGACAACACAATGCAAATCAAGAATAAGACCATCAGCAGCATTACCGGGTAGGACGGGAGTCCCACTGCCCAGAAAAAACAGGTCAGCCTTTATTGTGCCTTTCGAGACAGGCTGGACTGAAGAAACCAGCAGCTTTTCCTAATCTCCTGTTCGCGTCTGAGATTACAGCTCCCCTCAGAAGCCGAGGACCAGGATGCAAGATGCAACGTGGACATTGTTCCAGTGCTTTATTTTTCCTCAGATTATTTCCCATTTCGTAACTGCCTTAGTAACGCCCAGTGAATGCCAATTGCAAGTGCAATCTGAGGAAAACCTGGCATTTCAAATTTGCAGTGACTGCTATTCAGGTGATCATCCCATGACAACGTAGGCGAGAATACGTGCATGTCACTGAAATATGGATCTGTCTCAGAGAGAAATGGGACAAATGAGGAGTGACGGGGAGAATGGAGGTGCCCCAAGAAACTCGGTGGAAAAGAGCTGAATTCTTACGAAATGGGTGAGCTGTTGTCAGCTTGTCATGGTTCTCTCCATTGCTAAAACCAACAAGTGCATCGTCAGTTCTCAGCACCTTTGTTCCCATTGCTTAAATTTAACTATGGAAAGGAAATACTTGCTGTTTTCTTTAGGATTCTACAAGTTGTTGAATTAAAACATCCATATGAAGTAACATTTAAATCATATCAAGGGTGCTTTAATCTTCTCTCCTCGTAACTATTTCGGGTTTGTAATAGCTGAGCGTGGCTATCAAGGACAGGTCATTTTGGAAGGCATCCAACCATAGGGTTGCTACAATCCAGGGATGACTTGATAGCACATAACAACTGCAAAATATTTCAGGGCAAATACCTGAGCTGTACTGGGACAAAAAATAACATGCTGGTATTTTGTCATTTCTTAAATACAAGTAAAGAAACATGCTAAATTAGGTCAATTCCAATGGGATCTGAATACTTTCTGGGCAAAATAAATGGTTAATGCAAATGACCCTAGGCAAATTAGCTTAGTTTGTATTGAAAAATTATGCAAAATCTTCCAAACTGGAACATTCTGGGAAACAAAATCTCTGCTAAGGACCAGTTCAAAATATGGCAACTCTAAGCATGAGTGATATTGGGAAACTATGTTGCTGGACCCTCAAAACCTAGCAGCATTTTTAAAATATATATTATTTTGATTTCTCAAGTGTTCCAAGAAACTATTTTAGCAAATTCCCAGACTGAGAGAACTCCACAAAAAGAAAGGTGCTGCCACAGAGAAGGCCCTGCTTGTGGAGCAAGATCAGATGTGAAGATCCCAAATTATAGAATGGTTAATATTTTAAAAAGAAAAGAAAAAAAAAGAACTCTCAACACATCTCCCACACACTCTTGCATTTAATCTTGAGTTTAACCCAAAGCACTGTGCCCTCCATTGAATTTTCTCAATTTTAGTTCCACACAGATGATGGAAACTCACCATGTCATCTCGCCATTTCCTCCACCCCCCCATCCAGCCAAGAACTAATAAGGTTATGGGGGGGGGGGGAGACTGTTGATCCGTGAAAGAAATCTTGCTTGATTAATCATATGGTTTCTATATGGATTCCTCAACAATTAACACTATCTATTTACATATACGTTAAAATATGCATTCATTTCCTTGTTTTTAGGTGAAGCAAACACAGGTTATCATAGCACACAGAAAGCAGAAGAGGCATTCTCTCTGGCTGCAAGAGAAGGAGGAATACCTGCTCTAAAATGGCAGCCACTTCCCTGGAATTGCCAAATAGAATCCTAAAATAGGAAACGACCTGAAAGGTTACCTGGTCCACCTGATCTGCTGATGCAAAAAGCTGGCTGCCACAGCGCACCTGTCCCATTGCTGAACATCGGGAAGCATTTCTTTCTACCAGAACCTGGCCCCATATATTAAAAATATTTAATATCCATTGTGAAATCTGCTGCCCAATTAAATCAAGGCCATCTTTTGTTTTAATCAAGTAAGCATGCAATCCCATGCTTGTTTTGACCCAAAATGCTGGCTGGGAAATGCTGAGAGTTGTAGGATTTTTCCCCCTATCTAAATGCTTTATCCACCCTGGGCTTTAGGACAGCGCTAGAAAGAAACCTCCCAAGACAAGGGAGGTGAGGCCAAGCTGATGCCCAAGTGTTACTATGTTGTGAGCCGCCCCGAGGCTTCAGCAAGAGGCGGCATAGAAATGTTTTAATAAATAAATAAAATAAAATAAAATACTCAATGGAAGGGACATTTCTGCCCTTGCATTCAGTGCCCATCCTAAATCATTGAAGCACGTTATAAATAAACAATGTGATGCATTATTTTGCTTGGCTATTTTCCAACCGTGTTGAGCAAGAGAGAGAATGCACTGGGGGGGGGGGGGGGGCTGCAGTGACCCAGCTGGAACAGACAAGCAGGAAAAGTTTTGTTCTGACCCAAATCCAAACCCGCTTCTTTATGGGACAAAGCCATGGTGTTTGCTCTCCCTGTCTGCCCTTGACCTTTCACCCTTCCAAACTACCCCTTCTCCTGTCCCAGCTTGTACACCTCCCCCCAAATATTACCCCTTTCAGGAAATGCAAAACAGTTCAGGAACCTTCCAGGGAACAACCGTTTCCGATCAGCCGCTTGCCTGCCCTTCCTCAACCTCACAGAACAGGCGCTCCCGGCTGGCTTTGTCCACGTCCTCGGAACAGCCTCTGGCGCTTCAGGATCCAGGCTGCGCGGGATCCGCAGCCCAGCGCGTAATCCAAGCAAGGGGGATGTGTCGCCTTGCTGAAAACGCCGGCTTCCTTCAGCCGCCCATTGGGCACTCAAAGCCACCCTGAAAGCATCACTTGACGTGCCGGGGGGAAATGCCCGTGCGCCTGACCCCTCGCCCCCTCGGCACCGGCAGGCGAAATTCCCCAAGCCCGTGCGTGTCAAGAGCATGGTTCCCGCGAGCGGCAGTCTCGCTTCCTCCCCTCCCTGGGAATGGAAAGCCCGTCATTTTTTCCTGCGACTCCAAGATCAGCCACCTCTGACACTCACTTTCCAGCGCGCTCCCGGCTTGGTCCCTCCTGGCGCAGTGGCCCCAAAGCAGGCCCCCAATTCCTCTGGGATTCGTGCCGCGGGAGGGGAGAAGAGGCGACTTGGGGGCAGCGCGTAAAGCAAGCCCGGCGGAAGAGAGAGCGGCGCCCCAGTGCGCGCAGATAGCTGCCTCGGCCGCAGGATGCCCCGTGTCCTCCCTCGCTTCCTGGGTGCCCTCCCTCGCTCCTCCCCCATCCTGGCCCATTTGCGCTCCGAGCCGCCGCCAGCAGGTGCCTGCACACCTGCCTGGCTCCGTCGGGTCGCCCCTCGGTGATAGACAGCTGCCACTCACCCGGCGGAGGGCCTTCCCTGAAGCTCTGGCGCTGCGCGGAGGGGCCGCTGCCCGCTGCGGGCCGCGCTCCCTCGGCCTCTCCGCCGCCTGGGCTCGCCCGCCCGCAGCTCCCTCCTGCCTTCCCGCTGTTCGAACAAGTTTTACAACCCTGCTCGCTCTGGAAAAACAGCGCCGGTGACATCAGAGCCCGGAGGGGGCGGGGGGGAGGCACGGCGCACAGGGAACCGGCCCCGAAGGGCGCAAACGGCTGGGGCGCGCGGGTTGCTCCCAGCTGGCCCGCCGGTGCCGGGGCGGCTTGGAGCCACGCTGCCTCTGGAAAAGCAGGGCTCCTCCAGCGACTCGCTGCCTGGCAGCCAGGCCGAAGTGCCACGGCGGGGGGGGGGGGTGTTTGGCAAGGGACTCTCCAGCCCACGTGTTGCGCACACACAGAGGTCTGAGTTCAGGGGCTGCCTATCCGGAGCAAGGCCCGGGAGAGAGCCAGGCTGGGGAAACAGAAAGGACATTGGCCCCAGAGATCCCGTTTCGCTTCTGGCGGTCTCGCAAGAGGAACCGGTGATTTGGCTCCGTGTGAAGGAGCAGCTGTCTCAGCAGCTGATGTCACCCACCCTGGTTAAACTCCCAGATGAGAGGAAAGTCCATCCTGCCAACTTTACAGTGACGCCCTCTAATTTAAGGGCCTGTCCTCTAATCTTCGACCTAGCGGGCTGTGTTATGCGGTGATGAGGGAAAGGCTCCCTGCGTTTGCTCACGGACGCTCCCTTGGTCCTACCGTTGTCTCAAGGGTCACACCGTCACATGTGCAGGGAAAGCGGATTTTGACCTCCATCTCAGCATTGCCAACTGACCAGAATGAGCCACGCTGGAGTGCGCCGCCGTCTTCCGTAGGATTTAATTGGCAGAAACCAGCAGGATCAGTCTGCCACGGTTCAGCAAGAAGACCTTGCTATCAGCTCTTCCAGTCAAGTGGCTGTTAGAGGCACAGGAGCAGAGAATGGGGGGGAAGGCTTCAGCGAATGGGGCGGCATAAAAATATTTTAATTAATTAAATGAATAAATAAAGTTGACTAACCTTTTCTATGCTAATAAAAATGCTTTTTCAAAGTATACCTTGCCCCCGTTTAACACACACAAACACACTGTAAGAGTTCAGTGCTCTCCAAAAACCTAAGAATATCCAAGAGTTTTGTTTCTCTGTTGCTTCTTTCTCTGGCTCTTTGCAGGAGTCATACCAATCAACCTCCCCCACCCTGATTAGTATTATCCTGTATATGAATCGTGAATTTATTCTCCAAGGGCTGATCCAAAGACTGCAATCCTATGCCTCTAAGGTCTGAACTTTTGCAGCATCCGTGCAGAAGAGGAACGTCAGCAGGCCTCAAGCCCAAAGTGACCCCTTTCCACCACTGTTCCTGCTTCGTCTCTAATGTCACATTGATTCTGACCTTGCAACTGCCACAGCAAATGTGTTAGACCAGATCCCATCAGGCTACAGTATCCGTGTGTATGTGTGTGTGTGTGTGTGTGTGTGTGTGTGTGTGTGTGTGTCAAAGTTCACCCATACAAACAGAATCCTGGTATGAAAAAACCAGCATGCAGCCAAGATTTACCCTGACAAGGGTGCATTGAAATCTGCAAACTACTCCACACTGCAAGAAATGCTGATCCATTCCATTTTGAATATCATACCCAAAGAGGCTTAGCTGTCTATTTGCCAGTTCTCAGAATCCGAGGAAATATGGCTGTTAAACCTCAAAGCTATAAATGCCCAACAGTTTCCTGAAGTGGGCTCCACCACCCGCCTTTCTTTCGTTATGTAACTCTCTTCTGCAGAAGTTAAATAGACTGAAATAATATTTGCTCTTCGATTTGGCACCAGAAGTTCTAGTGATGGGGACACAGCTGGGAGGGAAGGAGGAAGCAGAGGGGAGGGTCCCTGTGGGTCAGAAGAGGAAGGCACTTCTAGGGTTGGGCCCTTCCACTCAAATGTGCTGATCAAGCTTTCCCTCCAATGCCCATGGAGCAAGCCTTCATTTCCCACATTCTGTTGACTACACGGTGCTTGAAGAAAGATGCTTTACATGCACGAAAGCATGTCTCTTGCATCTACATTTCAGGTGTAATCAATGAATCTTCATGTAACCCTACATCTCCCAATTTTTAACAACAAGCCACACTCAACCCACCTTCTGTCCTTGAATGTGGGGCATCATGTTGTCTGGATACGGTAGCCAGGAAAATATCAGAGTGCTCTCTTGGATATTTTCAAGAGAAAGTATCTCTCATTAACTTTGCTCTTTCATTTGTCCTAAGACTAACTCATAAAACTGAATGCACATCTGAGAGCTAAGCCCAGACAAGCCCTTCTTGCTTTTCTTTTTTCTGGACACAACCTTTGTGCGCACAGCCAGATATTCTGATGCTGCTGACGGATGCCCTGTCGGATGCGGATGAAGCGGGAGTGGGCACACCCCACCCTGTCTGCCTCCATCCCCAGAAGAATACCTGAATAGCAACCACTCCCCGATCAAGACAATCCATTGCCCTGTTCCGGAATCACACTGACCGGCTTTTCAGGCAAAGGAATCCAGCCTTCACAGGTGGAATGTCAGCTGGCAGATCCATGAATGGAAAAGGATGCACGGTCCCAGCATCCCCAGATAGCTCTCGGTCAGCAGCTGCTTGCAAACGGTGCTTCTGAGAACCGGGAGTTCTTGACTGAGGCTTCGCTCTCTTCATAAGGCTAGGATCTGAACAAGCTCTGAAGGGCCTTCAATCCAAGCTCTGAAGATAAGACCACATGCACTCTCTCACAAACACAGCGCTGTATTTATTTAAACTGTTCAGAGCCTAAGAACCCCATGAGGGCAGCCCCACGTGGACTGTGTCGCAGTAATCTAACTACTAGCAGTAAGAGATTTATGCTAAGATGCACTGGTACCTTGGCTCCTGGAAGTTTCTCTGAAACAGAATTTGGCCCTGGGCTGGAAGAGATTCTGGACCTCTGGCTCAGTTTGCTTAGACAAATTCATGGAAGACACGTCTAACAGGCAGGTCTATGAGCCATTCTGAAGCCACGATAGCAGAATGAAGCTTTCAGGCTCAGAAGCACCCACTGTTTGGGAACAAGCCACGGGGAGGGCTGGAGTTTCTGTACCCAGCCTGGTAGCGTTTGCTCGGTCTGTAAAATGCAGGGGTTGGGCCCTTGCTGTGATTGCAGAGGGGCTCTCTATACAGTGCCCTTCGGCCCCCAGACCCCACCCCTACTCTGCCCCCACCTGTACCAAACACCCCTCCAGTCCTGGGTTAGTGTGAGCATGCAAGTGAGAGACACCTTTATCATTCCCCTTAGCTGCAGGAGTGAGCATAAGAAGAGCCCGGCTGGATCAGACCACAGGCGCATCGAGTGCAGCGTTCTGTTTCCAGCGGAGCCACACAGCTGCCTCCAGGAAACCCACAAGTGTGGCTTTCTAAGGATGTACCAATTCTTGCAACAGTAGAACATCCAGAGTAGCATCCATTCCCAGGAGGCATCTGCAGACCACCCGTTCAAAGGCTGGGAGTGTTCTGCAGTCCTCAGTCCATCCCATCATGCGAGGGGAATGTTTTTCCTTTCCCGGGCTGCAATAGCAGTCTTTCAGTCGTCAAAAGGGCGTGGAGAAGGCATTTTGCCGACTGTGCATTAACTTCAAGGAAGCGGGTAGATGATTCCAAAGGGCATACACTTCACTAAATAGGCAAACAGCTAAACTATGGCTGTTTCGTTGCAAAAATGTGGCTTGCAATTTTAATGTGATTTTACTTGATTATTCTATATTATATTTTACTGTATTTCTTGCAGAGAGCTGGCTATTGGGTGGTAAAAAAATTAGATACACACAACACTGCATACACTGAAATGGAGATACGCACGTGAATCCAGCCACAATTTTCATTTTCCTCTTTTTGGTCTTGTTTGGTTGAATGTTCACAATCGATTCCTTTTTTAAAAGGTAGGACAGGAGTGCACTGCTCACAACTCGTGTTCCCCGGCAACTGGTGTCCGTGGGCATCCTGCTGGTGGTCACTACCAGCACTAGCATCCTGGGGTAGCTCCACCCTCCATGAATTTGTCTGGGTCCCTCTTAATGCCATCCTTATGATATCCAAGCAAAGGATGACTCATATATTTCTCTCGGTGAATTAGAAATTATTGCAAAGGTATTGGGGATGGCTGAGAAGTGCTTTAGCTGCTAAGCAAAAACAGAACACATACAAAAATGTAAATTAGTTAATTACGACTGCAAATCTATGCACACTTACCTACTCACTACTGAATTTGACATATGCTGTGAATTCTCGGTAAAAGATTAACTTGCTTCTACTTACTTGGGCTTTAGCATTCTGCACGGATCCCTTTTCTCCAGTGCATCCTCAACCCTTTCCCCCACATGTCCACCACATCTCTGGCTATTAGGCCTGCTGACCACCAGGTTCCGCTGACCACACAAACAAGTACAGAGCCAACACAACAGGTACACTCACA